AGTCCTGGAGCGCTATTAGTTTAATATTAGTTAGTTTAGTTCTAGTTAATTTAATATTAGATTTTATAGATATTAGTAGATATAAGCTGTAGTATCTCTGTTAGGTGAAATTTGTAGGGTATGATTTTATACGTAACGTAACCGCTAAGGTCGTAACAGCAAGGGAGATGCCAAGTACGGAGGAGTGAGTTATCAAGTGGTCTACTTAACATAAAGTGAGCTTAAGGTGCTCCAATACACCATACACATTCCTTTGTCCCAGCACGTTTTCTTATACCTGTACATTCGTTCTACGGGTGTGCTTTCATATATCTAGCCTATGACCACTTCTACCTCATGATTAAGTTACTATTACATCTAAATTTTATTCTTGAGGATTGATAATCTCTCCACGTTATAGCGGAGTAATTGTAATCCGACTATATCTCGGTTCCAGTTTGTTGCCTCTGATATCCGACACCGATCGGATATACAGGATGCCCCTTAGTCGATTAGTCAATGCCGTCCAGGCTTCGTAACGTCGGAAGTGGATTCAATTATGTTCTCTTTCATCTGAATCCCCTATTTCTGCGACATCAGGGTTGGTAATAATGGACATGATGGACTTCAACGTTACTTACTCGGATAGCACTACATAACGTGGGACGATTTGTGTACGCTATGGGGTATTGTTTCTTTGTAGCATACAGGTTGAAATTACAATTAAATATTGAGCTCATAATTTTTGCCCTTGGAATTGTTGCATCGATATTTATCTCTGCCTAACGATATTCCTCGAAGCCCAGGCTGGGAACCAGATAAAAATCATGAGCACCACCGATTCTCTCCGCGACACGATTCGAGACGCGCCTCTGGGACAGATCCTCAGATTCGTCACCAATAATCGCCTCTTCAAATATCCAGAAGAACATCCAGAGTTTGAGCTGCCTGCTGCCTGGAATCATATACTCAACAGTGCCGATGCCAGAACAGTATGCCACACTGGAACGGATACCCCCTCGACCATCGTCAATCCGACACCCGATCAAAATACCATTGAGGGTCTAGATCTTGAGAGCAAAGGTTCAGACGCCGGCGGACCTGCTGATGCCTCTCCCAATGTCACCGACAATGGAGTCATTCTAGTTGACTGGTACTCGGATACAGATCCCGCCAACCCACAGAACTGGTCGAACCGTCGTCGGGCCCTCGTTGGCTTGATCATCTGCTTCTACACATTCGTTGTATATCTCAGTTCAGCTATATACTCACCCTCTGTTGAGGGCGTCATGGAGAAGTTTGGGGTCAGCAACCTAGAAGCAACGCTCGGTCTTGCTATGTACGTTCTGGGATATGGCATAGGTCCACTGTTGTTTTCCCCCCTTGGGGAAATCCCTCGTATCGGTCGCAATCCTGTCTACATCGTTACTTTCGGGATTTTTGTTGTCATTTCCATTCCGACCGCTTTGGTCGATTCGTTCGCAGGACTCATCGTATTACGCTTTCTGCAAGGGTTCTTCGGATCTCCATGCTTGGCGTCAGGTGGTGCGTCGTTGGGCGATATGTATGGGATGATACATATGCCCCTGGCTATGATTGCTTGGGTTGGTGCTATGTCTTGTGGCCGTGAGTATTGCGTCGTGTCCTCTTTTCATCTGCACTTTCTGACTGCTTTGCAGCCTCTCTTGGCCCTTTGATTAGTGCGTACGCCGTTACAGCGAAGGGGTGGCGTTGGTCTTTGTATGAATCAATTTGGGTCTCAGCACCAGTACTCATCGCTCTGCTCATCTTCATGCCAGAGACCAGCGCCCCTAACATCCTCCTTCGCCGAGCCGAAAGATTGCGTCGAGTTACCGGTAGCCAGAGCCTTAAATCTCAAAGCGAGATCGACCAGACACATCTTACTGTCTCAGGTATAGCTATAGAGGCCTTGATCAAGCCCATCGAAATCACCATCAAAGATCCAGCAGTTTTATTTGTACAGATATACTCGGCTATTCTCTACGCTATATACTACTCTTGTCAGTAATTTCTACCTCTATTCTACTTCCATATCTGACCATCTAGACTTCGAGGTCTTCCCATTGGTCTTTCCTGTCTACTATGACATGACTCTTGGGGAGGTTGGCCTTGTGTTCATCTGTATCGCCGTTGGATGCATTTTGGCCATCATTCTATACGGGCTATATCTATATTACGTGCTCATACCCCGAATGACGAAGTTTGGCATCGCTCAGCAAGAAGAGGTGCTCACGCCTGGACTTGCTGCATGCTTCGGTCCGACAATCGGCCTGTTCATATTTGCTTGGACGGCTAGGGCTTCCATACACTGGATCGTGCCGGTTATTGGAGTCACAATCTATGCTGGTTCGATCTTCACAGTGCTACAAGTAGTGTTCCTTTATGTCCCCGTGACTTACCCTCAATATTCTGCTTCATTGTTCGCAGCGAACGACTTCTTTAGAAGTGCCTTAGCCAGCGGCAGTATTCTTTTTGCTCATCCGCTCTACAAGAACCTTGGCTTTGCAAAGGGCACAAGCCTTCTAGGAGGTCTGAGCGTCATTGGCATATTTGGCATGTGGATTTTATTCTTCTACGGCGCGAAGCTACGAGCCCTCAGCAAGTTCGCTACGTAATACTTTGCGGAAATTGCCTGACCCTGGGAGTCAACTGTTTAGAACAGGCAAAAGGCATCGATATTAACGGATCAATACTATCGAATGGTCTTGGGGTTTAGTCACACTTTAACCCAGTGGCATCACCCTGGCTTCAATTGTATCATAACCGGTTTGATCAGGCGGATTTCTGGTGGACGATCTTCTCTGGAAGATTTGGAACATCATAGTATATTTTCTTCAGATCTATAAAAGCTTAGGCAGCAACATCTCCTCTCCTTGAATTCCGAATTCCATTATATCGGCTTTAGAACAATTGCCTTCAAGTAGACCTGAACCACCAATCCACGTGCTCAGTCATATTTTAGTAGCTCGTGCAGGTTTCTATAGTAAATGTCTCAAAGCAAAGGCTTAGCTACATGAGTAGGGCTTATATTCTGTAGGCGGGCGTCAATAAAAGCTTGTCCGCTTCTTAATAGCTAAAATTGCCCTGCGTTCATAGTATCTGGTACTAAAGGTGGTGCAGACGAGACATCACTGTTAAATATTGGTTTTTTGATCGTAGTTGCTATGGGATAGTATCTCTGCAAGACGATGGAATTCCACAACATAATGCTTATCAGTCGTAGGTATATTCCAGGAGTGTATTGTGATGACTATGGACGCGTCTATCAGAAGAACTGATTACTACCCTGGGCTTATTATTGCCTCATGCATTGGCTTAGTTGAACGCCTTTGTGTCTGAAGCTTCCTTATCTCCGAACCAAGACCAGATATCGTGGAGCAGCAGATCAGGGACCTCATAAGCAGCAAAATGGCCGCCATGGTCATGTACAGTTCTCTTTAGAACATTTCCTCCTCGCTTTGCCCAATCCAACGGCATACGGTAAGCCAAATCGTAAGGGAATTGACTGATAGCGACTGGGACCTCTACCAGGGGCAGGGTGCCAAAATCGAGTGTTTCAAAGCCCCCATCATTTTGAACTTCTTTATAGAACCGCATGCCACCGTATGGACCTTGGATCCAATACATCATAGACCAAGTAATGATCTCCTCGGGAGTCCATGCCATGATACTAGGGTCAATGACCCTGTTCATGATGGAATACATCCACATGGCGTTCCCAAGTGGCGAGTCCGTCATACCATATGCGACGGTGAGGGGTTCGGTGGACATCATCAGTCGGTATCCAGATCCTTGGTTCTCGTAATTCTCTGTAATCTGGATGTATGCGACCTCATCAGGCGTTGCTTCTCCCTGTGCAAGTCGGCGAAGGTCGTTGTTCCCCGGCTGGATAATCCAGAAATTGCTAAGTGCCGAGATCACATTCTTTGGGAAATTGTGGGCTTGATATCGAAGGATGACACCGCCGAAATCTCCGCCATGAATGACGTATCTGGAGTAGCCAAGCTGAAGCATCAGTTCGTTGAATGCATAAGAAGCCGCCGCGGGACCGAACCCTGGCTGCGTCGCCGCGGGAGAGAATCCAAAACCCGGGATCGAAGGCGCAACCACATGAAAAGCTGGTAGAGAGGCATTTGGTGGATTTGTCAGATGTCCGATAACATTGCCGACTTCAAGAAAGGACCCTGGCCATCCGTGAATAAACAGTAATGGTATGGCGTCGGACCTGGATGATCGGTGATGTACGAAATGCAGCGGTACAGAATGAGTGACGTTGTCGATTTCAGGCTCAACAATAGTCGTAAACTGTTTGAATCTTTGCAAAGCATTAGTGATCACTGTGAGAATGACTGTTCTTGTACTCCTTACCTCTTGTTGATGGAAGCTTCCGTAGCATTCCAATCATACTCGTTGACCCAGAAGTCGCGAACGCTTGTGAAGTTCTCAACACCGGGGCCATCGCTTGACACATTTGTAAACAATGGCGCCCTTGTATGGGCAACACGCTGCCGAGTATCCTCAATGAAGCCTCGATCGACATGGATCCGAAATAGCTTAGGACTCTTGGCAAAAGTGGCATTGACATTTGGCAGTGAGAAGGGGCCTGAAGCAGCACAAAGAGAGCCGACGGCAAAGATGAGTACGTACAGGCACCGCATGACGACTTGCTATGAGAGAAAGTTAAAGATTTGCTTTTGGTATTGAGATAAAACATGCCTTATACATCAGTCCCAATTGATGATGTGACCCTGTCAGATACTCCCTCACCTAGCCTCTGATTTATAAGCACTTTCCGTTCATAATGAGTACTCCAAAGCTTTAAGAGTTTTCTTTTGTGTTGAAGGAGCACCAAAAAACATGATTGGGTAATCCTACCAACGTCATGGCGTTGAGTAATCCATCTGAGTAATCAGCGCCCTTCTGCTAACACGGCTAACGATACTCGAATGGTACTACGTAACAGCAGTTCTCTCCAGCTTTGGTTACTCATGAAACGATCTTCTTCTAAAATCCCGCCAGAGGTTTTGTAATATTAAATTTGCTCGTTATCGACTCCCGAGATTCCCGACGCTGTATCCGAAGTCGTCCGGATATAAATCACGTTGCCGAACCCAGTAGTCGCGCCTAGATTACTCGACTGCCGGGTCAAGTGAGACGGGCATATTGAACGAGAAGCTATATCCATTTCAATCCCCGGGTAATCTAACAAAAATTCATATGGTTTTCTGTTAAGTATTAAGGTCCCTGTTGTCAGTATCAAGGGACATAAGCGCTTTCTTCTAGCAGCTAATGATCCACATCAGAGGCAAATGCTAAGGCAGTCAATCTCGAACTGATTCCCAGGACTGTATCCGAACGATGGCGGAAATTAGGCACCACGACCATTTGTAATCTGAGAGTCGCTGGTGGGGACTCTGTGAAGCTTCACGTTATCATCAACACCTTCCAGTATGGTGCTTCATAACGGCCTTGGCTATAAATAGGCCTGGTCATCATTCTATCGACACTTTGTTATTTAACAACCTATCAAAACATACGCTGAGACATTCATCTCTCATCAACTACAGCCATGGCTACTGTTCAGTTCGGAATTTTGGCCTTTGCCTATCAAGTTATTGATGCCAGCGGACCTATGGATCTCCTCAACTCGGCCAACAAGACGGCTTTCCGCATCAATCGAGAGTACGGGCCTGTTAGCGATGAACTCATCTCACAGGCGCCGCAATTCACATTTCACCATATCGGCGTTACCAGAGATCCTGCTAAGCTCGGCACTGGTCAGATGACTATCGTCCCTACAGCCACTGTGGATGACTGTCCTGAACTTGACATCTTGCTTGTTCCAGGACCTTACCTCGGGAACTTCGATCTGCACCCAAAGCATGCCGAGTTCATCCGCAAACACGTTGCTTCCGGGAAGTTGCTCTTTACAAGCTGCACTGGAGCAAGCCTCGTCGCATCGACAGGTGTTTTGAATGGAAAGACAGCCACTGTCAACAACATCGAATTTGATTGGGTCCGCAACCGTTGGCCTCAGGTCAAGTGGACACGGGAGAAGAAATGGATCATTGATGAGAACATTTGGACAGGATCTGGTGCTGTTGCCGCTATGGACATGGTGGCCTATTGGCTGAAAGAGAATTATGGCTTGCCTGTACTTATTCAGGCTGCCTCGACCCTGGACTATGAGCCTCGGGATGCGGATGGTTTATTCAATGTTTTGCCTCAAAGATATGATTCGAAGGGAGAAAAGACATCTACTCATGTATTTAAGTATTATGATCCCTAGTTAGAACGACTCTTGTAGTAGAGAAGGCATTGAGTTACGATAGAGTACACTATGCGGAGTTCATGCGGAGGAGTTAATAATAACACCGTTTCGTTACCTCATAAATCTCCGATGTTGGCATTATGTCCGCTTAATTGCTCCGTCTCGGGCCGCTTCCCCTCCCACCTATGGGTAGTCGCCGCTTATGTTCCCCGCTTATACGTTGACCTGCGAAATCCCATGATTGGTATATCAGAATGAGAAGACTTGTGGTAACTGGCTGGAAGAAGTGGGTTAGAGATCCCTACCTTCAGTTGTAGCTGCTTACGCTCGCTTACACGAAAATCAACCCCAGAATTTTCCTGGCCCTCCGAGGATGGTCTTAGCAAATAGGGAAGTCGTCCTCGTACCAGCCTCGATATATGTCGCCGAATACTGATTCAGCTTACAAACACAACGTTGTCAGTATATATACACTGATACAGCTATCGCGACACAGACGTAACCTTACGTAACCAGTACTAAATGAGGGTGGGAGCGTAGGCGATGCCGGTTTCCGTTCACCGTTCAACTCTCTTAGTAGTGAGGAGCCAATGAAGATGGTACCTTTGAACGCAAACCTCAATAAGCCGCGCATTACTATTCATCATATGGTAGCAATCGAGCCAATAATGAGCATGATGGCAGACGACAAATGCTCCTGACGCCTTCTCATGGTTGCAGAGTCCGCAGACCCCCAATCCCAATGTATTCTTGCATGACCATCACAAAGTTACGCACGGTGCTTCATGAGTTGGGATTCTACAGTGATTTTTACCGGAGTAGCCCATGATCCATTCTATGCGGTATGACTTCATGATACGAACTTTTGTGACTGAACGTTACTCGGATGTAACACTTTCCGCTCATGAGTACGTTCATTCATGGCTGTGTTAGGGTCGGCATGTTAGTTTCCGTTGAGCCCTCTGAGATCTGCGGCTGGAAGTTTTGACGGCATCTAATGGAGTCTTACAGATATATAAAGACTCGCGGCTCCCTGGGCTTATAGAGATAATCAACACTTCACAATCTTATTCATACAAACAAATACATTTACGGACACAAAGACTCATTGCTCGAGCAGTTATACCTCAACATGCAGTTTACCAGCCTTCTTTCCGCTGCCGCCTTTGCCACCATGGCCATGGCTGCCTCTGTTCAGGTCAACTTGTGTGTTCGCCTGTACTGAATACAATGTGTCCTATGATCTAACCAAAATCTAGTTACTCTGATACTGGCTGCCAGAATTTCATCGGATCTCGTTTCATCGACTTTGACCCGAACCAGGGCGGCACATTCCATAGCGGTGGTCCCTCAGGCTCTCGTGGTGGTCTGTTTGTCAACTCCAACGGAGACAACCTTGCTTGTACGTTCCTCACCTTCTATCTTTTCTTGCCGTATATCCTGACTCTGAAACTTGTAGTCCGTGGGTTCAGCAACCACGCTGACGGCAGTAGCCCTTTCACGGGCAACGTTGTTGATGGCGAATGCATTGGTACCCTCAATGGTGTTGTTGCCGTTTTCATCGTCTGAGTGACGTAGCCTTCAAGAACCTGAGAGATGATGCCATCTCTGGATGCAAGCAACATGAACTACATAGAATGGAATCCGTGTGGATGGTTTCGGGGTGAAATGGCATATTCAACATATGGGTCATTTTCAAAGCAGTCACAGTCATTACACTCAATTCACTCATTTATCAAATTCCGTCTCCTGACTCCCAAGCCCGCCTCTCTACAGCCAATTCCTCGCTATAATCACCAAACTCGCTGAACACGTCTGACATCATCTCGTTATGTCTCCTTGGCCATCGAAAACTTTCAAACATGCTCTTCGTGTAATCCCAATACTCAGGATAATAACCTGCTGTTTCCCAGTCTATGATTCCACTTAACCGCCATCCTCTAGCTCCAGCAGAATTGCTAACCCGCTCCATCATGATATTGCGAGGGTTGAGGTCTCCGTGGGTAAAAACAATCTTGTGTCCACGCCGGCTGGGTTCATCTGAGAAGCGTAGATTCTGGCTAAATCATGCTTCATCTGCAAAAGGTCCGATGGGGGACCAATCTCGAATTCGTGGATCGCGGCAGGCTTCACCCAAAGTATTGCAGATAACCATATCATGATTCGCCGGCTTGGGGATGTCCCGAATTTGTGACACACAGCCTTTGAGCTGGACGGAGAGGCTGGCGTAGTCTTGGTCAGAAAGGGAATCCCGACATATCGCCAATGGTGTGCCTGGAACCGTACTCATGAGAAGATAACTCAAATCATCCTCGTTGTTACTCTGAGACACTATATCAAAGGCTCGTGGTGCAGGAATGTTTGTCTTTTGTTCCATGACCTTGATGGCATTATACTCGTTCCTCAGGGTATCCGAGTCGGAATTATACTTGAGGTATAGTCCAAAAGGCAACCTCTGAACCTGCGCATTGCCATCTTTTCCGTAGAAGCAGCTTCCTAGTTTTCTCAATAGATCGTATGTCGCGATACGAACTTGGGATGGAAAGAACCGCCACAAAAGCATAATTGGGCGCACGAAGGTGTATCCCAAGCCAAGGCTACTTGAACGCATTCGGACTGGGAACTGCTGTTGAGGGACATCCGTGGTGGTTTTCGGCTCTGAGAACAGACCAGGAGCGATAGTCCTTGCGAGATTCACTAGCTGGATGCTTCTAGAGAAGCGGGCATGCGAACCAATTAGCCGTGCATCAGCCTTTTCAATTCCTTGTCGTGAATGATCACCCAGCAAAGCAATAGCACCGTTCACATCAACAGGTTGCTCATCATCAATAAGAACATGCTCAACTCTGAACTAGACACGTTTATTAGACCCGATGTTGCTTCATGTGGCCAATGCCTCTTACCTCTATCATGGATGAAGGCAATCGTATTAATCTGACGACTCCGCGCTGGAAGGCGTTGTGCACGCTCCTGCGAACGAGCCAGTGAGTTTCATAAGGTGAATATATATCGGCTCTATTGATAAGAAAGCGCCACCAATCGAAGTATTGGGGGCCAAAGAATGTCTCAAGAAGCTCTATAACACATGCCTGGTTTTGAACTACACGTGAGAATATGTACAAACGACAGGAACAAAAGAACTAACCTCTCCTTTGAGCCACGCAGATGGCACAGGTAGAATCGGGGCGACTATTAAAGGGTCCCAGAGACTACCTTTTTTACCCGTTACGCAGCATACGCCTCCGTCTCGCTTGGTAATGGCATCGATCTCAACATGCGAGGGAGCTCGCGGCTGCGTGCCCGAGATGACTACGTGCGGTTGAGTAAGTGAGAGGCCTTTTCTTAAGCGGGGAGCAGATACTAACCTGAATCAATAACGTAAACCCAATCAGCAATGAGAGAACCAGCATGTCCATCGCTTCTCAATCGCCTTTGTGCGTAATTTGCAGCCGCCTGGGGTCGAACAGCCTCCAGGATGTACGCGCGTAATAACGCGGAAGCCGGATGCTCAAGTGAGACACAGTCCACTGACTCGAGCGCTTTGCGTACATCTGGCGACGAAGGGTTCATGATGTCTGTTTCATTGACTCATAGGCAACAAATTGGTGGAATTATTTTCAAGATATTTTCAAAGCTGTTAGCAGCGCAGGTGAAGTCAGCGCAAGAAATGGTTGAGAGAAGACGTTGTCTAGGGTGGATGTCGCGCGGTAAGAAAGATGCCATCATTGGAGGGCTGTGCGTGTGATTCAGGGTACTAAAGCGGGGCATCGTGCTCCAGGCAGCATCGCCTATAAACAAATTCCCCTCGTAACCTTCACTTCATCATCGACTTTACTATCACGTCCTGTCTTCACCGACGCAATGGGATCTCTTCCTCTCACCAGCATCACAGTGCCGCCAGCCCAAGGCCAAACGCACACTCACACCGTCGTGTTCCTGCACGGTCGCGGAGATAACGCTGCCAACTTCTCCAGCTCGCTCCAATACTCACGCGACTCCCAAGACCGCACTCTCGCCGACGCTTTTCCCTCTTTTCGATGGGTATTTCCTCAAGCACCTCAAAGAAAATGCGCTAGTTCGCCCGACGTGTGGAACCAGTGGTTCGATGTCTGGAACGTGCGGAACTTGTCGGAAAATGAAGATCTCCAGGCAGAAGGGCTCAAAGAAGTCGTGCCCAAGATCCGCGACATTCTAGCCAAGGAAGCAAACGACTTGAACGGGAGGTGGGACAAGGTCATTTTGATGGGCATCAGCATGGGCTCGGCGACAAGCGTGCACACACTGTTCAACCTCGAGATCCCGACCCCTAACAAAGGATTGGGCGCGTTTATTGGATTCAGTGGGCGATGCCCGTTTGCCGGCCGGACACTTGATGAGATGCGCAAAACGCTTCAACTCGATTCCGTCCCAGCACACAACGGCGTTCTCAAAAATACGCCTATCCTCTTGGAACATTGCGTCGATGATCCGCTGGTGTTGGTGGATTGGGGCAGGAGGCAGTGTGAGATATTGAAAGATTTTGGAGCGAATGTGACGTGGAGGGAGTATGGGAGCGGAGGACACTGGTTCCATTCACCTCAGGGCATGGATGATGCGATAGGATTTTTGAAGGCCGTGCTCTAGATGCTAGACTTTAGCATTAAGAAAGGGCGGCAGTTGCCATGCGTGGAGCCCAGCTCTTTCACCAGTTTGCCGGCACCAATCTAGTTGATCACAACAGTTCATTCTCTTGTTGTTCTCATTCGACGGCGCAATAATTGAGTAAGCTCAAGAATAAATAAAATGCTGTTGTAGCCAAGACTGGCACATTTGTCTCATGGGAGGTTGTGAATTGAATGGTGAAATGCGTACTTTCGTTGTTTGTGGCTCCCAGGCGATGCATTGAGGTTTGCGCTGCAGAATGGGGAGCTGCACGTGGTAATCGCTGGAGCTCAGTGCCGGCTGGCCAAAAATGAGCTACAGCCTTGGCATGAACGTGAGAAAGTGGGCGTTGGGCCATTTAGGGACATTTCTTAGACTGAAAGGTGACATTCTGTTGTTCCATTGCTAGCTTCTTATGACGTGGAAAAGGTCCAGACCCAGCCCTGGTGGCCCTTTTGAAGTAAGTGGTGCTGGCGCTGAGGCTGAGTCTTGTTTTAGCTGGCAAACAAAAGTGTTTGGCGAGCTTCTTCAAGGCATCAGCCGTGATTGAGATGATTGGACTAGCCTGATGAGTTTCGGAAAAAAGGCAGTGCTTACCCGCTCTCCAGGCATAAGAATTAATTAAATGAGTTCACATGCCGTGTCTAGGCAACGCAATTCAAGGACCCCGAAAGTGCCTTTTTCCCGAATTGAGTCCCATTGCGCGAGGATGCTACGTAGCCTGGGGGAAGTAAGAAAATCTCTAATTTGTGCCAAGAGGGACAAAAGAATCAGGTCATCCTCTGTACCACTTTAGTGGATCTCTCGGTTCGGTCTTTTTGGCAGCTAAGTTCACTGTCAGAAGCTTTCTTACTCCCCAAGGGTAGCGCAGCTTGTTAGCGTAGGGTGCCCCGTAGTGCCCTGCAAGCTCAGCAGATCAGTTACGGGGTCCGCGCGCGATAATGTCTAGTCTAGGTTGGAGCCGTCGGATAATCGGCAAGTAAGACCACATCATCGCGGAACTCTAATTGGCCAGGTCGTACATTTTCAACATTGTCTGGACCCTCGAGCTAATGAAGCCTCCAGAACCGTAACATGAGATTGCAGAATGGCTGAGCCTCACTCTTACGAGTTTTACGAGACAGCAGGGCTGAGTTTAATTTTCCTAGAGGTTACGGGATGGAGAATGCCCAGCCATGAATTGCTTGCTACTCTGTGACGCAGCCCCGAGTGCGAGGTGCCGTCCTTGGTCGACTTATAAGTACGATAGCCCTGACACTTAGCTTGTTGTTTATCCAGATTTAAGGCATAAACTCGTACCCGACAGCTCTGCTGCATATAAGCATTTCTGATCCCTGTTTCATTTTCACATCAACATCTCAATCATGGAGAGACACGACATGCTGTACTCCGACGTAGAGTCCGCATCATCGTCAACATACCAACACTCACAGACAGACATCTCTATCGTATCAGCATCTACGACTCCGTCGACTGTCCTTCCAGACGAGGGTATCATCTCAAGGACCTATGACGCTGCCAAAACCCTGTCGCACATCAAATGCCCCCACCAATTGCAGAAGGGTCACCAAAGAAACAGCCCTAACAACACATCCACAAAAGCAGCATTCAAACACGACTACCAATCATACGCACAAACATCTCACATGGGTATTCTTGACCCAGCATACAAAGTCTTTGTTAGCAAGAAAGGCTACGGTTCCTTGATCTACAAGCTTCACGCCAGGACCGTTGTCGTTGCTGGTGATCCACTATGCTCAGAGTTCCATCGCCAAGCACTATTCAGTGAGCTTCGGCGCTACCGTTGGGCTCGCGGTCTATCACTTGCATTCGTCGGAATCAGCGAAGAGTTTGCCAAGTATGCCCACCAAAAGGGCTGGGCGACGATGCATTTTGGCCACGAAGCCGTTCTCAACCCTCTTACCAACAAGGTCCTCCGCAAGCAAGCAGGCAAGCGCATCATCTCCCAGAACAAGCAGCTTCTCGACCCAAAGCGCGGGGGTGTTAGAATGAACTTCTATAGCCCCGCTGTGAACGAGGCAGATCCTGAGCTAGAGCGACAGCTGCAGGATCTTTACGACGATTGGAGGGAGGACCGAAACCGGAAGCACGGAGATGGCTCACAAGCTTTCGTCACTGTCTACGACCTCTTCTCTCTTCCCAAATCCACAATCTTTCTATACACTTCCGACCGCGATGGCAAGATCAACGGACTTGCCACACTACGAGAACTTGGCGCAGAGAAAGGATATCACCTCGATCCCTGCATCGCATCCCAAGATGCACAACGAGGAATTTCAGATCTCCTCCTGTTCACTGCCATGGAGATTCTCAAGGCTTCCGACGTAGGCTACATGAGCCTTGGAATTGAGCCTCTCGACGAGGTTCAAGAGGTCACAGGGTCATCGAAGCTTGTGTCACGGCTCTGGAAGGATGGCTACAACCAGATGATCCAGTCTGTGCCCGTGACAGGCAAAGCAGCATACTTTAAGAAGTTCTGCCCAGATGAGTCGCTTACGTCGAAACTTTATATCTGCATACCCAGCAAAGGCATCCCCGTTCGAAGATCAATCGCACTACTGCAATTCGCGAACATGAACCCCAGCCAGCTATTTACTCAAATACACTTGGGAGATCGGCACAAGGAAAAGCAAACACCACAATCATGAGATTATCTAATTTTTCTTTTTCTTTTTGTATAATACTGTCACTCATATATAACGGGAGCGGGGATACCAGTCGATCACTTGAGTTAGTTTCTTTTGTCACATAGATAGACTAGTTTTATACAGCGTTCCATGACTATAACGATCATTTCCATCAAAAGGTCATATATCCTATTGAATATTCATGCTCCAGTATGTCATACGAACTTTTGAACGTTCTTTGTTGTTAAACATTATGCTTTCAACAGCAGGGTCATGTTGGTCCTGTCCGTTCACATCTGGTAAGCTCCTCATACTGCTGGTTCGTGAGCTTCCGCGTACCATCATTACCGTGCAACCCTATTCCCCGCTCTGTGATTCTTTTTTGCTTCTAAGGAAAGATCATCTAACTCAATTGTGGCGGCGAAGCATTGTGGCATCCACTCGCACCGTCACGGCACTCAAACGGCACTCGGAACGCAAACTGACTATGTTTGCGAAATGTCATCGCATGGCAAGTCCTTACCAATAAATATGAGACTAGAAGAAAAGCGGTAACCGGCGAAAGTACAAATAATATTTCGAGCGTTGCAGACTATTCTCCTGTGTATGGTCTTGATCTAAGCCTTCCCGAAAAACCAGCAAGTGGTTGGTAGTAAAGCCTACATATTACTTAACAGTGCATGGCACGGTATGCATCATTACCCAAGCCTCCTTTGTACTCTTCACAATTCTGTGGAATGACGAAACACCCAATAGACCAACAAAGTGCTACAAACCCGGGGATCTTCATGACCAATAAACCGCGTGATCTTATCTGGGTAACACCACGGACAAAAGGACTTCATGATGCCTAGGTATTGCAAGCAGTGGAACAGAAGAAAGCTTGATTTCATACAGAATTGGCCCCAGATAGCTTTAATCAAGTTTAGTGCTGACGATAGCACGACGCATCTTGAACCCCGTCGCTCCTATCCGCTGCGGCTCATGATGATTTCGTCACCTTCCTGTTCATGCCGCATGGAGAGATTCGGCAACATGGAACGATGATAATATGCGTTCCTAGTGGCGGCGAGATTAGCGTTTTGCCGACCTTTCGTTGTTTCGAAACCTGTCTTCGCAACCTCTACGACAAGTCTAGGAAGTATCAAGTCGGCCCAACGATTACTCGGCGGCTTCCGATGTACTTCCGCACAGTGGAGGAGATCTTGGTGTCTATCACTGCTGTCGATTCAAAATGGGCTCTCAAGAACCACCATACTCTACCACTAATGCATGCCTCGTGGTCGCCTGAGGTAATTGAGGCAAGTTCTGAAGAGGCCAGAATGCTTGCTCGGAAGAGATACACAGATGCTGTGGCCGGCTTCGCACTTGCAGCTTGTTCTCAATTCTTCGTCGACGGTCTGAAAGCTAAAGACCATAGCGGCCCAAGGCTTGAAGATGAGGAGGTTCGTCTGAAGGAGGAATTTATGACGGACCTGACAAATGCATTCCAAGATGAATTTCTACGTTCTCACTGCATGGATAAGGTTGGGTTCACATATACGCTGCTGGAGTTGGAAAGGTTGTAAATCGTACAACTCGCATTCTAGGCTGCTATCGTATTATTCATAAGAGGGATGAGAGTCATAATTCTGTTCTTCTCAATGTTGTTTTTACAGCTATGTTGCATCATATTCAGGTTCAATCATCTTGAGTTGCACTGGTTTCAACCAGCCCAAAGTCCACTAATCACAAAGAAGTAATTAGATAGTGACGACTGTTGGGCATTGTTGGGCATGGTATGATCTTGGGAACTGCTTCCCCGTGTTTGTTGTCTGGACACCTGGGAGTCTCTGATACGTCCAGGTTGCATGTGTTCGGCCTCCTGCAGGCGTTAGCAAAGGCCGGCTGGGAGAAATTGAGGAGGCATGCAGCCCCCATTGGTTGGGGATTTGAGGCCAGCATCGGAACCAACAGTAATTAATTTGCCACTATAACCCAGTTTTTCAAGGCTAAAATCGCTCTTTTATCTACTTCTTATAAATTCCGCTACGCATAGTGCTCTTAGTTTCGCTCTTCGATGCAATTTGCTTTCGATTGTAACACTCTCACCTCACTAAAGCTATTCCCATCATGGCCGAACTTGCGACAGACCTATACTGGCCAGAGCCCGTGGACGGCAGCGGGCAGTCCGGTGCCCTGATCAAGACCTTGTCGCCAACGGAGGAGGTAGTGAATGGGCACGCTGCTGAAGAGAAATCTTTGAGTAAGAAGGAAAAGAAGGAGAAGAAGGAGAAGAAAGAAAAGAGAAAGAAGACGAAGAAGCAGAGTTTACTGTCAATTCATTCTCCTTCTGCAAATTGCCAAGAAACTATCTTTGCGGAAGAATCCTTAGCAGTTGCGCCAGTCACAGTGGCAGAGGATCAAGAACCGTTAATCACTGTTCCTGAGGTAGATATCCTGGAAACCGCACTACCCGAGGAGAATCCAATTCCAGAGGCCGAAAGCGGTCAGGGCCCATCAGCTGAGTCTCTCCTTCCAGAGCACATCAATGGCGGTAAGCTTGCGCCTTTTGTTCCTGACATGACTCTGACACCGTACAGGCATGGAGACTGATATATCACCACTTGCCCTTGAGGCACAGGAGCTCATATATCTTCCGTTCAGCGCCCAGCATAAACTCATGGTGCATCTACAGGAGCGTCTCGAGGCCATGTGTTTCTCTTTCGCACAGCGGGCCCTCCCGCATGCTCTCGAAGCTCGCGGTTGGGATTGTCCAGAAATGGTCCAGTTGCATCTTTGGATGAAGCACCTTGCATTCCAACAGTATGTGGAGGACAAGGTTCCTGAAATGGAACTACGTGCTCAATTGCTCAATTCCGTAAGCGAGATTCAGCGTTGCGCTGTTAATCGCAGGCGAATTGATACGAGTATGTTAGAGGCTCTTCTCTCATCCGCCTTGGAACTAGCCAACCTTCTCGAGGAGGAACATTCAGTCAACGAGCTTGAACAACTGCGAAACAGCGTTATCCAAACCACTCATCATCTTGCGGAGCAAACGCAGAAGCTGCAGGCCAAATACGAGACGAAGTTACAGGAGATCACCGCTGCTCGGACGAAGTTGGATGCCATGGAGGAGAATACCAAAGCCGCACTTTCCAGAAGGTTGGAGCAGAGTCGCTCTATGGCCAATGGCAGAATCATCATGCTTGTACGCGACGCAGAATGCCTAACCCCAAAAGTAGCTCTGCCGGGGGGATCAACGAGATCTTGTCTTGATTGGATGAATGACCTTGAGAGTAGTCTGGCTCTTGGTGAAGAGGATCATGAGGACTATGTCGGTTAGAATTATGGCAACCTTCATTTTTGGATGACATCGTTATGGCCTGCCAACATTGGACCTGATTGGAGAATATCTTGGTGTACATTGACTAGCAAGCCCCAACTTCCGACTGCATCGTTGCTCATTCTTTATTACTAGTAACAAACTTCACTACCAATGATGTCAGCGATGCTTAGTCGATCAGTTTTCTAAGCACCTCGGCAATGGTGGGATGGCCAACCATGCTAACCTCACGGGCCACTCCGGACCTTGATTAATCAACCCGGAACCACCTGAATCGGGAACGTTATTCAGTAATGCCGACTTTTAGTGCGATATGTGGGTCAATTATTGCACCGCGGTGGAGTTCAGTTCTATACTCGGGGTTCTCGAGTTGCTCCGTAAGTGGAGATATCGGCCGATGCCTCGGCATCTTCCAACTCATCTCTCAAGGGCCGAGAAACCTTTGGGACCAGAGATCAAAGTGCCAAAAATACCCAGAAAAGTTCCACAGGCTTCATTTTGAAGTTTGCTCTTGTATTTTTGGAGGTCAAGGTGGAGGCCTGGGGTTTATCTTTCTCCCATTAGTTCATCTATATTAGGTACCGTATAGCCGGGCCTTGCATTACTCATATAAATAAACACTGTCCCGAAAGATCGGTAACCCAGATCTATCATTTCTCACTTACCTATATCATCAATCAGTTCAATAAACTCTTTCAGTACCTACTCCTAAACCATGGCTACCGTCGTTATTCAGTACCCCGCCGGTCATGACTTCGATGTCGACTACTATGTCAACACGCATATGCCTCTGGCCCACAAGTGAGTCTTAGTACCATCCTCGCCCGAAAGACAAAGTCCTAATGAACCATAGGCTCTGGGGCCCTCTAGGTCTTGTCAGCGGACAGGTCATCAAGCTCGGTGGAGACAGCCCTTACCAAATTTACTCTATCACCACATGGGATAGCATGGCTTCGTTCCAGAAGGCCACCGTTTCAGAGGAGGCGAAGCAGATTAAGGATGATGTGAAGAACTTCACCACCGCGACAGCCACCTATGTTATTGGCGAGACTGTCGCCAAGGCTTAGCCTACATATCGTCCTCGGTAACATGTTGGAATTAGAGTCGTTCGGATAGTAAATAATTTTTAGGGAAAGTTTGGAGAAATTATAACATGTTATGGAAGAGGTGATAACAATCTCATCAATACAGACCGCGCAACGGCGTATCCGTGATACTACCAAAAAAAGAAACGTCCTGATTCATCCCGACTTTGCATTGAGCTGCCATCTCATCTTCCCAACATCCAAATCCGCATCAGGTCCCTTGGTTGCCTTGAGCAGCTCAAAGTCTCCTTTCTGGATATGCACCACAGCGGTATGCTAAATGCCCGTTAATATCGGTACCCATCATTGAAAGGCTCGGTGTACTTACCGTTCCCAGTGTCAGGTTCAGCATGCCTTCAAAGAACTGCGGCTTGTATTCTTTGGTGGCGCTCTTGCTCTTGATCAGGTTGAGGATGTTTTGAACTGCAACCTCGCCTTGCATCATACAAGCTCGAGCTTGCTTTGCGCCTCCAGTCTGAGCAACATCGCCTACAGCAAAGATGTTGTGTCGGGACGGAGGCAAGTTCTCGACTAGAAGTGTTGGTTTGACTAGAATCTCTCCGTTCGATGCAATACTCTTGGGTGAATATGTGGCGAGGATGTCGGATCGTGGGCGGAGACCAGTGCAGGGAATCTGTAATCACGTTAGATTGAGAGCTTCTATGGTTGGTCAGTTACGTACCACGAGGTCGAAAGTCCGATTCTCCCCGTTGGAAAAGGCAAGACTGGTCTCCTGGACAGATTGACCAGCATCACTTGGAAAGCTAGGTCTCTCTCCTAACCTGACCTCGATATCTTGATTCTTGAGTGCAGATATAACATGATCATGGAGCTTCCGACCAAATCTGGGCAGGAGTTGTTGTCTGGAATGAATGAGGGTAACCTTTTTGTTGGGATACTCTTCTTTAATCTCGGTAGCTAGCTCAACGCCAACCGCTCCAGCTCCAATGACGGCGATTCTATCGGCCTTGGCGACGCGTTGCTGGAAGCCTCGGAGTTCTTCAATTGCATCTTCCTTGATCCGGGCATTCAATCGAGCCGGAGGAGGCTGGGCCGCGCCAGTGGCAATCACGAGATAGTCGTAAGGGAGGGAAACACCACCGACGGTGTGAACATGTGTCGCGGTGATATCAGATGCTTCGTCGCAGACTCGTTGGAAGATGCCATCCGGGGCACCTGCAGCGATGTTGTCGTACGTAATGAAGGCATTATGCTCTCGTCCTGACAAGACGGAGTTTCGAGGGAAGCTGAACGCGTAGTTGAAATGAGAGTGCTTTTCGATGAGAACAACCCGATAACCGGAGGGAAGCGTGTGAGCCAGGCGCTGGGCAAGAAGACTCCCCGCAAAAGAGCCCCCAACGACGACCACGACACGTGAGTCGGGTAACAGTCGATACGTAGCTCTATGGATGATCGATTGTCCCTTGTGTACTGCCATCATGGCAAGATGCGACACAACGACTCTGACAAAGTCGAAATAAAAACTTATCTGCTGTAGACTCATTGTGAAGGCGTTTGCTTAGGCTGCGTGATGGAGTTGGAGACGTCGCAGATCCACTAAATGTCAAATGCAAGATGATCAGATAAGATCTTTTTAAATAAGAATTCTCGGACACGAGACAGAATAAGCGGAACCGGGTTCATCCGCGGGATCCGATTTCCCAGGCAGACTCCGTGGGTAAATCACGGAGATAAATGAATAAACCGGTTCCCAATGGCGGTGATTTCGAGTTTCTAGACAAGGGTTCTCCGAAGTCGGCATGGACCAAACTAACTTACAACGAGAACGAGACTGTGCTCACAATGACTTAATAAAAAGATTAGAGAAGAAATTTGCGTTGTTATAGAAACATGTCGGAATGATGAAATATTTATTGGTTCATCTGGTGATTTGCTTCGGAGGAAATGAAAGAATTAAGCGTAGTCCAAGTCCGTCTCTTGACCCAATATCCGTGCCCCGAAGCCGATTCGGTAAATTCGTATCAAAACACCCAAAGCCGTGACAGGCCACCCACACCGGCTGCTGGATCTTTCTGGCGGCTGCTACGTCTAGAACCTGATCCGGCCACGTCCTCGTCATCAGAAAAGCTCGGCAGGTGATCTTCTGGCGGTGGTTGGATCCATTCCGTATTCCGCTCTGCCTCAGGCCTGCTGAGAACCTTGATTGGTTCATCACCAGAAAGCTCAAAGCTTTTGCCGGCAGCCTCTACTGTCATCTCCCATTGGATGCGGTGCGTATGTCGAATGTTGAATGTTTGGAAGGATGGGTATAGGTCTTTACTTCGCTGCAGACGAAGGTTCAGTTGCGCCCCAATGTCAAGACTCTCTAATGGTCTCATCTCAGATCCTGAGCCACTTTCTTGCAACGGCTGAGTATCCGTGGATGGTCTTTGCCATGGGACATACAAGTCTTCGTCACACTGAATAAAGGCATCTTCCGCATGCAGTGTCACCCGAGCCTCGCAGTCTGTCTCATGAACATTCTTCCCCTTTGGACACTTGATCTCCGTCTTTGCGACAACATTCAGGAAGATTCGGGTTATCTGAATTGAAGGAAGACCGGGCTTTTGTTTCTCAAGATCGAAGCCTTGAGGTGGAACTGCATGGACCAAGAATAACATGGGATCTGGAGCTTCAATCTGCAGTGTTGTCGGTGTCTGAACCTCAACGCTGGCCACCAAAGGATTATCGCCTTGGAGAGCGAGTGTTTGGCGTGCCGTATGACGGTCTGTGTGAGCTGGCAAAGACTCCGTGTTGATATACAGCATCCTGAATGGTAGTATTGCTTCAGCAGTGCCAGAGCCTCTTGCAGCCGTCTTCAGCTCCGCCTGCAGGAAATACTCAACGAACGCTGACATTCCAGACATATAGTCGTACCGCTCGATCAGGCATGTTGGTGGAAGACGTTGTTCCGATGCATCTGCGGTAAGATAAGTCTGATCCGGCGGTGCCAAGGGCTGTAGTGCAGATACATCTACGCGATCAGGCAGACTAATTGAAAATGCCTAGCGCTGCTGTACATCGTGTTCAGCGATATGTATAGGGCCTTCGAAAATAGTTTTTGAGTACTCTGTTGGCTGCACGAGATCAAAGCGTCCGCGATACGTCGATGTCAAATGTCCGCGCCGCGCTACCATTCGTGATTTACTTCGAGCATGCAGCGAGATACTGACAGTTGCCAACGAAGCGACGATGTGAGTTGTTCGAGATATGTGGCCCGTAATCACTTCTCCAGGAATGTATGTTGAATCCGGACGATCCAAATGGATAGTGAGTTCAGGGCCCTTCTTGACTGGAGTTTGCGGCATGTTGGCGGTAGTATTATTCGTGTTGTTTCAGTATGATCCATCTGTCTAAATTCATTTCGTGGTCCTTAATATATAGATGACAGAACTGGTAAGGCGTTGTCAGGTGTTCTTGTCAGACGCGGAGAAACGAAGTCGCATCACTTCCATTTCTAGCCAAATATACGTCATTTAAGCCTTACAAGCCACCTTCAATCGGATACTTGTGCCGTCTCTCTTTGGTCGGGCGCCCAACCACGAGGAGAGAGTGATCGTCTCCTTTTACGCAGCTCTCAGCACAGCCTACATATTGCGAGCAGCTGTTTCAGTCGATTGATGCTGAAGCCATGAACTTGAGGCAATATGATAGAGGCAGAATTGGTGATTCGAGTGGGGACAGCATTCGTCTTTATCGCAGATTAAGGCGCTAGCTAGAAGATGCCTACAGCTATTAGCGCGCTAGATCTGCTGAACGCCCTGTTAACGCCTTCTGTAGTTTTATGTTCAGCCGTCGCAAGCGCCATATTCAGTGGCCCTGGTGTGATGTTCAGTAGGTAGTGCAAGCAACTTTATTTGGTCATCTCAGGCAGGACTCACTTCAATTCGGAGAGTATTCCCGTCGTATTCATCAACGCTGGTCAGTGTTGTTTTGCATCAGCTTGCGAAGGTAAGAAATAGTTTTTTCTTAACTACTAGTTCCATCTAAGCACAGACCTGTCTTCATACGATAATATTAAGAGAGCCAAGAAGAACTCGATGCTTCAAAGAGCTGGTTTACAAGCAAAGTCTACACCCTTGTCCCTGTCGCCATTCTCTTGTAACTCGCCTCAGTCCTCTCGCGGATCCTTTTGCCCCATATCATCATTGGGACATGAAGAAATGCCATAGCCAGTGCCCATAACCCCATGACAATTGTCATATTCTGCAGGCCTTGAGCATCCAGCCATGGAACAAGAGCGAACGAAATGGCGATGCTGAAGGCATTACGTATGAAGGCGACCCCGATAAATGCTTCTCCAGTGATCTAACTCCAGTTAGCACAAGTCTCTCGTCGCGAAGATAGGGTCACATACCGCTTGGTAGCTATCGATAGTCACGCAAAGCGCAACATCGCTCAGACCACCAAGGCCAAAGCCAAAGATTGCGCTACCAATACTTGGATATATCCAGTGCATCCCCTGTCACTGTTAGTCCGAACATGACAACGTAAAAGCCTTGCATACCTTTGCTGTAGTGATACCGAACATGATAAAGCCGCCACTCATACAAACTGCTGGGAAGTGGTTCAGCTGTAGCCGCATTTCTGGCTCATAATAACCGTAGTTCTTTCTTGTGAACCAAAGAATTGCACGATCGGAAACCGCACCGTAGGCTGAACCCAAGATACAGCCGATAAAAACTCCCAAACTCATATTCCCGACCCCAACGGTACCGAAGTTATACGGTGGCTGTGTGAAAACGATGGAGATAATCGACGCTTGAGCGGAAATCCAACAGAGGCAAAAGGCATATGTAAGGGCTGTGTACATGACAGCTGGGAAGCGGAATAAGATAACGATAGCGGTTCGGACAATGCCAAGTAGGCTTTCGTCGGTTTTCGTGACAAGGCGCATGCGTTGACGCCATGTGAGAAGCGGGATATCGGAGTCGATTCGATGTAGCGGGGCATTCGATGTTTCCAATGTGACGCATGTGCTCATTTCGCCTGTCTGTGTTTCTGAGATGTTGTCCTTCTTCGTGGCCGGGATAGGAGTCGGATCTTCGGAGGACAGTTGCTGGGCTTCGAGACGGGGTATATACTTGCTCTCCTCGAAAAAGAAACAGAAGTATAGTAGTAAAGCACCGTCAACGGCTGTGGTGATCCAGTAGCAGAGCCTCCAATTCCCATTGGCGGCCATGTAACCTGCAATCACGGGACTCAGAAAGCTCTGCTGCACATCAGTGACGATTCCGCTGTTCCCATGGCTGGGTCTTTACTTACACCAATCATAACCATGACCATGTATAGGCCATTTGCACTACCGCGTTGATGAACGAAATACAAGTCGGCAATCTGGCATCAGTCAGTGTGATCCTTCACAATGCACTACTTCCATACCGTCATCTCAACAATACTCTCATTGGTCGCACTAGCCAGTCCAAAAATAAACTGCGATACATGTAGCTCTGTCAGGGTCTTCATACGCGCCGACCAGATGGCCATAGCAAAGATGATGGCTGTCGTAAGGAGGTACATTGATCGACGTCCGTACTTCACCGCTGGAGGGATGAAGAGGATACAGCCAACGGTGGTTCCGACATAGTTGAGGGCGTTGGCGTTGTTGAGCTGGCCGTACGACCATCCGAATTCTTGGTTCCAGAGGACCCAGAAGATCAGTGGTAAGGAGGTTCTGTCAATATTAGTGTCTCGCTGCTTAGTCGAAGGGCATGGTAGCTCACTGAGTAAAGATGATTGCCGTGACTGCGAGAATGGGAACAAAGTTCATGGATTTGCGAGCACGCGACCAGTTCTAGCCAAGTCAGTCAACGCAATCGCATAGTACTTGATGCATCCATACTAAAGGATCGTTGGGGTCGTCAGTCGGCATTGGCTGCTTCACCAATTGAGGCGTTTCGGCAATGCCATCCTCTACCAAGAGTATGAGCTTGTGAACGAAGATCAGTATCTGTTTACTTACCACCAATCAACCGCACAGTACCAGGCGGTGTCGTGAAGTCTGGCGGAACTGGTGCCACTGTTCTGGGCATGCTGAAAACGAGGATGGTATTGCTAGAGAGATGTCTCTTGAGCAAGTTGAGCCGTGGGGATGATGTGATTTCATGGCAGCAACTGGTCTAGGGGTTTTATGTAGACATTTCTATCTGTACCGGGGTGGTTAGTTGTGATAGGAACCGCCTGGGGATCAAGATAGCATGGCCAGATGATCGATTGCCTGGGGGCTCCGCCTACCTTGTACGGTTAGTCTTATCGGTCAACACTGTCCCAGCAGCCGGGATCGCTGTCCGAAATGCGGGGGACGCGGGGACAGTCCACGGCAAGGTTGAGTAGCTTGGTGGAATACGGCAACAATCTTGACCAGTATCGACTTTGACCGTTGTCTACTTGAGCACATGCCATAGTTGAACCCAAGGTTCTTACTTGAAATAAATCACTTGGCGAATGAGATGTCATTTGATCTGCCTGGTCAATTCTTTATCTGCCTACATAAACATCCTCAACCTTCTGTCCAAGGAAGTTGGTCAACCGCCAGCAATCTATGACAGCAGCCCCTCCGTATGACTGCAAAGCTCCAATGGCCACGATACCATTCATCCAATTATACGGACTATTTCCTGCTGCTTCGAAAGTAATATGAGTAAAGTATTCCACCTCGTCCTGCGTGTAATCCACGTCGATCGAGTCTGGCTGTGAGAACTCGATACCCGGCCCAGGTCGGAATAGTCCACGAGCCTGCACAAAGATATGATGACCATCATTTGTTTTGATCGTGTACCTCGCATCTAGCTTATAGTAAATCTGTTCCTTTCTGTCAATACACAGTGCAGCGACGCGTGTAGGTAGTTGAGGCGCCAACCTTCTTGGAATGAACTTGCTCTGCCCAATCAGCACCACTATTCTCAACAAGGGTACCTTCTATACCTGGTCCCCTTACAGTACCAGACTCAATACCCGCGATTGACCTCGTGATACCTATGCCTTGTATGTTCTCAATATCGTAGCCATTGGTTGGGTGCATCTTGGCGACAAGACGATACACAAACTCTAACCCCGGAGCCCTCATTGCAGGCATGTTGGGGTAAAGCTGGTTACCAGGGCTTGGCTGCGTAGTTTGAGATGGCTGCGACATTACTTCAACTGCTGGAACGATAGAAGTCTATTGGATGGATGGAGGACTTTAGTGCTATCTCTAAACTGTCGGATTTGTTAACCTTGTTTATATAACTACGCATTTCGTATACGATGATGCTCGAGATCATCGAAACACGCTTTGCTACGTGTAGGGCAATCAATCCCGCGCGGCACTGCTTGCTTTTATGGGTGTAGCGCAGACTCTTTGATGATCTTTGCCGCTTTTAGCAACCGGTGCCGCGCAAAATGAGGTTCCAGACCTTGTCTGGTTTCTGCACTAAAACGTGACAGGGACGGATTTCACGGGCTCCGATAATTCAATAGCCCGCTTGTCCATCGCTCGTGGTCTTGAGAGGTAGAAAATAGATAAGAGAGCCTTGAAGTAGTCACCATCACTTCTGGCATCAGTGTTCCGGGTCATCATGTCAAAACCGACGAAGAGTGCTTGTAAAGTCCAGATGAGGCCACTCGGGCTGAGTAGGTTCATCTATGTGACACCCAGTTTCGCTGCTAAATATCTCCAGACCATGGCTCAATCAAGGCTGCTGCTGAGATTATCAGCCTCTCTTTCGCCTCAGATCCTTTGATCCGTTGGCTCTCTCGTGATCGCTCTGGTCCTGGCTGGGAGACTCTGATACCTACCCTACAGCAATGGCAAGAGGCACGCCTTCGCGAGTATGCGGTCCGTGGAATTGCTATGGAAGCCGTTGCAATAGATAATACTCATAACGTCCTTGGATCATGCTTTTTGTTTCCTCCTAGGCCATTGTATCGATGGCTGAATCCATCGTGGTGGCCGTCATACCTAAGAGTGCTATGGGACGACTGGTGGGTCCAACCAACAGAGCCCTTCAGTTTAGAAAAGGTGATACAACTTATACGTGTCAATCATAGTTGATCTAACAAGTTTCCACAGAGGATCGGAATCATGATGGAGTCTCATAACGATTTCGAAGAGAGAATTAAGAAGAAGTATCCACCAAATTCTCTGTACTACCTCGAGATCGCAGCGGTCAGACCCGATACGCAAGGACTGGGAGTTGGGAGAATGATCATGCAGTGGGTAGTGCAAGAGTTAGGGGACTGTCCGTGCTATATTGAGTGTACAGACGAGAGCAATGTCGCATTCTACGTTAAGTATGGCTTTGAGGTTGTTGAAGAAGCGGAATTGGTGGATGAGGAGGATGCGATACCACCAACAACTTTATTTTACATGATTAGAGATCCATCAACGCTCAAGAAATAGGGCGAAAGGCGAAAAATAACATAAGTTTCTTGGAGACTTTATTTGCTCCTTATTTTTAATGCTTGCACAACTGGCTTATGGGATGTGAGAATTATGTACAAGATGGAGCATTTATGCAGCTGTTATGCCCACGCTAAACGATCTTCAATTAGTCCATCCCTTATCACCCCGCGCGCGAGGAGCCTTATCGCTCTCCAGGCGCGTATCTCGGCGCTAGTCTATTTTAGGTCTCTACACTTCCCATCTTGATCTTGGTCTTTGGCTCGTGGCGACGAGCTATCTCGGCCCGAGGCATCACCCCTCACGTCGATAAAGACGTTAGAAAAGACTTGGTGACAATGGATGTCATATTTCTGTCCAAAGGTACTATTCCCACCATATAATTAACCCAAGTCGCGTTGCAATCCCCTCCCGTTACGTGTTTGGCTCACATCTATGACCTCACGGTCGAGACGCGGGTAAGCAATTTGTTTTTAGCAGCGGCGATATCTCGTACTAAGAGTTTCCAGTTGCTGGACCTGTAAGAGAAGACACAAGAAATGTGACGAGAAACGGCCTGTCTGTGACAGATGTGTCCAGGCGGGCATGACCTGCGAGGGCTACAAAACACGATTGACATGGGGCTCTTCAGACACTGCAAGCTCAGCAGGGGGTGGCATAGTCTTGAAACCAGTTCGTCCACCACGCCAGAAGAGTAAATCTCTGCGTGATAGTAGAATAAGGCCTGTTGCTGAGAGCGTGGATGACGAGGTGGTAAACTTGCCGGACTTTTCCTCAATACCGTCGCCGGATGACCTGGACCTGCTATGCCTGCAATTCGAAGCATTCTCCGAGGGCTTACCAGACGAGGAAGTCTCACAAAAGCTCATGGATAGCTGTAAGCAAGTACACCCATGTATCGGGATCATCTAACCACTGTGTAGTCACTACTATCGGATGGCAGACGATCACAGGCCGTGCTGGACATGATACCATGTTCAAGTCCGACATTTTACCACTTTGTCAAGATAGTATCTGTCTTAAACACGCTTGCTTAGCATACCAAGCAAGTCTCGATATTGATACCAGTCACTTGACACCTCTATACATGCAATCGGCTCTTTCAAACTATCTCAACGACTTGGAAAATCCAAGCATGTTGTGCCAAGATGTCACTTTGGCAACGGGGGTTCTATTATGCAGCGTTAGCGTTAGTGGAAATCTCATATCCATACCAGAGCTACACTAATACTCGCAGATAAATTCACTATATATCTGGTCGCCGCTGCTGAAAGGCCTCCACGGAGTCCTCCAAGCACGCGATCTGTTAAACGATCCGCAGAGACCCCCTGTGGCAAACCACCTCCTCGAAGCTGTCGGGCTATTGGATATACCGTTCTTTACTCTCAATAGGATTACACCATCACTGGAAATATGGAAATCCTATGTCCAACCACACAAACACTCTGGTATTGAGCAGATTTCTGGGATACCTTATAGTCTAATGAATCTGCTAGCGAACATGGACTCCACCACCATCGAACAGGATCTGCTGCAGTGGCCTGGAGAACTCGGCGATGAGTTCGTACAGATCCATCTCTGGGAAGCGTTCCGCCTCGCCGGTATTCTTCACAGCCGTTGTCTGGCAGATCATGACCAGGACCAAACAACATCCTCAAGAGTCAATATCAGCACCGAGATACTACGGATGAAGGTATTTGCATCAATCCAAGCAATTATCGGAATCGGCACTTTCAACTTTCGACTCTCACTCGCTAGGGCCATATTATACCCTCTTTTCATAGCTGGCATTCTGGCAGAAAATGCCCAAGAACAGCAGCTGACTCGAGTGGCATTCCAGTACATAATGCAAAAAGGGCAGGAAGGTATTGAGCAGATAATCATGGATATTGTGGCAAAGGTTTGGAAGAATGGAAAAGGCGGCAGCGAAGCATCCAAGTTGATGATAGCTACTGAGGCTACGGCGGAGCTGAATGCTGAGATTCATCTCTACTAAAGTTACATAATCTCATAATAAGAGCTTCTTAGAGCTCAGACCCAGATTCATTCATATCTACGCGGGTCCAATATTTAACGAATAACAGCAAAGGCCACAATAATCGGGACACTAGAGTGAAGAATAAGGAGATGATATAAAACCGCCACTATAGTTTCAACTAAGCTAAGACTACTTGCTTGATTCCGATAGCACCAGCGACTACTGGTTCAGCCTTTATACCTTCACTCACATGACTTGGTTCCTTCTCGAGAGTCCCCATCTTATCCCTTTTAATAGCAATGTTATCAATAGCCAGGATGAATTCTTCCAACACACACATGTCGAGAATCTTCTGCATACGAGAGTATCTTCGTACATTCTCATCCTCAGCTTCCGTAACGACTTTGCTAGTCTCATCTGGTCCAAACCTCATCCACCGACCACCATCAGCGAACCGAGGCCATGGATCTTTACCATAGGAGTAATCGATAAAGCTACAAGCCATAGTTCTTGCAAGCTTCTGCTGACCTGGAGTCAATCTTTCATCGAAATTGAGGAAGACATATAGCAGGTCGAGTGCATGGTAAGCTTGACCCTTGAATATACTGTCATGAGTGCAGACCTGGTCGAAGTGATAACCAAATGTTTGCGGAATATTCGAGCGGTGAACAGCAATCCAATTGTGGATTTTGAAGGCAGAGTCGCCTGTCATGTCTTCAAGGGCTTTCAGAAGCTCCTCCTTCGAGAGATCAGGAGTGACGCCATAGAGATCAAGTATCTCGTCAGTAGCCTTTTCACTCAAGAACTTCTTCATCCCAGTTCTCCATGACTCAAAAGTCTCACCAGCAAGATCGTCAGTGAAGATCATAGCTTCGTCGGTAGTATCTCCAACCATGTAGCTCTTAAGCCATGACGGAGGTGAAGTAATACTGTTCGCAGAGGGCTTTGTCTCATGGAAAACGCCGTCGTCGCATGGATTGCCTGTGGCATTGAGGAGTCCCTCTACTGGGATCGTTGCAGCAGCAACGACAGCCTCAGGGACATTTCGAAGCTGCTCGAGTGCAGAGGGCGAGTCCGCATCAATGCCAAGATATCTCAACAAAGCGCGGTAATGTTTTTCGTGATGCTCCAATGGCCAAGTCTGGATGGTGTTCAGATGACCAGACATGGCGATAGCGCGATGGAAGGGGGCCGGATTCTTAGCAACGATGTGATGAGAAACACTTATACCTCCAGCAGATTCGCCGTATATGGTAACGTTGTCAGGATCACCACCAAAGCTGGCGATGTAGCGATTCACCCAATGCAAAGCAACCTGCTGATCATAAAGACCAAAGTTCCCCACGCCTTCGAGACCGTCGCGCTCTATATCTTGCTTGATTGCGGCTGATGCGAGAAAACCGCCGAGACCGACACGATAGTTGAGGTTGACTGTGACAACCGGCGTGTTACGGGCTGCTGCAAAAGTCGTCAAGTTGACGCAATCGAAGACGCCCTTATTGGCACCGCCGAAAAGAAAAGATCCTCCATGGATGTAAACCATAACGGGCAATTTCGCACCAGAGTCAGAGCCCAGTCTTGGTGTTGTGATGTTCATGACAAGGCAGTTGAGTTCATCTTCAATTGGCTCTTCAAAATGGGGCGCAATGTCAACTGGGACAAGGATATCCTCAGGTGTATTGTACTCCGGCGGGTTTGGCGCGCTGGGTCTATACAACATACTTAGTAATAATACCAGAGCGCTGAATTAAGCAGTAATTACCCTAGCTTTGTCCCATCGTGAAAATCGTTGGGCCATGAAGTCCTGAGTTGTGAGCGTGTCCAACGTTTGGAGAGCGATGCGTAGGGAATGCCACTGAATTGGTGGATGTTGTTAGGGAAGCTCAGGCCCTTGACAACACCAAGGCCCTGAACGCTGAGCTCTGTAGTACCGATTGGAGTTTTGCTGGCAGGCATGTTGACCAAGTTATCCTGGAAAAGCTCGTTGAATAGAGAGGAGATACTAGAAAATAAAGCTCTTTGGCGGAAGAAAGTCTACGCAGTCCCTAGACAGTTTTTATAAGCTCGATAACAATGAACTTTACCATCAAACAGTTCAGTTATAGAGTGTCAATTGTCTCGTTGGAGATGCCAGTGAAGGCTTGGTGATCCACTAACTCGATCAAGCAGGCTGAGGAGCGACCAAACCCCGCAAACGCCCCATTCGCTCGCGGGTTCCGCTGATACGAACAGCGACTTGATAATGATATTCCCAGAAATTACATACGGTAGATTGTCGGTATGGGCGACTTTCGTCGGCAAACGAGCCCCGCAAGTTTCTCGGAGACGGGATTCGTATATTCCGTTGGACGGGTCCCGAGAATGCCGCCTCAGAGACCGGGGATTCCGTATGTAAGGACATGGCATTACTTGCGACAAGACATCTAGACGCAGACCTTGAGCAAGGCAACGTTGTGACTCGGAAGGACAAGTAGAGCTGTGACTCTTTAGTACTACAATCGGGGACGACGGATGTCCAATGAACTGGATAAACTGCGATACGCAAGACGACTTTATTTTGCTTCCTTTGCTAAAGATCTCTGTGGAGGAAACGTGCCAGTTAAGAATAAATAGCGCCCCAGAGCGGACTCTCACTTGGCTACCAGAAAGCTGTACTACAATCCATACAATATTAATGATTGATAGCGCTACCAGCGATTATGCTCAACTGGAGAATCTCGTCGTTGGTTAGAGTGAAGACTGTCAGACTGTGAAGGCATTCGGAGCGAGGCCATCTCTAGAGCTGTGACGATGGACGGATGCCCCGCCAATCGCCAATCGGGTCGTTGGAGACGCGAGATGGATGATCTAGACCCAATGAAGCATGCCTATGCGAGAGGGGGTGATGATCCCGATCCGTTTCAGGGATCATGCCAAGCAATAGATAAGAAAAAGACCATATCGAGGCAATAGAATACACAATAATCTTCCTTGCTGACTATATCTCGAGAGCTGTATGATTCCACGTCCCGCTTCACCTTGAGGAGGAACTTCATCCTCTGATTCATCTTGTAACACCAACGACCAAGCTTACCCCGCGCCCAACATTCCTATTGACAACAGAGCTTGAGAATACAACAAACACTCATTCTGTGCAAAGATGGCTGGAAGTGGTAAGTCTACGGTTCTCTGTCTATTCCCGGTCACCTGCTCTGGCTCACCGTATTAGAATTCATCCAAGATGTCGTGAAGCTCATCACAGTTCGGTCCGGGCTGCCGAGTACAAACCCGACGACTCCGACCTGGCAGACTCCACCGCATCCAACCGTAGCAACAGCGCAATCCCACGGCTTGCCTTCGGAAACCGACATCATTATCATTGGTTCAGGTATCACTGGTATCGGTGCCGCACACTCCCTCTTGAATCATCCGAAAGGAAATGGCCTCAAGGTGACTATGCTTGAGGCCCGCACGGCCGTAAGCGGAGCTACTGGTCGTAATGGAGGACATCTTGTCTCTGATAGCGATTCCCTGTTTCCAGCTCTTGCCGAAACGATTGGCGTTGAGCGTGCGATAGAGACTGTGCGGTTTAGCGATGCGAATATTCGTCGCCTAAAGGAGCTTATCGCTCAGTTGGACCCCGAGGATAGAGAAGCAGTGGAATTTCGCGAGGTGACATCAGCAACGTCCTTTACGGATCAAAGTTCATTTCGAGGCGCTATTGAAGAAGTCAAGCAACTCTTCAAAGCGGTGCCTGACAGTGACATCAAGTTCAAAGTATATAACAGGGAGGAGGCGGCCCAGGTAACTAGGTTGAGCAACCCTCGTTTATGCACCGACTACTGACTGCCTGTCCTAGATCTTCAAATTCACCAATGTTGTCGGCGCAGTCGCCCAAACCGGAGTTGCAGCCTTATGGCCATATCGACTTCTTACTGCAGTCTTAGCCTCCCTCAGAAAAGAGTTCTCAAACCGCTTCTCACTCGAGACGAACACGCCCGTGCTATCAGTACAAGCTCAAGACGATGTTTTTGAGTATCCGTACCTCGTGCGCACACCGAGGGGATCAATTCGAGCAAAGAATGTCATTCATTGCACCAATGGGTATTCAAGTCATCTAATCCCCGGTCTCGTTGGCAATCTATATCCATTACGAGGAACCATGTCTACGCAGAAACTTGGCCCGAACTTTCCACGAGCCGGTCACAATATGTCTTGGTCACAAGTCTCTCTTGGCACATATGACGCAAATACTGGACATATTCATCTGGGCTTGTACTACGCTCAACAGAATGCAAAGACGGGGCTAATGTTTCTCGGCGGGGAGTCCCAGAGCCTTGGTGGTCTTCTCACAAGCGACGACTCAAACGTCGCAGAAGATGCTCGCCAAACCCTAAGTTCTGCAGCCCCGAAGATATGGAAAGATGCCGCTCCCGCAGAGGCCCTGAATGTATGGTCCGGAATAATGGGGTTCACGGCAGACGGTATGCCCATTGTGGGAAAGCTTCCGCAGAACCTCACAGGACGAAGTGGAAGTGGGGAGTGGATTGCTGCGGGATTCAATGGCCATGGGATGGATAAGTGCTGGCTTACTGGGGAAGCTCTGGCGAGGATGGTGCTTGGGGAGACTGATGTTCCTGGGTTTCCAAAGGCATACCTGTTGAGTGATGATCGGATGAAGAGTTGGTCACCTCAGGGAGCTGCTGAGACTCTGATGGACCATATCATGGTTGGGAGCCAGGTTCCGACAAGTCATCTTTAGTGCTCCCTGTATGTTTTCCAGCTTATTAGAGGTATCCACAACACGCTCGTGAGAAAAAGAGAGATTGTTTACGCGAAACCTCCCAACTATGCTTGAGACAGGCTTGGCTCTTGCAAAGCTTGTGAAGCCGCTTAACGAGTATAGCAACTCACGTAGTCAGGAGTCCCATTCTTTAAATCCCAATTTAAGGTTTGAAAGCACCAAAAACAACTGGCACATTGTGAGGCAGAGTTTGAGGACGAAAAACCAATTAGTAACCACGAAAGGCCGTTAGAGAAGTTGGTGGACGCTGTTCTACCCATCAAGGAGCTACGATCAATACGCACTCCAGATCAGATCTAGGTCAAACAGTCAGCAGAGATTGTAATACACAATCTTATTCTGCTAGTTGAAGCTATTGAATAAGCTTAATAAGCTTGTATCTCGGCCGGCCTCTCCTGAAATGCGGCTCGTAGCTTCATCACCCCATTTACAATCCTGGCGGTGGACTAACACATCCGACTTCGATTTCGACATTTAAGTGGCTTTGAAGCGCTAATTTGGCTCTCGAATGAGGCTTGTGACGGCCTTTTGTGATCCGCCCCTTCTCGCAGGCTCTTAAATAAGTTGATATGGTCAGCCGCTCCACGCTTCAGCCTCAAAGGCTGTCGCATACCAGAACTTCGGCGACCAACTGTATTCAGTTTTCGTGAAGCTTGAGGAACTTCGAATCTTCACTCAGTAAAATAGTAAACCATCCTTGGGAATCCAAGCCAGCCTGTGGTAACCTGGCTCTGGAATGTAGTGGTCATCTCCCCTCTAGAAACACGCGCTATCGAAAGTCTCATGCCACAACCGACTTGGGACCTGCAGTTGAACATGAGATTGATAAAAGGTTTCTGGCTTCGTAAAATAGTAAAGATGGTGTTTCTAAGTGACTTTTGTATGCGCGTCAACACTACAGAATGTTGTTTAAGAGTTGAAGACGCTTTTTGGGACATTGCGACACTGGCCTAAGTATATGTTGGCGGTATTCGGTGACCTATAGATCGTATTTGAAGCAGAATAATGTTTCGGAGCGTTTGCAGGTTTCACTTGCTGTTCCAGGCCATGATCTACGAAAAGAATAGAATTAATTCCTAATGCCTTACTCTGCAGACCAGAACTCATAGAGCAACCCACACAAAATCCACTAGGGGTTCAGCCAGCCAAATAAGTCAATCGGTATGCCAACGCAAGAGGAACTGGCACAGCGGCTGCTAGACTTCATGCAGTTGTTATCCATCAACGGATGGCACAGATTCATAAGTCATACTATTGGAGGTGCCATTATACCTGGCATTTTTCTATCGATCAAACTAAAGATTGCAAGCTACGAAATATGAGCTAATGGAGTGGTTAGCGTGCGAATCGCTCCCTTGGAACGAGCTTCGAGGACCGAGGCTCAAAACCTTTACCCATGAACAATCCAAAACGAGCTTTGATGACATTCAACCGGTTTCCATTACTCTTGATACAGCCCTTTGTATTTTACAGTCATTTTACAGAAGAACCATTGTCATAGCCGGGACTGCCGTATAAAAGGACAAAATGCGATCTTCTCCATTCCTTATCCCTCGCATTGTCACTAGACCCCACGTGCGCCCCAACCTTTCAAAAAAGTGAAACAAACCGTGTTTCTTTTTCTCTCTATCGATTTCAGAGTTCTAAGCTAGATCGTGTGTAAGGCGCATGCTATAAGCATCAGTAGCAGTTTCTATTAACTTAAAATAATACTCTTATTAAATTAGTTTAGGCAGTATATTAGCTACCTAATATAATTACCTAAAATAAGCTTTTTAGCCTATTTAATAATTATATCTAATATATAAAAAGAACTTAAATGTATTTACTAAAGGATAAAAAGGCTGCCCTAGTTACCTATTATAGCTCTCTAACTTAACGTTAGAAATACTTCTTAAGATGCAGGCTTACGCACCTATTACAAGAATAATCATAGGTTAAGGCTAAGCTAGATCAATTCCTTTCCGGAAAGGGGATTCAGCTGCGAACTAGCATACCGAAAGAAAAATAGTCACCCAGAGCTCTGGAATTCGAGGTACCCTAACACAAATCCAGCCACATCTAGACCAGCCACTGTTCGCTTTCAGGGAGCATTTTCGGATCTAGGGTCGACAGCTAAAAATTAAGCATGCTCAGGAACGGCTAGGGACAGGTGGGGATGCACATGTAGATCGCAATCAGCTAAGACGGTGTGCCATCTCGTTTGCACTTTTGTAGGTTAGCTTGGGCTGAAGAGAAGACCCAATGACGGTTTTAATATTAAATATGTAGAGCAGTATTTAAGGGCGGGTCTATATGACCCGCCGTTGATCCTTCAAACTTGCTTCCAAGAAAGCGCCATTATCACCTTTGGCTACTCTTCTTCATCATGGTGAATTTCAAGAATATAGCTCTTGGAGTGAGCATCCTTCTTGGATGCGGACTTGCTGTCCCTGCACCTGCTGCACCTGCTGCCCCAGCTACTGAGGCTGGTGCTATCATCCCAGGCAGCTACATCATCACTTTGAAACCCGAGATTGATGCTGCCATGGCCAAGAACCATTTGAAATGGGTCGAAGGCGTTCACAAGAGAAGTCTCACTAAGCGCGAGACTGAAGTCGGTGTCGAAAAGACTTATGACAGCAAGTCTGGCTTCCAAGGATATGCTGGATCATTCGACACAGCGACGATCAAGGAGATTAAGAAAAGCCCAGATGTAAGCCAACAGCTTCCATTGTTAAGGTGCAAACGCTAACTAGTTTCACAAGGTTCTAGCTGTTGAGCCCAACCGTGTATGGAAGCTCAATCGCATCAAGAGCAAACGAAACCTAGAGAAGAGAGATGAGATCACCCAGAAGAAGTCCACGTGGGGTCTCGGCACGATTTCTCATCGAGAAAAGGGTTACAAGGAGTACATCTACGATGACTACGCTGGCACTGATATGTACGCCTATGTCATTGATGGCGGTGTCAGAGTGACTCACAACGAGTTCGGTGGCCGTGCGAAGGCTGTCTGGACCAACTGGAAGGGAAACAACAGGGACGATGACGGTCACGGCACCCATGTTGCTGGTACTATTGCTAGTAAGACCTATGGTGTTGCTAAGAAGGCCAACATTCTCGCTCTCAAGGTATTCGATGGTGATGAGTCTGATACATCTATTGTCCTTGACGCTTTCAACTGGGCGGTCAACGATATAATCAAGAAAGATCGTACATGGAGAGCCGTGATCAACATGTCTCTGGGCGGCGAAAAGTCCACTGCCTTCAACAAAGCTGTCGACACTGCATCCAAGAAAGGTGTCGTCACAGTTGTTGCTTCCGGTAATGATGCTATAGACGCTGCCAAGGAGTCGCCTGGTTCGGCATCTACCGCAATCACTGTCGGAGCTATCGACTCCAACTGGGCTGTTGCTGATTTCTCCAACTGGGGAAAGACGGTCGATATCCTGGCCCCCGGAGTAGGCATCACTTCAGCTGGTCACAAGTCCAACACGTACACCTTCACCGAAGACGGAACTTCTATGGCTGCTCCTCATGTTGCGGGTTTGGTCTTGTATGCGATGAGCGTGGAAGAAGTTGAGGGAGTTGCTGATATCACGGCGTGGCTAAAAGAACTGGCGACTCCGAAGAAGATATCTGGGAATCTTCGCGGAGCGCCTAATCTGATCGCAAATAATGGCAATTGGGTTCAGTAGAATAGTAACGCAATCAAGTTTGTGTCTGTCATGAATTACTGAAAGAGTCTGATTGTCAAACATTCTCTCATGCTACGGTGCCTTCGGTGCATACGGCTGATGTTCAATTTGTCAAACCCCGGTTATCCAGAATTTTGCTGATGTTCCGGCAGTTCCTGGAAGGAGAGTTAGTAAAGGGATCCTGGAGAACGGAAGATCTTGCTCACATGTGATGTGAGGTAAAATTTGTGTAGCTTTAGGGTACTCATTGGACGAACGAACGTAGCATCTTTCTTCCTTGGCGAACGTAGCTATTTTTAACCCGCGGCCTAGTTAATGATCACGGGCTGTTCGGCGCCTTGAAGAGCAATCGAGCATCACTTACGTGTCGTTCAGATACCGATCCGGAGATACCGATTATATTAATGATGGGAATCTACCTAGTAATCTCTCTTATCTCGTGACTAATCATTCTTCATATTTCGGAGGGTGTCGCAGTGCGCGGGCCACTAATGTAGACCCTCGTGTCGGATTGATGGACATAATTCAGATCGGCCGGATGTAACGGTAAATTAATATCTACCGGCATGCACAGACTGCAAATCCCATTTCCACGGATATAGCGGACACGTCTTATGACAGTCGTATTGTTCCCCTGTCACCCTACACAGCCTCTTTTCTGTCTCAGGCGGAAAAGATGGCAGCCTTTGCTTTCATATCACGAGCTCTCAGTTGGCTCGGCTCTGTGGGATTTTCGCGTATTTGCTCAACCAGGCTGCCCGCGGAGTGCTCCCGGACTCCCGGCTATAAGGAAATTGATAGCTCGCGTGGGAACAAGCCACTAAGACGGCGATCAAGTGTCCGAGCACCTGGAATGTTGGCCCCAAACTTCCTCCAATAGGTTTAATCGGCACCGCCACGCCGTAGCACTTTGCCTTTTGCGCCTAGCACATCAATATTGGCGTTGCAACCGAACGTGCCGCGCTACTGGGGTATTAAGCAGCCAGTGTCGTAATCAGTGAATTGATAAAACCCCCTCTTTGACCACGATTCCGTAGCACTATCATCACTTCAGAAGCCTCATACAAGAGAGATCGCGATATTATGACCAGCGAACCTACAGAAACGCCTGGGTTGACTTTGCCGCCCGCTCCAACGCCGGCTTGGGAGGTCTTACAGAACCTCCAGCAGGACCACGAGGTCCGAGACTTGTACGAAGAGTTTGGACGTATTCGCTGACTTGAGTGGCCAGAATCAAGATCCAGAGCATGATGATGCCGAAACTGACGAGGGGTTTGATGGTCACAGTGATTCAGACCTAGACTCAGCCCTGGGCTCCAATGTCGCGGACTCAACCTATTCTCTGAGCTCAAGTATCTTTGAGTACCGAACCTTGCATGGGAGGACCTATCATTCAGATAGAGGTACAGCCCAATACTGGTATGCATCTATCGACTTAGTATGTGCCTATTCTAACGACGTATAGGGCATCAAATGATGATCAGGCTAGTCAATCTTTGGATCTTGCGTAAGTCAACGCTCCTGCGAAATATAACGAAGGCGACTGACGGTAGTAAGACATCATTTTACCCTCCTTCTGCTGGAAGATAAGCTTCATCTAGCACCTCTCAAGCCCGATATCCAAGTAAGTCCCATCAGTCTTGTTGTATCGGATCCCATTTGCTGATAATGGATTTGGCAGAGAGTGCTTGACATTGGGACGGGAACAGGTAAGGCACCCTGCCATTGACTCAATCATCAGATTCTAACCGAACTGCAGCTATCTGGGCTATGTAAGTGACGATCAGATGGGAATTCGAATGAGGCTGATCACAATAAAGTGACTTTGCCGATGAACATCCTCATGTGGAGGTCGTGGGCACTGAGATCAGCCCTATCCAGCCTACCTGGATGCCATCAAATCTACAGCTGTAAGTTTCCCCACGACCACGAGTAGCATGGAAGTTCACCCTTTGGTAGCGAAATCGAGGACTGCAACGATACCTGGACCTTCCGACCCGACTCCTTTGACTTCGTCCACATGAGATTTATGCTGGGAAGTATTACAGACTGGACTGCCACTTTCAGAGAAGCTTTCACAGCTTGCACTCCGGGCGGGTGGGTCGAAAGTTACGAAGTCTCATCCACTATGGAGAGTGATGATAATTCTATCCCAGATGACAGCGCTATGAAACGCTGGGGTGAAGTATTTGAGGAAGGGGGCCAACGCGCAGGAAGAAGCTTTTCCATGATCCGAGAAGATGTGCAGAGGAGGTCCATGGAAGAAGCGGGGTTTGTCAACATCCACGTCGTGGACCTCAAGGTAGGTTACCTTTACACTCCAGGCCAATTTTGTGGATTAGTCTAACAGTGTCGCAACAGGCACCAGTTGGCGGCTGGCATACAGAAGAACGACTTAAGCAGGTCGGACATTATATGCAGGCAGCTCTGGAGAGAGACTACGAAGGGTATCTTCTGTTCCTGGCATGCGAGCTTTTGGGATGGACCGAGGAACAGGTTCGAGCTCTGTGCACCCAGCTCCGACGAGAGATCCGATCGGGTCAACATCATCCGTACTTCAGACAGAGGATTGTGTACGGTCAGAAGCCTGAAGTTTGAATTGAATACCTCAACACCTTTTTACTTTGTAGAACGGACGGCTGCAGGTAGATTTAGGTAAATCTAATGCTGGCCGGGAGGCCTTCAGATTAATTATCAGGGCATTTAGGATAAGAAGTTTAGCTTTCTTGCTTTCTCCTGGAGATCTAACATAGGACGTGCGGCTTTTTCATAACTTCGGAGGGTAGCAAATGCCTTTTAATATAAGTTTCTATACCTAGATTGGAACAACAAGTTCATAACTGGATCCATATGTTTAAGAGATCTCCATATGGTCCTTGAAAGCTCACAGACGTGAGGTTTATAAGTGAAATACGCATAACTCTGGCCGTGGATAGCCCTTGGAAAATAGACCTTGAGGCTCAAGGGGAAAACTCCAGAACCCAAATGCAGTTTGAAGTTGGCTATCAAACTGCTCGGGGACCGTGTCTTCAAGTCGGAACTCTTGCCACCTCTCAACTTCGTCCTTTAAGAAGGCCATAGCGCTCGATCTGTCAGTAATAGATGGCCTCTGTCGTCCTTCAGCGGCATATGCGAATCTGAAGACACATGGTCTTCCTGCTCTTAATTGCTTAAACCAGTTCATCCAAGCCATGGCAACTCGAGTTTTTGGGAAGATCTCGAGGCTGACACTGTTGAGTACGTCAATCTCGAGGGGGCGTGGATCCCGCTGCCGTGAAAAGCTACCGGTTCCTCCTGCAACAGGAAGCGAACGGGAGTACATCAATGGGAACTGGCGGCCAATACGCCGTATAGAATACACACCGAAAGCCAGGTCGACCCTATCCCATGTGTAATGGATAAAAGTGACATGCTCAAGTCGACCAACAGCTTGATGAAGCTGGTCTGAGGAAGCACCAGGTTTATAAAAGCGATCAAACGAGAGACTGTTCTGGATTTTGAAACATACATTGCGTAGTCCTTTCTTTTCGCGGTCATGTCGCCAAAGGTCATTTGCAAAGCTTGTAAAGTGCTCCAATCCATGAATCTCCAGAGTGTCCAGCTCAGGGTTGAACCAAAACGTTCCCGGTGGGTGTGACTGCGACCCCTTGACGGAGTAGCAAGGAAGATGCACCCTGTAGAATCGACAAGCGTTGGCACGAGATTCGGCATTGGTGCCAAAAAGAGCATTAGGCCTTGGGGGATTCATAAGTACTAATTTGTACTCTGGCTTGGCAGGTGGAAGATAAGTTAAGAGTTCCTGTCGATAGAATTTGCTATGTGGCTGGTTTCTGCTCCAAAGCTCAATCGCGATATATCGCTCGCAGATGAGGCTCTCCACCCAAATCATGTCTCTGATTTCCTTGAGGAGATTTGAGAACAAATGAAATGGCAAATTCGATGTTGCCTCTGCAGGATTGAAAAGGCTTGGCTGTTGGGCAGATGACTCCCTGGCGGATGGCATAGAGGACTCCATGATGAAGATGGAAAATTAGAATGGAATGATTGAAGCTTCAAAAAGAAGGGAAAACTTCTTTCCTTTAGCCTGTGTATTATTCGTTACTGTACATGTGACACAAGACATATTCTTCTGCACGCTGGCCACCATTCGTCTACGGCTTTGTAAAGTTCATTGCATAAACGGCGGTACACTTAGAAGATGGATTGAGTATTAGACCACGCAAGATGACACTCGTTATTGAAGACGACGGGTAACAAACTATTCATCGTCCCCATTACCTCATTTGCTTGAGTTTCAGCTAATTATTGCAATCAAAGTTGTATCTAGGTTACTAATCCGGGGCTGATCTGCAATACGCATGGATTCCCCAACGCTGTTGGGAGGCCTGGGCCGAATCATATCATGAAGCAGTCGGAAGCGAACCAACAGAATGACCGGGGTAGAAGCCCTTCCAAAACACATCCCCTCTTGCGGGATTTATCCATGCCTCCTTGATTGTGAAGTAGAGTTGCTTTTTTCTGTCTTTTCGCGCTACTTTGATCATGGCAGCGGACGAAACTCCTACTGCGGAGACTGGAGGTGATGTTTCCACGACAGCTCAACCTCTGCACCCAGTGACGCACTGGGAGCAGCTGAATGAGGTATGGCAGGCTCAGTTTTACTACTGTCGCCATGGAACTGACGTGTTACAGCAAGAAGAGGCGGAGAATAATGATGCCGACTCTGTTATTTCCAACCCCGCCGAGTCGACAGCATCGATGACTTCGAGTATTCTGTCGTATCGAACTATTCAAGGCCGAACGTTTCACTCAGAAAGAGGAAATGCTCAATACTGGTATTTTCTGTGTATAGTTTCCCCCACAGATATGGGCCCTAATTGAATATTGCCAGGGCTGCCAATGACGAACAGCAGAATGAGTCCATGGATATAGTGTGAGTTTTCCATCATTCGAGGTCCCATCTTCAACCACTGAAACTAGTTAGACACCATTTTTTGAGCCGTCTCCTTGATGACAAACTATTCTTATCACCTTTGAAGGATAACATACAGGTTCGTGACAACCACCTGATCATCGATCATTGGAACTCAGGCAGATTAGTCCGCTCTGGATATTGGAACCGGGACAGGTAGGACGATCGTTTTCACCTGAGAGGTTGATCAATGCTGACGAAGGATATCTAGGTATTTGGGCTATGTATGTACCAAATACCACTAGTAGAGCACGTGTTGATGCTGACACCTGGAAGTGATTTCGCCGACCAATTCCCAAGCGCAAAAGTCGTCGGTACCGATATCTCGCCTATCCAACCCTCGTGGGTTCCGCCGAACCTCGAATTGTGAGCCAGATGTACCGCTGATATATCTTCTTGACACTGATATCTTCTAAAAGCCACATCGACGACTGTACGCAGCCATGGACATTCGCTCCGGATTCTATCGATTTTGTTCATATGCGTTATCTATTTGGCAGTATCAAGGACTGGTCAGCATTATTCAAGGAAGCCTTCCGGGCATGTAGACCCGGCGGCTGGGTTGAAAGTCACGAGGCCTCTGCGATGATGGAGAGTGACGATGGAACCGTTACTGATACTAGTGCTATGCATGAATGGGGGAGATTCTTTATCGAGGGAGGAAAGAAAATGGGACAGCCATGTACCATTATTGAGGATGATCTTCAGCAGAAGTGCATGCGCGAGGCTGGTTTTGAGGATATTCACATCGCAGACTACAAGGTAAGAGCCCAGTCTGGTCCCGATGAAGAGTGGCTTACAGTTGTCTTGCAGATTGCTATCGGCGGGTGGTCTAAGGATAAGAAGATGAGGGAGATTGGCCAGTATGTTCTAGCTGCTCTGGAGCAGGACTTTGAAGGATATGTTCTGTACATGGCGAGCCAGCTCTTGGGGTGGTCGATGCAAGAAGTGAAGGTCTACTGTGCGCAGCTCCGTCGGGAACTTCGGTCTACCGCAAACCATCCTTTCTTTCGTTACCGCGCGGTCTACGGTCGAAAGCCACAGGCTTCTTGAGTCGGGGCCAAATGTCAACATGTGTTTGATTCGAGATCCTTCTACCTAGTTGTTGAATCTATCGAGACGGAAGTTATCAAGTTCTGGATCCATCTCTCCCGTGACGATCTGTTTGCTGAGCAGTTCTCCGACAATGGCAGCGTTTGTGACACCAGAGTGCATGACCGCGACACTGACGCCTTCGAGGCCAGTTGGCCCAATGATTGGCAGACCGTCTCTAGGAGTCGGTTTGTGACCGACTGTGTAATATCCAAACTCAAGGTTCTCTCCCCCAACCAGTGTGGATTGGACGTTGGAGAAGACTTGGTGTGCGGTTGCTTCCGGATCATCGCCTGGGTCATCGCCAGGATTCTCACAGCCCGCCTTGATGATTCCATCTGATGTTTGTCTAATGTACAAATATTTCGAGTTGACTACACGACTGACCAATCTTTCTTTGATGGGTTTCGAGTTCACAATCAGTGCTGGTACCGAAGTGATCGGGACGTTGATTCCTTCAGTTGCTAGGAAGGGTACAGTGCCCAAGCCAGCAGCCACGACAATATGATCGCCAAGAACTTTCTCGCCAGATGCCAGCTCGACTCCTGCGACTTTGCCATCGTCTTTGAAAAGCCCCTTTGCTGTCGCTCTGATTACCTTCACATTGCCTCGGGTTCCTGCACTCTCCACGAGCATCTGTGGGACAACATGGGCTTCCATAGAACCCTCTCTAGGGTAGTAGAGGGCCCAATCTGGCAAGGTAGACTGTCCAAAGAATGGCTCACACTCAGAAACCTCAGGCTTCTTGATGTTGGCAACCTTGTAGCCCCATGCAGTCAGGTTACTCTCGGTCTCAGCCATGACCTCGGTAGTTTTGTGCCAATTGATGGATCCGCTCCACGAGATTGGAAGGTCTGGAAGTTCCGCATGGATTTGTCTCCATCTCTGTAGGGATCGGCGACGAAAGTCATAGTAGAACTTTTGGCTGACGGAGCTCGCATTGAGCCATGCGAAAGAGGCTTTAGAGGCGGGTCCACCGATGTCTTCTGCGACGATGGTCACGCTAGTGAGACGAGCCAGGTGCCAGGCGATTGAGGCACCAACAATTCCACCGCCAACGACAATGACGTGAAGTTGAGCTGATCTTTCCATAGTGCCCAGTGGTCGTTCATGAGAGGAGGGGGAGCTGGACAGGATATTTACATGGATACGAGCGGGGCTGGAGAATATGTCAGATAGTGAGGTTACACGAACCCCGCATTTCAGTCATCATATATGCGCAATAACAACAAGCTGGAAGGGACAGAATAAAAACTTGGCAAAAGAAAAGGGTTAAGAGTGGAAGAAATGGAATTATAAATTCAACCAAAAGATAATATTGAGAGACAAATCTCCCCCGGGAAGGCTCGAACTTCCGATCTCCCGATTGTCTATGAATAACAGTCGGACGCTTTAGCCAACTAAGCCACAGGGGATCAGCTAATTGGATGCTGAAGACAGCGTAGATGAAAGTCTATATTCACAAGCCAATGTTCTCACGCCCAATATTGATGCCGTCAAACACCCATACTCCTACAGTTTTGGTTGACGGGATAGATCAAACTGCGGCAATTTAGTAGATGTTTAAAGCTTGAAGTGATAAAAAAAACATACCTGGATGTTTTTATCCTGATCGAGAACTAGGCCGCGTTGACCAAAGGCAATCCAGGAATTTGGGAGATTGATCTTGGCTCCATACGCTGCCTCAAACTCTTTCTGGGCTTTCCTCACCTCCGCAAAGCCTTCATTGCTGTGTAGCTGAACTGAGAAGATTAAATTGAATTCCGGACGGTCTGGATTGCTCCCGAAATACGCATCAGGGTTGAGACCAAGCTCCACTGGAATATTCGCAACAAGGGTGCGGACCTGGCTTCCTACGAACTTCTGCAGGCTATTGGCGAAACCCGTAATTATATCCTCGGTATTGTCGCCGGTCACAGTCAAGTAGTACATCGCAACAGGTGAGACCGATAAAGTATCGATGTCTTCAGATGGCGCGTTCTCAGACTCGTGTAGCGGAATAACTCTTTCCTGGACAGTCACAGGTAATGCCGACGCAAAATCGGAGAAATTGACACCATCTGGACCAACATGTTCTCTGGCATATTGCGAGCTGAAACACGTCTTCATATGGTCTTCAGACTGGAAGTAAAGCTCAACGATGTCGTCAGAAAAGCCCCACCAAGGATTGGCGTTGACGCCTCGGCCTTCTTGATGATTGTATACCGCATCTTGAATATGCGTCTGGAAATACTTGCTATGTAGATTGTTAGATTTGTATGGCGGAAGATGGGTCGACGTACGATGGGGTGACATCTGGAGAGGGTCCTTGACTGAGTCTGCCGTGGACCTGGAAGTGGTAGTCGAAGAACTCCTGTCGGGTGAGACCAGGCTTCCTCCTGATGGCTACTATTTGCTTAATATGCGGCATCCTTGGCTTTTGAGGGCTTCATAGGCTTCTTTTCAGTTGCGGAGAGCATGGACGGATTGTGCGACGGAACTTGGCTATATACCTGACACCTGAGGACCTAGTGTGGGGCCGATTCCGATGCCCGCAAGTCAATAGCCGAGTGGGATTGCATTTTCGAAAGACAAATTAGTCAAATCAATTTGTTGCACGTTGAAACTGGAGCCTCGAGATGCGGCGACCCGGCAATGGGGGAGCTCCGTGGGTGGGCAAAGCCGGCATTGGGGGGTCCGTGGTCCGTGGTAGACATAATAGTTTGACATTGACTAAGCGGATGACGGCGTTTAGCGGTTTACGCCCCGGGACCTCTGTTCTAAATAATGGAAAAGTTTAGACAAGTTTAGTGTAACTTGGTATCCTTTAGACTAGATATTTCTGTCAATCTATTCAACATCACAAGCATGCTTAATCCCGACCTGCCACGCTCGTGAAAGTGCACTAACGCTACCCAACATAAAAACGAAGATCTGCGGTTGAGATGCTAAAAGCCGTGAAACATGCTGGCTGCAGTGGAACTCTCCTTCCTTCTCTTAAACTTGCTGTGAGAACGAGGCTCGAAACTCTTGTCAACCTCAGCTTTGAGTTTGCGCTGTTCCTCAGTCAAGGTCAAGGTCATGAGCTTGAGTCTTTTATCCTTCTCGATTCGAATGCAGAGCTCTTGAAGACTAGCATTCTGCCTAAAGAATATCTCGTAACAATCGAAATGACCATTTTATTATACCCTATATATAATTTCAACCAAAAAGGTTCGCCGACTTTGGTTTTGTGTATTACCGCCGTGCACTAATCTCCGCCGGCAAGCCATTGACAGCCTGCTCCAACAAATTGCATCAATAGTTGCTCAAGGAGGGAAAGGCTCAACAAGCAAGATCAGTAAGAACAAGGCCATCAGAGTCACTTCGTATTCAGATCCATCATATAACGCATCATGGCGGACGCTTGATAGAAAGCCTGGTTACTCACTGTTGGGTCTGCTGTGTAAGTGAAAAGATTTGTTTCGCAGTGATCAGTAAGGTGAACGACACTGAAGCGACTACGACGAAACTTGCAGACACTGACTCCTGAGCAAGTGGCGAGCAGCGTTAGAGCCGCAGCAACTCTTCGCGATTTGGTTATTCTGTGGCACGAGATCGCCACATAAGGAGCCTCATTCAGCCTTTCCCCATGAAGTTGCCCAATTGATTGTTCTTAGTGATTAACAGTGCATTTCAACAGTGATAAGGATGAGGATATTCACTGGCATATAGCAACCGTGATCAAGAATTGACTGTGGCGGCTTTGAATATCTGAGTTAATGGACATTGTGTCAGTGATAAACTTATGACTCTGTCTATTTAAATGGTAGATTTGTAGTCATTGGAATTTTTTCTTACCATTATATGAAAGAAAACAAAACGCAATGTCCAATCAAGGCGGTCAGTTTTGCTTAAGTTTGCGAATATTTACTATACACTAACTTATCACCAACTAGCTGATTCAAACGCTATTCAATTTTTCCATATTGACCGAAATTAAGCTCTGTATAAGTGAGCTTTGTGGTGGAGCCACAGCTGATCACTGGAATAGCGTTATTTGGGTGGCACAGGGAATCATCAACATTCTTCAAGAGGAATAACACTTTTGGTCTTCAAGCAGCCGTAGGCTATCGTTCTCAGTGATTCGTAGGGCGCACCAGTGACAGTGATTGGCGGGGAAGATCAAACTTGAGAGTGATGAATACATGTCACTCTGTGAAGTGATTCACTCATGTCGGGCGTCATTGGCGCTTCCAACAGCTTACAGTGATTGACTACAAAGTTGCAGTAGACGACAGTGACTATCTGAGGTAATGGACAGCAGTGATACGGCACTCTACCTATATCGATGTATTTCAACGCACAGTTTATGGCCAATTGTGGCTCTTTCCCATTATCTTTACACCAATACGCCAGATCATGTCGACTCAAGAAGGTTCGCCCAATTGAGTCTTGCGAGTGTTACTACTCACTAACTTATCACCGAACAGGTACTTCAAAGGCGATCCAAGCCCTTCTTGAAGGCAATGGATCCATCATGTCAAAGGACAAAACCTCAGAGACGTCGGTGTTTCTTGTCAAGTGGATTAACAAAGCAACTGGAGACAGCAGTCGAGCTCACGTCCCGGAAAGCGAGTTGAGGACATCCTGTCCCAAGAAACTGGATCAATATTTGCTCAAGGAAGACAAGGCTCAATGATATAAGTGCACCAAGTCTTAACCAGCGACTACTACAAAGAGTCTATAGCGGAGAAATTGAACAAACGATTGAACTAAAAACTTGAATTATCTTTTACCCCTGAGACCCTTACAGTTGACAAACTCCGTTACCATTACGGGTGAGTAGTGGCGGCACACATGACATTACCAAGTAACGGTTCATCGAAAATTTCTATCATTTTAGATTATTAAGTAAATTATTTCGTACTAACTCAACTAAGAAAGTACTGTGAGACTTGATAGGGCTATATCTTTATTATTATCCTATTAGTGTAACAGATAATGCCATCCCAAGATACACACCTAACTTATTCCGACGAACAGTGTAACAATACCAGGACATAAATCGGACTATTCCCCCTCATTTTTATTTCCACTCCTGCTTTCTTAACACTATTTCCAAAACATTCAGACACTAATCTTTGTCAATGACCCAGCCTATGACCTTTCAAAATGGCTCCTTATCTCTCTGTGGTAGATCCTTCTAGACTTTGTCCTGTCTGCGACATGGCCTTGAGGAGCAATATACTGTGCGTCAGCCTGCCTCACCATAAGAGTGGCCTTGACCTGGAAGAAGCTTCCGATCTCGGCTGCTACATTTGTGGCACAATTCGACACAGCAATACCTGGTCGCGAAGAATTGGAGAATGCCGCTCAAGCTCTTTTGAGTATGTTTTGAACCTGCATAATGCAGGTTTCATGGACACTCTTGAGGGCCTGATTATCGGGAAAGCTCCAACTGGCTGTTGCTGGGCTTTTCAGCTTTGGAAAGACCCTGGTATGCTTCCAATCAACCCATAGCAAACTTGTCTAACCAAGGCTTTTAGACCCTTCTTGCTTTTCTATCTCCTACAAACCATCTGCCTCACCCTACGACTCAGGGTTCATTCGACTTGCCAAGGACTGGCTTGACTCTTGTTGCCAAACGCATGTTAAGTGCCAAAAGAGCGGCCCAGACTACAAGCCAACAAGACTAATTGAGATTTTTGACGAATCGCGCGTTCGCCTCATTTTCCCGAAAAATGTCTCTTCTGATTCAATTGATTATATCGCATTCTCCCATTGTTGGAGGAAGGTTGAGGCGATCAAGCTTCTCAAAGAGAACGTTGATCGATTCCGTCTTGGCATAAGCATCCATGATTTACCCAATACCTATCAAGAAGCCATTCAGTTGTCCCTCAGAATGGGCTTTAAATACATATGGATTGATTCACTGTGCATTATTCAGGATTCATCGTTGGACTGGATGCAAGAGGCGAAGGATATGAAGCGTGTCTACGAGCATGCAATATACAACCTGTGCTCTGCTACAGCCTCTGATAGTGCAGGTACCAGCTTCGTGGCCCGCCGTACAAGCCTCCTCCAGCCGCTGCGCGTTAAGCTTCATGGCGAAGTATTCCAATTGCTGTGTGACGGACTCCTTCAGGACGATATAACGTACTGCACTTTGCGCTCCCGGGCATGGGTTTATCAAGAATGGTACCTTTCCAAACGCTCACTCGTCATGGGATCACACCAACTTTGGTGGCATTGTAAAGAAAAGCTGGCATGCGAGTTATGGCCGATTGGAACACCGCAAGCCAATAGGGGAAGATGGTGGAGTCAAACTCAGCCCCTCAAGGAGTCAGCACCATCTGAAGATTCAGACGATGTGGACGCTTGGAGCCAGCGTGTCATGGAATATATGAGAACTAGGCTGACGAGAGAAACTGACCGTTTGGTTGCCTTTTCAGGTGTTGTTCAATCTTTCGGGCAGACACGTCAGCTAACTGAAGAATATCTTGGCGGCCTCTGGCGTTGTCATCTACCAGCAGCACTCTTGTGGAAGGTCAGCTCTTCAGCACGGAGATCAGCTACATATACGGCAGCGTCTTGGAGCTGGGCGTCTCTTGCTGGAGATTGTCCTGTCAGCACTGATAAGGGCTTGGCTCACGAACCTTGCTTTATAACTGTCAAGCAGATGATGTCTCTTGGTGAGCCAGGGCCAGACGGATTTCTGATGGGCGGAGTAATCACGCTCCGTGGCTATTTGTTTGAAGTTGTCTATCGATCCGTTGGGCTGTTCCTGGGCAGAGCAGACTTCATGATTCCCGGAGACGAAATGACAGGTGGTGAACTCTACCTTGACGAAGGGCCAGAAAATGATTCACTCATCTCACACTTACAGGCACCTGATCTCAACAACTTCAGCAAATGGCTGGAAAATAAGGCTGTGCGACTGGAAATGCCACTCAAGGATGCAAAAGGTCGTTTCTATTTCTTACTGTTCCTTGATAGGGGAGACGAATATCGTTTTCGTTTTCGAGGACTAATTTTGTACCAACCTATTGATCAGTCAGATTCTTTTTATCGTGTCGGATACATGAATTGGGGGAAACTCCCAGGGGCCGTCAACACTGATGAACTCATGGCAAATTACACAAAAAGCACGGTGAGGATTTTGTAGGCCATGAGTCATGACTCCAGGTTCTGTTTGGTGGCTGCCAGGGCTCACCTACGGGTCTCAAGTGCAAATGAACCATCTGGATCTTAGTTTGCCTACTGGCTCAATAATGTGCCGGATTCTCCTGTACGCATTGGACAGAATGGTGCCTAGCGATATGAGTATCTAAGTCGGCATCTCAAATTCTGAATTATAACCTTCAGGACTACTCCTAGCGCACCCTAGAGACCATATTGCCGGTGCAATGCATTTTTATTCTGGCATTTTTATTCTGGTGTGAGTAGCCTGTCCATAAGTCTGTATATTAGGGTTGTTCTAACTGTGAAATTCTTACTAAACTCACTATGAAAGCCTGCGCAACTACGGAGTACGCTTTGTGTTTTCAAGACATTGTAAACTCGAGGATTATGGCTAGACCATTTTGGCACAAATCGATGGTTTCGTTGCTTCAAAGCCAAGCCCTTGTTCCCGATCCAGCAAATCAGACCCTTTCTCCTGCTTGTAACCCTGTATCGCCCAGAAATTTGCTCTATTGGTCCGCTCGCACTAGATGGTAATGGCTTAGCTCTCTTTGGCATGCTTTGCGATTCCCAAAACGATCGGAAGAAGTGACAACGGCGCGCCCAGGGAGGGAAACCATCATCCCTGTCTGTTCAAGGATTTATTCTCTATGCATGTAAGACGTTAGCAATCCCGACAAAACCGTACATGGCGGATTTCGCTAAGGAGCTAAACTGCATTCGCATCCTACGTGGTGGAGAATGAACATGGGTGAACTCTTGGGAGTAAGCACAGCTTGAATGGCCAGCCTACTGCAACCTTGTGAGGTAACTTTATTTTGTCTCGATTGCAAATGTGAGTTGGCGCTTGTGAAGAAAACATGGTGCGCATACATGTTCGCGGCGATACCAGATGTCTTCTTCATAATTTTGGTTTACTTCTAACCCCCTTCTTCAAGAACTTCTTGTCTGGGTTTGTAAGCTTAAAAGCGACTGTTGCAGCTTCAGCTTGAGTTACGTATCAAATCAGGCTGTGCTAGTGCTGTCGCCAGGTATTAGCGTGTCTTGGCAGCCTGAAAGACAAGCTCCTGAGCCGGGGTTTCGTTGCAGCCCCGACTCTCATAGGACACCCAAAGCCTCGTTTCAGTTAACCATGGGAACTACCTGCACAAGGTTCTTAGTGTCCACCAATCTGGCTATCCAACACCAGCCTTATGGGTCTTGATCAGACAATACCCAGCAAACCTGTCTCATCGGGACGGATGCCCTGGTCGTTGCTCCCAGGAGGACGACACGAAAAATGAGCGCAGGCCTTTGAGCAGAAGACGGCTCGGCTAGACGTCCTCAACTGGGAGATGTCACCGCAGAAACCTCTGAGCACTGGGAGTCGAAGACATTGCATATGCAGCTTACTCTTTAGCTGCAGTAGCTGACACCCTTTAATGACAGCGAGGCAGCCGCAATTTCGCCACTTTTTCGTCCCATATAAGCACTTCTCGTCGACTTATCCTTGGATACGACTCCTGACTGGACTTTCGTTCTCTTGGACAAACGTCGACCCGACCTACGACCACATCATCGAGTGGATATCAGCCAACACGCAATGGATTGTAAAATCGTCAACAATGGACAGGAGCGTAAACTGTATGCTTATTCTCCTGTACAACATCAACAAGCTTTCCCTGAGCCGGTTGTGTCTCTGCAGCCTTCTTTGGGCCAGTTTCCTCCCCAGGCCGTCTCCCCCGAGTCAATCGCACAAGAGACATTCCCGCACCAGTCACTATGGATAGATCCCCAGAGCCCAAATCTTCGAGATACTCCCGACTACGATAGGGCTCACGACAGTCATAGAGGTCTGATGGGCCACCCGCCTGTTAATGACACATACTCGAATGTTCCTGATGTGCACGTCGTGAATCGGCCGACCGCAGGTGCGTTGCCTGAGTCTGGACCATTGATGTTGAGGATCATGAAGAGTCGATGGTCTATGATTGCTTGTTTGGCCATTGGAGTCGCTGCCGCAGTCGGTCATCACTTTCTGTATATGCATCTCGATGGCCAGGAAGCCAAACACCAACAATGGTGGATGCGACTAGGTCAAATGATCTCATTTATTGCCAACGCAAACTTCATCCTCGCTGCTGTCATGGCCCATCAGCAGGTCGCATGGCGAGCGGTAGGACAGAAAGGATTCTCGATCCACGCTGTTGATGCTCTGTTCGGAGCTACCCACAACATCATCGAGCTTTTTAACAGGGAGGCATGGATCAAATCATGGTTTGTGATGTTTCTTGCTCTATACATGTGGCTCAGTCCTCTTGTTGTCATTCTGTCATCAGCATCACTCTATGTCGTCCCAGGCGAGAGGATAGAAGATACATACTGCCCTTCAATCCGAACTCTGAACTTCAGCAATGAGGCAAAGGAGAGTTTTCAGACTCCCAAGAAGGCGGAGGGTGAAGTCATGAACGGTCGCTCACTTTCTGGTTACAACTGGACAGCCCCAGATGGAAACCTTGCTGAGGGAGCCGCAGAAGACGACGATATTTTCGAATACTACAACGTTCCCTCTTCTGCACTCGATCGCATCGCAGCTGGTGTATTTTCAAGCGGGCAGACAACTCAAAAGGCGAACATCTCGCTGGAAATCTGCGGAAACGGATGGGACTGCTCCACGACAATCCATTTTGTCGGCCCTGGATACAAATGTGAAGAGCTTGCCAACGGAGTCGGATCCAAGATGAAGAGCTTCGGAGATGCGAACGCGCCCTTCAACCTTAGCCAACTTGTACCTGCTTCTAACTTCACCTACTTCGCGAACACGGACCTCGGAGAGTACATGCGTCCTCAGATGGACAACGTTTCGATCGGTGGAATTCCTTCCGAGATCGATGGACCCCCGTTTCCTAAGCATCTCGGCGTCTTTCGAACTGAACCCTCAATCTGGATCGGCTACGCCGCCGTCGACGATCACACCAAGGCTCATGCAATGGATAGCGAGTCAGATGGCTGGAACGACGATTACACTCCTATCATCTTTGCTTGCGATCATTGGGAGGTCAATTACACCGTCGCATTCAATTTCACCTCGGGATTTCAAAAGTACAATATTACCAATCGGGACTACAAGCGAAAGATCATCGATACTACTTGGAGCAGCTGGACCAACGAGTCTACAGACGGAACAGCAGATGGGAACGTTGCAGAGCCAGAGAAGAATTATGTCAGCCCTCGTAACGATTACGCTCGATACCGCCGTATAGCCGCCTATCATAGCCTGGGGCTCAGACTTCGTGAGAAGCTCTTTGGCAATGTCAAGGTCCAAGGATCCGTCGTAGCAGACGGGGCTATCACAACCACCAACCTCCTCGATAGACACGAGAGTCTTCCCGTCCATGATTTCCAGCAACAGGTCCGGCGCGTGTACGAAGATTTAATAATCTCCCTCCTCTCTGATCCCCAGCTTCTTGTCGTGGCATGGGCTGCCGATCCATCCAAGCTGTCTGGTACCGGTATAGGAGGTGAAGACACCAAGTACCAATGTGAACGAAGGCGAAAAGCCAACTTCTTTGACTATGGTTGGCCTGTCCTTGTCGCTGTTTACGCCGTGTCATTCGTCGTGGCATCAATTGGTGTGTACTACGGTATTGATGCCATGTCAAGTGATGGAAACAACGCTCAACGCGTCATTACATTCTCTGCTATCGCGGGTGCTACAAAAAAGGTCCCAGTAGACGAGGTCGAGAAGAGAGATACGAAGATCAGGTGTTTCCCAACTGATGAACGGCCGGGTGAACGTACATATGAGTTTAGGGCCGAGTTGGAAGGATAACTAAAGATATAAGAAGGAAACATTGACAGCGCTCAATAGCATACTATCTTTACCATAATTATAATTTCTTAATATTATTTACAGTTTTCCTTAATAAAAAAAAGGAGAAATTCTTGAGTTTGACCAGGTAATGATCAAAAAGCGAGATCCTACTTGTAGAACATCTGGGACATTGCGACCGAGGGGAATCGAACCCCTCTCTAACGCTTGGAAGGCGTTAATGCTAACCACTACACCACGGTCGCTTGTTATTGGTTAGTGTAGGTAAACTTAAGTCTATATCGACAGCACCAAAGAGCTTACCATTTCTCTAGCCTACAATGTCTTAATTCATGGTAGATCACTACTGTATCTCATGCTAGCTTTGGCCAATTTGAGTCTACAGTCTCTATAGACCTCAATGGTAAGCACAGCCTGTGTAGGGAGGATAAATTTCACCTCGCTGCTCCAATCACGGGAAGCAAACTTAGGCAAAGGTTTAACACAGTCTGCAGCCTGGGCCCGCTGAGAACACCGAATCCCGCTCACAAAAGAAGCTCAATGATAGGCTCCACCGCATGAGCTTCCTCTTATTTTAGTGCTGGGCAAACGATATTCCGCCACTACCGGGTAAGAGGGGCAGCGTCAGCAAGAACATCCGTTGCAATTTTCGCATTCTTTTTTCTTGTTCAAATAAATTTGTCATGGCACGTTTCTTGTAGATATATGCTATTTGACAGGTCTGAGTGATAAAGAATGGCTGGCACCGTCCCCGCGCTAAAATGGGCCGGCATCTTCCTCCTCACGTCCACCGGGTACTTTATCTTCAAACTTTACCAGCAGCGGGTCTTTTTTCGGCGAATGGTCCAAAAGTACAACCTTGTGAGTAATCATTCATACGGATACCAAGGTCTTACGTTTATTGCTAATGCATACAGCCAACGCTGCCTGATCACTCATGGCTTCTCGGCAACCTCATCACCGTGGGCAAAATCATGGCCAAGTATCCCAAGGATGTCCACGGTCAATTGATGCCGGATTTCCTCGCTCGAGACTACCCTGAAATTGCGGAGCTGGGCGTATGTTACATCGATCTGTGGCCCATCTCATGGCCCATGTTGGCAACCTTTCATCCTGATATCGCAGCACAATTTACCCAAGAAACGTCACGCCCGAAGCATGAAATTATGAGAGGTCAATTTAGACCATTGACAGGATTGAGAGACCTTGTTCTGTCCGAAGAAGCGTTCTGGAAGAAATGGCGAGCGACCTTCAATCCTGGGTTTTCGACGCAAAACATCACGACCCTTGTTCCTGAGTTCATTCAAGAGGCATTGATTTGGAAGAAATACTTGCAGGAGATCGCAGAAGATGGAAGTGTTGTGCCCCTTGAAGATTGTGTCATGAAGGCTACTTGCGATATCATCGGTCGTTCTGTATTGGGTATAAGCCTGGGCATTCAAACAGGCGTTGATGATAAGATTTTCCCGACTCTTAAAAATGCAATCTCACTGCTTGTTACAGACTGGTCGCCACATCAATGGGGTAGACTTCTGAATCCTTTGCGCCACTCTCGACTATCGTCTCTAAACCGTCAACTTCTCAGCCAGCTCCAGCCATTAATAGAAGCTCAGCTTCAAAATCACGAACGCAACGAGGGGCCAAAGACTGTGAATGGTCTCGCCATCAGAACTTATATGAAGGAATATGGATCTGAGAGCACTTCAGGCGCCACTATTGACCCTGAATTTCTGGATGTCACCATTGAGAATTTGAAGATCTTTCTCTTCGCTGGCCATGACACCACTGCATTTACCCTCTGCTTTGCTTACAATTATCTGTACCAACATCCAGATGTCCTTGCCAAGTTGCGGCTGGAGCATGATGCGGTCTTGGGGACTGACCCATGTGATGCAACCAGAAGGATATCCGAAACTCCGACATTGCTCAACCAACTTTCTTATACCACTGCGATCATAAAAGAGACTCTCAGATTAGAACCGCCCATCGGATCTTGCCGAGAGGGCTCCCCGATATTCTTCCTAAGACATCCTGAGACAGCGCAGCAGCTTCCAACAGAAGGCTTCATCCTCTTCTCAGCAAGCAAGGCCATTCACAGAAATCCCAAGTTCTGGCCTGAACCTGACAAGTTTATCCCAGAAAGATGGCTTGATCCTATCGTTAATAAGAATGCGTTTCGTCCATTTCAGCTAGGCCCTCGGGGGTGCATTGGCCAGGAATTGGCTTTGACAGAGTTGAGACTTCTTCTTGCCATGACCGTTAGGGAGCTTGAGATTGTGCCTGCATACAAGGAGAGGGATGAATTTCTGCTGGGATATCAAGCCTATCAGGCTCAAATGCCTGGAAAGCTGACTGCACATCCTAGTAAGGGTATGCCTGTCATGGTAAGCCTTAGGAAGGTCGGAGACACCAAGGAATAGAACGAAGGATCTGTGAAGTAAGACCATGGGAGATCTGTGACTACTGAAACGCAATGGTGATGAAGGTTGAGACATATTACAGCCATCCACACGTGAAGTCATCGACGCGGCATATGTAGTATAAATGACGAAAAGTCAACAGTGGATATATTGATGGCTAATCCGTCTTACTAACACCTCAGGGTTTGAGAAGAAATCGCGTTGAGCCTCCAACTAAACGTGCTCAAGCCTCCAGGTGCCGGTCAGCCCAGCGGACTTGAGGGTCCTTCAGACCTACACCACGTCCTTCTTCAGCCCATACTCGGTGATACCCATCCGGGACTGCATAATTTCCAACTCCTCCTGACCTGCATGGTCACCGAAGATTTCGTCCATCTGCTCCAACGTTTTCCCCTTTGTCTCTGGTACTAGAAAGAACGCCCAAACAGCCGCAAGGAAACACCAAGACCCGAAGAAGATATAAACACCGAACCCTATGCTCTCAATCATGGGAGGTGTTGCAACTCCCACGATAAAATTGAAGAGCCAAACCGTGGCTGTAGCAAGGGCTACTCCCTTAGACCTAGAGGCATTGGGGAAGACCTCAGCAGGAAGAGCCCAGCCCAATGGCGCATAGGAGACTCCGTAGATGAGGATGAAGCAAAAGGCCATGGCCACGGCAGCCCAACCTGCAGACGAATTGGAACTCAACTTGCCGTTAAACAAACCCACCAGAACTGCCATGATGCCGCACGCTGTGCCGCCTCCAATGCCGCCCCAAATTGCTAGTGGCCGTCGTCCAACCTTGTCGATAATGAAAAAGCAAACCGTCACTGCAACAAGCTGCAACATATTAAAGACACCAGACATGATCACTGACATCTCAGACGATTGGCCCAACGACTGAAAGAGTGTAGGAGCATAGTAGATGAACGCGTTGATGCCTGAAAGCTGCCGGAAGAATGCCACGCCAACGGCGATGGAAGTTCGATGCCACGACTTCTTTCGGAAGAGATCCTTCCAGCCAAGAATCTCAAGTTTGAGACCAATTACGCCTGGATGTTGCTTCTCTTGCATGATCTTCTGTAGCGCCACTTCATTCATGATACCAATATGTTCTTTCTCGACGCGCAGGTCGGTTCTGGGGAGTCGGCGGAGTTTTTCTAAGCTCAGCAGTGCGTCGTCCGATCGATCGACAAGAGCGAGCCATCGTGGCGAATAGGGAAATAAATGGATGCCGATGCCGAGAATAGTGCTGCAGACCATCTGAAGGCCAAAAGGCAATCGGAAAGCGAGCTCGCCGGGAAGATTGCGGGTGCCATAGGTGATCCAGAAGGATACTCCCACGCCCAGAACACATGAGACCGACTCAAGGACAAGCAGGGTTCCTCTCAGGTTGGGCGGCGCGATTTCGGAGATGTAGATTGGGGCACCCTATTCTGTTAGCCATTAATAGGACAAAGACGACATCTACACACCATCGCAAGTGTCCTAACACCAATACCGCCTATGGTTCTTCTAGCAACTAGAAGGCCGTAGGAGTTGGCCGTAGTTTGCATAATAGCGCCAATGTTGAAGATGATAACAACGATCGAAAGAGCCTTCTTGCGTGATATTTTGTCGGCGAGCGTGGGCATGAAGAGACATCCGATGAAAGCCCCAAGCTCTAGCATGCCAGTCATGAGGCCTTTGCCAAATGCAGTCTCAGTGCGAGGGAAGGCCTCATGAAATTGGTCCATCACGTTGACGAGTGAGATGACTCCTTGGTCGTAGCCAAAGGAGAAGCCTCCCATGGACGCTAAGAAAGCAGCGCCGAAGATATAGGGCGATTGAACGACGCCGCGAATACCTCCTTTGCCATACGAGATCTCCTCATCTAGAAAGACGATGGGAGAATTGTTTGATGAAGTCGAGGGATCTTCAATGTTCTCGACTTGTGGGTGATCCTTGGGAGGATATCCACTAGGGGAAGGACTCTCAGTAGACATTTTGCGAAGTCTGGATCCAGTGGTGTTGAACAATGATGGCGGTCGAATACAAGGGTGACAGTTGATGTGATGAGGATAAGAAAGCCGAATTACAAGAACAGTGGAGGGCATGATGATGTTATATAGCCACCTGGTCCAGAAGAGACCACCATCGTAGCTTCGAGTCATGAAAAGTAACAAATCAAGAAGCACTCTCGTTCCCCGCGGGGAAATTATCTGGGGAAGGCCAAGGCGATGAAGCTAAAGTGTCGGGATCATGGTGGATTGCCTGTTTTGGGAAATTGATTCCGCGGGTTTCAACCTTGTGGCTTTTCCAATTCTGGGCCAAGCCACTAGCCCTCGAGACTTTAGAGGCATGAAATCGATCTCAACCAATAAGAGGCAATGCATTGTAATTCTACTGAGGAATCGGTACTAAAAGCGGACAACATTTCCCGATATCGTAGTTGGGGTACCGGCATTGACTCTCAATGCTGATGATATCTGGAAGGGAACCATAATACAAGGTCCATTCATGCATTAGCAAACAAAAGATAATGATGTTCCAGAACCATATACAATTCGGGGAGAAGTCCGTTAGCAAACGGTCTCACAGCCGAAAGTTCTTCATCGAGGCAGACGTGTCAATGACGTTCCCGTCCTTGGGATTGACGATGCATTCACGGAATATCGGCACCATCGCATGATGGACGAGCTTCTTATATGGCCTCTAACCGCGTCAAGGTGTGCATGTATCTATCTAATTGAGTAGCTGACAGGGCGAAAAGAATAAAATTGGTTTCCTTTGCGTGTTCAACCATGAGCCTCAGATGTGATAAGCAGGTGCAGGCTAGAAAACGATTCTTGTGGAAGAAACACGATTCCTTGATTCATGGAGACTAGCCAGTCCATTTCAAGACTGGTTTAATGACTTTGCCGCTCTTCATATCGGCCATAGCCTTCTGGTAGTCCTTGATATCATAGTACGCAATCAGCTTCTCTAGCGGCAGAAGGCCATTGGAATGCATTTCGATGAGCTCAGGAATAAGCTGGTTGTATAACGGTCAGTAAGGGCAGGTTCAGATAAATGCAGAACTTGTACTCACAACCCCAGGATTGCTGTCACCCTCAGAGCAACCCACGTACTCTTTTCCGTAGGTAAGTTGACTCATGATATCTATCTTAGCATGCGCGTTGCCTCCAGGTGCGCCGACCGTAGCGGCTCTGCCCCTCATGCCCAACGAAGCGACCATAGTTTCGATGATGGAAGGGACGCCAGTACAATCTACTGCAAAGTCGACACCAAGAGGCGGACAGATGTTCTTTATCGCCTTGATGATGTATTCTTGATCGGGGCCGAGCACCCCATCCGTGGCACCTAGCTCTTTGGCGAGTTCCAATCGCCCTGGCTGCAGGTCGATGGCGATAATACTGCTGGCCTTTCGCGCCTTTGCAGCCATCACAGCCGCCAAGCCAACAGACCCCACGCCGAAGATCGCAATGGAGCGCCCAGGCTTGACATCCAAGGTGTTGAATACAGCACCGACGCCTGTCTGTATGCCGCATCCCAGCGGCGCAAAGAGGTCAAGTGGTGTTTGCTGAGGTACTCTGACAATGCTCGATCGGTGAACAATAGTTCGCGCCGCAAAGGAGCTTTGGCCGAAGAAGGTGCTGTAACATGATTGCTTTTTCCCATCTTTCATAATGGACATGGCAGCTGATCCATCTGGGCGTTTACCGCCAAAGTTGTAATCGTTGAAGCTGTAGCAATACGCTGGATGGTCTGATTTGCATCCAGGACAAGAGCCACAGGATGAGAATGACAAAAGAACTTTGTCGCCTGGTGAGACGGAGGTGACATTTGCGCCTATCTCGAGAACAACGCCTCCGCCTGTAATGACCGAGATAATTAGCATGTGTATTGTGATACCATAGTCAACATGAGCTACCTTCGTGACCAAGAACGGCGTTTGGTGCGCATGGCAATTTCCCACTTGCACAGGAAAGATCAGTATGGCAGACGCCAGAGGCGTGTATCTCTACAAGTGCTTCATCTGGCTGCAGAGAATCCAAGAAGACTTCTTTCAGTTCAAAACTGCCATCCAAGGCTGGTGCGACGAGTGCTGTTGTCCGTGTCATTTTTCTCTGTGAGTAACAATGTAACACAGGATTCCAATATGCGAGAGGATCCCCCACATTATTAGGCTTTTGATGCGCTTGCTCCAAATCGCGGGGGTTACAGCGCTCTTCCGAGGCCACTTGCCGCTGTAAGATGCCGGTCGGAGACGATGTGGGGGCGGAACGACGACCTCAAGCAATTCCGTTGCTGGACTACCGACCACGGACGGAAGCTGGGGGGTAGGCTAGGCTAGGCTAGGCTTGCTGAGCTATGTCTCCCCACGGTAGTTACAGGAGTGAGATAGTTCTGGAATTGGGGGACGCTTCTAATTAACAGCCTGTCTATCGAATATGCACATTCTGAAACCCGGTAATCAAGTCATTCACTTGAAGCATACTCGTCTGATCATACCTCGTAAGAATTGGTTCGTGTCCTGAACCACCCGCATCAGGCTCCGCAGACTCAGGGCTTCCCAATGAATCGCCTGACGTTGAGAGCCGATCAAGCAGCAGTTTCCCCAGGAGCCAATATTCTGGAGAATGGCGCATAAAGCCTACTCTCCTCCAGAGATTCTCCGTTGCCACATTATCCCTGTCAACCATGACATGAGGCGGTGAGAGCGAGAATTCATCAGAGTACGTTTCCCAAGCTGATTTCCAGTTGTCGAGAGCGTTGCGAACTGCCTGCAGTTGATCATGGCCGCCAAAGGAATTTTGATGTTGAAATATCAGTGCATGGAAGGCTGTAATCTGTATCAGAATAGTAGTGTAGTCGGTGTGTGTTCAGTAGTCTTACCAGATACAACTGCGAAGAGGTTGAGGGGTCCAAGATCGGCAAAGAGCTGTCGCATGTCATTCGAGAAAGGCTTTCCACAGAATCTCTCAACAACCTCACGAAAGGTTATGTTTTTCATCAATGTGGATTGCAAGTGCCACTTTTGTAATTCTCGGGCGCATTCTGTTGGTGTGCTGGCTTGGAAGGCTGCTTCAGGAAATGCCATGTGCATGCTCATTTCTTTGATGACCATCCTGGGGGGTAGATTGTTGAAGATCACGAATGCATGGTCTAGAAGATATATCCAAAGAAAGATCCTTGCGTAGATGTCAGTTACTGGTCAACATGTATACGAAGCGTGTTTACCGTATAAGTTGTTCTCGTGCAGCAAAGTCTCTCCAAGCAAATGTGTCATGTAGGCCCGAAGAGTAGTCCGGGTGCCTGGCAGACATAATACCAAAGTCTCTTGCCATCTAAACACCCATGAGTTAACGCGACCACAAGAGACTGGGTATCTTACAGATATTACCGTACTGAACCTGTATCGACGGATTCGTCGTTTGCTGGCCTCTGTTCCCTCCCAGCCCTGATACAGACAAACCATGTATGCTGCCTGGAGGGCTTGGATCTTCGAAAGGTTTTGGATCGGGTTTAGCAACAGAGTTTCCTGGTTGTTTAGAGGATCATTGCAAAAGTCGTCATCAGTAAAGACCATTTCCTCAACACAGTTGAACCAGATCTTGGCCTGTTCGTTATCAGTCTTGCTGGGCGATACACTTGCGCCTACCGACGTCAGAATCTACAAATCATGAATAGCTTTCTCTCACGTACCTACCAAAGCCATGCAAGCCACAAGAATTGACTTCGAGGTCACTGGGTCAAACGTAGGCCGGTGCACAAAGTTGACGTTAGGGTGCCATATATGCCAGAATAGTGCAAGATATTTCCGTAAATTGAGCGGAGTAAAGAATTGGATACACGTCTGTTCTAGAATAGTCGACCATTCCAGCTCAACTACACTGTTTCTAGGTTTGACGGTAACGACTTCTTTGATGTCTAGAAGTATCTGGTGGGTTTGGATGATGAGGGGGTCATGAAGATCCAATGCCGGTATTCGCGGAAGATCCCTTGATGAGCTATTGAGGTGTACAAGTTCGTCCAGCTCAGTAGTCCGTGTATCATGGCCTTCTACTGACCGGTGAGATGCTTCGACCTGCACTCGCTGTTCAAATGTTCCGCAATCAAATGAGTCCACCAGCCCGGATTTCCTCGTGAAATTGTCGAGAAAATGAAAGGTGTAATTGTCTAGGTGCGTCCGGGGACTGGTGGGTGTTATCTGAAAATGACCGGCGGCGAGGTTGATGAAGTCCAACCAGTCTTGGTTGTTATCTGATTCTTGAAGCATATCAGATACTGAAGTATAGTTGCCAAGATAATCGAATAGCGTATCATCTCCAAATACCACGGTCGGTGAGTTAGTTTCGTCACCGTATCGCTTGTCATCCTGGCCTTCGAGCAAGTTATTCTCTGTTACTACACCGTCGCTAAAAGAGTAAATGCATTGGACCGACTTCCGGCGGCAATGTTCACATGGCTGCCCAGTGCTACAGGCCTTCTTCTGCTGAACGCAGAGATCGCATGCTCGTCGGCTTCTGGACACTGTAGCCAATGCCTCTCCGGCCCTAACTTTGGTCTGACAAGCTAGAACATGTCGCCTGAGAACATCCGCCCGTTGGTATGATTGGCCACAGAAACTACATCTGTGAGGTCGGAGGGTACTGTGGGATGCAGCGTGGCGCTGGAGGTGTTCTCGTCGCTTGTACGTCTTGCTGCAGCGGGAGCATGTAAATCCGGTCCCTGAAGTTGATGCGCTGTCAGACATTGTCGGATGTCGATGTGGGTAGATTCTGACGAGGGAAGATGCAGGTTTGATGGGATAAAGATGTTGGAACTCCGCATTCCGGTCTCGATCCCGGCTTTGGCTCTCAGATCGCGGGGAAGTGGGGCAGTGGTCCGTGGAGGAAACGGGACTAGTCGGAGTCTTTGTGGGAGGCGAATGAGAGCTCAGAAGTTGGTCAATCATGACTTTGAGCAGTTGGAGGCACAGACAAACGCGGTCAGTCAAAAGGAATCGGGGAACATCTCCCTGGACCTCCTACACTGCCGGTCCTTGGAAACATTCACTTGGTACAGTCTCCGCCATGTAATGCCCAACAACCGTTGCTGATATTATCAGATGCCCACGAAGGATGCCCATCTGCAATTCCGTAAGTGGGCAGACGAGTACGGGCCTGTTTATAGTCTCATTCTAGGCACCAAACCCTTCATCGTCTTGTCCAGCGCCCAAGCTGTCAAGGATCTACTCGATAAGAGGAGTTCAATCTACTCTGACCGACAAGAAATGTATGTTGGGCAAATTCTTGGCAGCGGTGGCCTCAGGCTTCTCATGATGGTTTGTTATTCTTAATTTCAGTCTTTGCCTACGATGATACTAACCACCACTTTTTTTTCTCAGGGATATGGACCAACATGGAGATCAGTAAGCAATTATTAGCTGTGCCATTCATGATTTAGTCGACTAATCGAGTCTCAAGTTCCGCAAACTGGTACATTCGCTGCTCAATGTCACGACAGCCAAGAGCTACGTGCCTTATCAAGACCTTGAAAATAAGCAAATGCTATATGAGATGATCGTTCAACCCGACCAATTCCTACAGAGTATCAGACGATACTCCAACGCACTCACGACAACCATGGTATTTGGCTGGCGCTCGCCTATCTACCGAGACCCTAAGCTCATGCAGTTCTTTGACGGCTTTGCTGAGTTTGCCGAGATCAATCAGACAGGCATCGCCGCCCTCCTTGACTCCTTCCCCGTACTCAGGAAGCTGCCCGATTTTCTCTTGCCTGTGCAGAAGAAAGCGAAGGAGCTTCATAAGAAGGAAAAGGATCTTTACCTAAGTCATTGGCTCAAGGCAAAACAGGACATCGCTAATGGCTCTATCAAGCAATGCTTCTGTGTTGGATTGGCCGAAGCGCAGGAGAAGGGTAATTTCGATGATGCGCAAGATGCTTACATCTCTGGAACTCTGCTCGAAGCTGGATCAGACACGACGTCCAGCACCCTGTACGCCTTTGTACAGGCAATGCTCCTCTATCCTGACATCCAACGGAAAGCTCAAGATGAAATCGATAAGGTAGTTGGTAAGCGCATGCCATCTATGGATGACGAGCATAGCCTTCAGTATGTTCGTGCGTGCATGAAAGAGACACTGCGCTGGATGCCGACAACTATCCTCGGTGCTGTTCCTCATGCCGTCACGCAAGACGATACCTACAACGGATATCTCATCCCCAAGGGGGCAGGCGTTCTCAATAATGTCTGGGGCATTCATATGGATCCTGAGCGTCATCCCAGCCCTCGCCAGTTCAACCCTGACAGGTACCAGGATGACTTCCAAAGCCTGGCAGACGCCGCAGCCAACCCAGACGCTTCAAAACGAGACCAGTTCACCTTTGGTGCAGGCCGTCGTATTTGCCCTGGAATCCATGTTGCTGAGAGAAGCTTATTCCTGGGCATTTCACGTATCCTATGGGCGTTCAACATCAGACCTACCGTCGATAAGAACGGGAAGCCAGTTTTGCCAGATCCAGATAAACTGACTCAAGGCTTCGTATGCACGCCTGAGGAGTTTCCTGCTAGAATTATTCCAAGGTCTGAGGAAAAGAAGGCACAGGTTATCGAGAGTTGGAAGAAGGCTGAAACAGATGTCCTTGATCCTGAGACAAAGCAGTGGCGTTAGAGAATGTTCTCAATTAATAATTATCTATCTATGTATCAAGTTTTCATAGTTGACTAAAGTCAATCATCAAGAATGGCACTGCAGCATTGCTTCATCATGTGTCCCAACACTATTCATATCTCGGAGGCAGATCGTAATCTATATGTAAAAGGTTTTAGGCGGAGCCTAACAGCTCCTCGACAAGACCAGCAACAGACTGGACAACGGGGTACTTGGGGAAGTTGGGCTTGTAAACCTGGAACAAGTTAGTATCGTGTCTTGTAGGGATAATATGGTATGAGAACTTACAGCCTGGCAGACGGCGTTGAACTCGCTGCGGGGAGCCTTGCCACGGGCAAGCTCGACACCGGGAACTCCAAGCTTGACAACCTCCTCAGCCTTGTCAACAGTATCCCAACCAGGTCCAGCAGCGGGGTTCTTGATCCACTGAACAAACCAGTTGTGGATGGAATCTGCAAGAGCCTGCTGAGCCTTGGTGACGCCCTGAAGAGCGGCGAAGCACTCATTCCCACCGTGGAAGAAAGGAACCTCAGTACCGTGGGTAGGAGCAGTGTTGGGGGGTCCGACGACGTTATCGTACTTGCCGAAGAAGCGGTAGACCCAGGTCTTCTGCTGCTCACTGCGCATGTCGAGGAGATAGTCGACGGGGCAGTTAAAGCGGGCGTCACCGTACTGGATACCGCTGCGGAGAGACTCGGTGGCGTAGTCGTTGGGGTTGTAGGCCTGGATCAGAGACTCATCGGGGATGTGAGCACTATCAGCATCGAAGGTGTTGATCCAAGAGGTGAAGTTGCTGTTCTCAGCGCCGTAGACAAGGCTGAAGATGGTGCCCTCTCCATTAGAGGTACCAGTCAACATGGGGACATGGGAAGGATAGTTTCCAGCAGCGAAACGGGCAGAGTAGTCAGAGAAGCGGGTGATGTCGTCAATAACGGGAGTGAACCAAGTGTTGAAGGTGGAGTTGAAGTTCTTGGTCTCGAAGTCAAGGATGTCCTTGCTGCGGAGACAGTCGAGCTGTCCGTTACCTCCCTTGGGGCAGCCAACTTCCTCGGCGACAGCGTTAAGAGCCTCATCAACGGGAGCGTAAGCGGGGCCAGACATGGCGTTGGCACTCATCTCAACGGCACCCTTGAGGAAGGTGCTGGGGTTGTTCCAAAGGTAATGATCGACCTGGACACCACCCGAAGAGTGACCGCCGAAGACGATATGGTCAGGGTTACCACCAAAGGCTGCATAAATGTTAGTCAAGTTTTGCATGTGATCGATAAGCGTGAAACATACCCTTGATGTTCTTGTGGACCCAGTCAAGAGCCTTCTCAACATCCAAGATGCTAAAGTTTTGGGTCTCATCAGGGTGGGCGGTCTTTAGCTCGGAAGAGTGAGGAGAAGCAAAGATGCTCTCGCGAGTGTTGAAGTTGACGTAAACAACTCCATTGCGAGCAAAGTTTGTGCCCTGGATCTGGGGGTTGCTGCTGGAGCCAGTGACCATAGCACCACCATACATATAAACGAATACCTAGTGGGTGTCAGTCTATGTCTCGGAATTATATGCGGCACGGTAGGGTAAGGCTGACAGGCATGTTCTTGCCCTTGGATGGGGCCCAGATGTTAAGGTTCAGACAATCCTCATCTTGGCGAGTAAAGGCATCGTTTGAGATGGCTTGAGGGCATGTCGCACCATATGACGTAGCCTGGAACTTGGAACGAGACTTGGGGAGGTCCTGAGGAGCCTTCCATCTACACCAGTGTCAGCTCATGAACATGTGAAACAAACAGTTAGATGACCTACCTGTTCTGGCCACCAGTGGAAGCAGCAAAGGGGACACCAAGATAGACGGCGTTACAGTGCTTGTCACGGAAACCATGAATGTCACCCTGAGGGAGAGCAGCGTGCGGAATTGGAGGACAGGGAGGTTGAGGTGGCTTCGCAGTCGCAGGGACAAGACACGTGGCGGCCAGGATTAAACCTGTCGTTGTGAACATGCTGCTGAGGCCCATGATGAGGAATGTGATGTGATGGGACGGAAAGAGGTCAAGATCGACTGAGACACGAGAAAAGCTTGGAGAATGAGTGGACAGAAGTTCCCGCAGCTTTTGGTTTTATTCACCAAAAGATGCTTGCTATAATTCGATTCGCCTATATCACAGACGAAGAATTTCCGAGAGGCGGACGCTTAGCTACAAAGAGACGTCTTAGCGGTCTCGGCAGTGGAACCAAGGCCCTGTAGTGCTGGGGCCTCTAACTGTATTTAGTAGGCCACAGCCGGAACATGCACCGGTCGATTTTGTCATGCATGATCCGAGTCATGGATCCAGAATGCCTGTAAAATCTCGAGTTGGGAAAAAATAAGATGCCGGGGACGGAGAAAAGGGGTTCACGGGAAGGACGGGAGGCTGGTGAGACTATTGAAAAGAAACGCCGGATATACTGCGTAGGGCAGAGGTTGAGCGCATTCACGGCCAACTCTGTTAGTTGCAAGCCATTGCCGTCGATAGCATCGCAGTGGACATTTTACACTGATCTTTTGATGCCTGATGGACCCGAGGCTCAGTTTACGATCCCGCATCGCTTATCCATCAGTACAAAATGACAGAATTTGTGGATTGACAGTTCCTCAAATGGCTGAGATTGTTCTCTGGGATAGGAATTGATCGGCCAAGCTGCCCCTGGTCAGTCGCTACAGTGCCCAGTTCGCCGACCGAGCTTGATAATCAGCAAGCAAAGCACAGATCTCTCGCATCGGATTGGAACCCTTACGACGATCCTCCGAGGAACATCCCGACGCACAAGGTTACGGGAGTCCCCTCTCGGCGCCAACAAACACGTCCCTTGCATATCATGCGTATCAGCCAATCCAAACACCCGTACGTCAGCCCAATGCCTTTGCTGCTAATTCCGCTCAATGTCACTTGAGTCATAAGATTAGTAAAAAAACAAGACACTAATGAACAGCACCTTACGAGATGTAGCCACAGCCAATATTTGGGCGGAGTGTGCACCTTGTCGTTCCGAGGTTTTTCTTTCCGCGCCACTAGCTCAGGTGCACGAGTTCATCATGACTGGATATCGCCGTGCAAAATCCACACTTGGTGCCCTTTTGACTTCGGAGCTAGAGACAAGTCTGTCGGCGACTCTCCACAGAAGTAACGGCTTCTGGAATCTCACTGTGACAATCTCTTACACAATGAGCTGATACCAAGGACCGAGTCCACGGGTCCTGTTGATCAGGGGGGCCTTGGTTCTTGGGGTTCCGGATCCTTCGGTAGGAATAAGTCTTGCTGCATTCCCACCTTGCCTTGCCTTGCATTTTGTGCTGGGTTGTTTTCCAGATCAGATCAGATCAACGTCGCAATGGCTGAGGGTCTGGGACAAGTTGTAAGCTTATACTTTTGACGATAGCACGGTGATGTTTTTTTGCTGACGATGATAGATTTCGTGGTACATTTGTACCGTCATTGCTTGCATCTTTCTGGTTATGAGAATATGGGTTCGTGTGCGCAAGCTTGGACTGTTGGCGATTGATGATGCACTCATTATCCTGGCGGCGTGTTGTTTGATCGGTGATTTGATCATCCAGCAGCATATGTGGAATTTGGGAATGGCGGATATGGCGAACGCGTCTCGCGATGACTTTATCCAGATCATGAAGGTGAGTTGATGTCTCTTGATCGCAAAGTGATACTCTGCTAACAATTAACAAGATGATCGTTCCCGGATCTATTCTCTACGTCACCTCGCTATGGGCCATCAAGATTGCTCTGGTGCTGTTCTACAAACGACTTGCTGCGCCTGGAACAAAGCTTCAGATTATTTACAACGTCACACTTGGACTCTTGGTGATTTTCTGGGCAACCATCTTCTTCCATATCATTTTCCAATGCTTCCCGCATGACAAGAGATGGTCGCAAGATCCAAACTGTGTGTAATCTCATTCTCGATTGACATTACATATGCTGACGATTTTAAAGATCAGTGCGACCCGAAGGAGGCAGAGAAGAACTATTGGTTGACTGTTATCCGTATGTTACCCTAACCTTGGTGTCCCTGCGTGCAATGCTAACCATCGAACAGTCAATATCGGCACCGACGTCATCAGTATGTTTAGAAGATATGAATTCAAGATGCCCGACTAATAAATCGCAGCCATCAGCCTTCCCATCACCATGGTCATGAAGCTCCAGATGAAAACGAAGCAGAAGATTGGTGTCGCAGCCATCTTCGCCCTCGGTTTCCTGGTCGTCATCGCAAGCAGTACGTCGTCCAGCCTGTTTACCGCGAGCTCTGCTAACATCTCCAGTCATCCGAGCCTACTACTCCAAGAAGAACGAAACCATGTTAACATGCACCGTCTCTATGATCGAAACAGCCGTCGCCATTATCGCAACCTGTCTCCCACGTACGTCCCCTCACCTCCCCAATCTCCATCCCACTAACAAACCGTCTAGCTCTGCGAACACTCTTCCTCGGCCAAATGTCCTCCGCCCGATCAGGCTCCAATTACGGACGCTACGAGCTCTCCTCCACTGGCCAACCACGGTCCCGACGAACGAACCAAAGCCGAATTGTCACAAATGTCATGGGCGGTACGCAGAAGCTCGACAACGATTCACAGGACGAACTATTCAAGGAGTCTGCGCACTCAATAGCGGGACGAAGTACGACTAGTGATAAAAACCCTGGCATCACTGTCAACACCACGATCCACATGCAGCACAGCAGCGAGGAGGAAGCGAGACGATCGCAGGCTAGGCTTGATAGCTTCGCCTAAATTCTTTGATGTTTAGGATATATATATAATTTGTAATAAGATTTATGGAAGCGATATGTTTACTTGCACGTAAAAGAGGATGCGACATCCGGGTTGCCGCCCTTGTAGGTCAGCCGCTTCGGATAAGCGCACAACTCAACAGCTCGTCGCTTTTCCGTGCCGACAGTCTCCGCATACAGGGTCTCAGGCGCTTTACCATGCTCAACCCACTTGACAAGAGCATCAAAGGCACTTCCGGGATACCATCCATCGCCACCTTTGCAGTGCCCAACACCTGGAGCTTCAAAGAACCTGTAGTAATCCGTCGCGCTGGAGTCCTCTTTAAGAACGCGCTTGTAGTAATCCGCTGATCCTTTGTGTGGGATGAGTTGATCTGCTGTTCCGTGCCACGAGATTAATTTTCCTCCTGCCTTCTTGAAGTCTGTCAGATCCGGGTCTGATGTCCCCATGACTGAGGCAAATCGGTTGACGGATTGCCGGAAGAGCTTGCTGTACTCTTCGTGGGACAATTCATCCAGACTTGCTGATTGGTCTTGAAGGAGGAAAGTGGTGAGCCAATCTTGAGAAATGGCGAAGGGACTTGAGGTGCAGTCCTTCAGCGATGTGCAGGTTGTGTTGGCAAGACCACTCAAGTCGGCGCCACGATCAAGTCCATACCAAAGAAACTTGCCATCTTCTGTCTCGGGGCCGCGCCATGTCAAGCGAGCGACCTCAGCACCCTTCTTGGAAATCTTGATTGTGCCAGAGGGATTGGTACATTCTACGGATTTACCAACGACAGACATGGGATCAAACTTGCAGAGATCTGGGTTCGAGATAACACCATCTTTGACTCCATCAAGTTGATCACATGCATCAATAGCAGCCTTGGTTATAGCGGTGAGCTCGCAGATTGGAGGGTAGTAGCCTATAACAGATCAGCCAAGTTATCCTGTATTCATGAGATAATTCTTACCGAGCTTGTGCATAACAACTTGCGGCCAGTACTCCGATGTTACGAACTTGTCCCAGTTGAAAGCAGACGCGGTAGCAAGAACGCCATTATACTGCGTTGGATATCTCTGTGCCATCATATGGCCCTGCCGTCCACCTGTAGAACATCCCTAGGACCTGTCAGTGAAGTTCATCTCACAGAGATCTGAGCTACTTGCATTCCAGTATGAGTATCTTGGTTTCTTCCCATGATAAGCCGCTGTTACAGCCTTTCCCAACGTCGCTGCATCGTCCAGAGAGACAGCTGCAAAGTTCTGCAAGGCAGGCCAATTGAGGTTTCCAGTGCTATCCAAAGCCCAATCCAATCCCTGCCTGTTAGCTAAGAGGTGGCCGCCATCTGTAGTGACAGCGGCATATCCGTTGGACGCAGGTTGAGCAAGGTCGGGTATGTCTCCCGTTGACCAGCCGCCGCCGCCTACTCCAACAAATCGCCCGTTCCAGCCTGACACCGGCAGTGTTACGTATGTGTTGATGGTGTCATTCCAGCCTGGGTGCGTGTACTGGACTGTGACTTGGCACACGGGAAACGGATCCGTTGAGTTATTGGGCCATTCATTGGTTGGGAAAGACGGCAGCTCGATGGTGGTGAGATTGGTGACGATAGACAGAATCTTGGCATTGGCGAGCTCTACGGAGCGGAACGTATGGTCTGTGCAGGCGGGCTTTGCGAATACGCTTTGGAGGCCCTGAAACATGAAAGCAAACGACATGGCGGAGATGTTTGAGGAGAGCATAATCACAAAATGCCTCTCAGGCTTAGTGCAGTGGGGTTGGTCGGAGAACGAGATGCTAATTGGCAACCTAACAAACAGTCGACTACGTGAGAGGAACCATATCTTGTGAGTATTTCCTCAGATATATAATACTCCATCAGTAGCATAATGCGCGAAGCGATCATCGTCAGTAAAGCCATGCATCTAATCCTCCTCTACTCGCTTTGACCTACCCATTGGACAAGCTGTCTGCTCCGAGGAACACAATAGCCTAGCCAAGATCAGCACAGAAAATCCCCAGATTTGGCCAGACGGTAACTGCTCACGGGAACGAATATGCTGTCCCTCGATACGCAAAACAGGCTTATTTTCGACGCATCCCCGGATAATGTCGCATGGACCGATCCCCGGTAGGATCGTGAAGTTCCATCATTCAAGGGCTTAACCTTGTTACAGTAAAGTTTACCCCATATTCCCATATCAATGCCGCGGAGACTAGTCGATATTTGGACTACCCCACGATTCGGGGTCTGAAGAAGACTCCGTCAGAAGAGCAAATCCGGGGTATTCCACCGCCTGGAAGTGACCGTTTTTGCTTATGAATGGCCGGAAAAGCGCTGCTGCTGACTCGAGTGTTAATGACTCGTGAGAAATCTGGGGTTTACATATACCGCGCGCTCAAGCAGTCCCGGGGTTTCGGAGGGAAGCCTTCCCGGTGTACCTGAACAAGGAAAACGAGGTGAATCGTTTGCTGAAAATACGATTCCTTGTAGATTGCATGTAGTTTGAGAATTCTGATTCGTGCTAGTCTATTCTTTCGGCTTCTGCCCAGTGACTATCAAGCAATCAAACATTGGATGCACAGATCTATCGCGTGATGCCTCTCTGACACGCGCATTGAAAACCTCAACCTCTTCGCGCGACCATCCCAAGACATCAGTAAACAAAACAGCCGTAAAAGCAGCTACACCCTCTCTCATGTTAACCCCCATCAAAGTTCCAATTTCTTTGAGCCGTTCATCTTTAGGCCATGGTCCGATTGGAAGCTTGAATCGCTCCTCTTTAAGATTGGCGAAACCAGCTTCCTTGGCCCATTCTTGAAAAGACGGCGCAGGATCCATGGTTCTTCCAATCTTATCGCAGGCTAGTTTTAGATGGTCCATCATCTGGACTAACGCATTGTCGGGCTTGAGCGAGTCATCCTCGGAATAGAGCGTGTTAGCTGTTTCTTGAAGCTCGATCCAACCGCCTGGCTTTAAGTTGGCATACGCTTGTCGCAGTAGTCTAGGCCAGTCCTTGATAGATCCAGCCATGTATCTGCAGTGGATATAATCATATGGGATAGGTTCAACCCATTCCGCTTCAACATCGTCAACGATGAATTTGACATTCGGAGGAACCCAGTCTGGTTGTATGGGGCTAAGGTCATTCCCAACCACTGTCGCAGAGGGATGCTCGTCTCCAAACTGAATTGCCCAAATTCCTGTTCCTGTTCCGATATCGAGAACATTCAGCCCCTCCGGATCTATGGGAGCTAAGAACAATCGATCCTTTATAGTTCGGCAAAAAACGTGGTGAATCATATCAAGGCGATCCTGCTCCTGGTCATCGTTGGGGAAACTGTACTGCCCTGCACGATCACTGTGATAGCGTCTGCCATGTTTCCATTTATACTTGAGCACGCTGCTAGCGATAGAAGTGGTCGCTCCCACGGAGTCGGCGCTGAAGACGGACTCGGAGTCGGTGGTGTTTTCGTCGACTTGAACTTCAGGCGTCGCTGGGTTAACAGACATCTTTGCAGTCGTCGACTATGGGAACCAAGGTATGTGAATGCTGCTATCCGATATCCGATGATAGAGAACTAATCGCCAATGTATAATATGTCGGTCGCATGCACAAAGCGGAGGTGCCACGCAAGCAACGGCAGCCGAGGCATGGAAAACAACTCATCCAGTAAGAGCATATGCGGTACTGGAGATGAATGTAACCCCAGACATATTGCAATAACGAGGTTGCTGATCATCATGAGATTGAGACTTCGCTATGCACGTCTGACGAAAGCCCCATCAAAAGGCCTTTTCTGGAAGGTGGATAAAATAGCAGCCTATGTGTACTACGTCTTCCCATAGAGCCCTCTTGTGAGCAAATACCTCACCGATAAGATAAGACAACGTGGCCGAGTGGTTAAGGCGATGCCCTGCTATCTCTTCCGAGACATCATAGGCATTGTGTTCGCACGCGTAGGTTCGAATCCTGCCGTTGTCGATGTTCTTTTTGCATTTAGAAGATCGAATCTTTATTTATTTTTGTCGTGTTGATCATCTTGTGTCTGATTTTATGTGCTGAACATTTTATCGCATTGGTGGGGCACTGGTGATAATCTGACCTTGAAACACTTGGCTAGATTTATGCATGAGATAACGGCAGGTGGCTGGTTCAATTTGTCTTTAATTTCTTATGTACTGCTAGGATAGCATGCGAGACATTGCCAAAATGATCAAAAGCTACTGGGCTATTCGCCATCCAGGTGAATGCTGAGTTTTTGAGACTGGCAATCATGCTTGCATCCTGTCTCGACTTCCAATGTCTCTGCCGCAGTATTTCCAGGTAGCTAAGCTCATGAAAGACTGCACGTCCTGAAGAATATTGCTTGCCTCAAGATTGACAGACATAAAGCCCAGGTTGCGACGCCATTCAAAGTACCCGCTCTACTGGCTTCACTACCCGGGTACTCATTCCTCGCTCATCCTGGTATCCCTTTCGTTCCCTTCTACGGCCGGAGAGACTCTCCAGCTCTGTCAGCTTCTTCCCACCAAGGCTCGCCGCTCCCAAAGGCCATATATGGGTCATGATTTATAGGACATCAGAACCCATTTTCCTACGAGTCAATTCATCCAGTTGCGCAGCCAATTTCTTGGCCTGTTCAGCACATTTCTCTGTCGCTCGGTTCGCCAAAACAACCATCTCATCAACATTCCTCAGGTCTTGCTTCTTTTTGTTCAAGAGATTGTTAGTCTTTTTCGAGTCATCCTGAAATATCTTCAAAGACTTGTCACAGCGTTCGAGGGCGACATTCCAGCCATCAACATCTTCAGTGGTTCTGCGCTGGATGATTCGGAGGATAGACTGTCGGATAAGCGTGTTGTCCTTTATATCGTGGCGGATTCTAGTCAAGTCTGTCTGTGCGGTGTTGAGCTCTCGTTGAAGTAATTCTCGCGAGGAGTTCAACATTTTCAGTCGTGTTTCATTCTCGTTCTGCTGGGCCTGGATGCAGTCGGCTTCGTTTTGAATGGCAATAGTCTCGCTGTTCAACCGTGAGATACGAGCGTTCTATAGCCAAATATCAGTCAATACTATGCTTGAAGGTAATGGAAACACAGTTTTACCTCATCATCTGTGATATCTTTTTTTCTCACATCTTTGTGGCTCGCTTCACGCGTACCGCTGGGCGTAGAAATAGGCTTGGATGATTTCTTTTGCCGCTTTGGCGCAGGGACGCTGCCAGCTGTAAGCCCGCCCGCATTTTTCCTCTTTTTGAGCCGACTTGCATCTTCTCTTGGTCGGGTCTCGGTTAGCTCACCACCGAGTGGTTCGGGAGAGGGAGATTTGGTCAGGTCAATTAAAGGTGTGTTTGCAACGTCGCGAATATGATTCTGGCAGACTCTGGGCTGAGGTGGCGGGCTTGGTGAAGGCGCGACGACGATTTTATCGCGTACCATAGTAGCATCACTACTCTTGGCGCTATCCCCGTCTCCGTTGCGCGTAAGACTGACGCTAGGTTTCTGGGCATTGTTTCCTCGGCTTTCTGACTCTTTGAGCTGAGCAGAGGTTCGGCTAGGTTCGTCTCGACTTTCTTTCTCGGTCGTTTCCCCATGTTTCTTCTTGGAGCGAGTCCTTTTGGATAGGGCGTCTTTCTTCTCTCCAATCCACTAGATTGTCGATGTAATATCTCGGCCCTTGAGTTTGGAGTACTGGCCTCCCTTCTCGACAATGGATTCCAGATGTTTCATGGCAAGCGTGAGTGAAACCTTAGGTGATGACTGCGCAAGCTTGATAGCCTGGTGCAACTTTTGAAGCAAGTATACAGTCCACTGGGGAGAGAGACGTTTCTCGTCGAAGAGCTCCCATGGCCACATGCCGCAGGCTTTGCGAATGCGTTGGAAGTACGTCTGAACGGGAGCACCACCGATTTTGTTGAATGGAGCTGGAACTGCGGTCTCACTCTCTTCGGCAACAGCTAAAGGCGCCATAGTTATGACTGTGTGAGGTATGAGAAGAAGCGAGAGAAAGTGAAAGACTTTCGATGATAAGAAGGAAAAAGCAGATGACTCTGATTGGATGAGAAGGGATAAAACTCGGAATTTTTGAGTATGTGAATGGCCGCACAAGTTAGACAAGAGAGGCTATGCTTTGCGATGTCGCATTTGTGCTGTTGTTTCAAGGCAGCGCTGAGTTAAGGCACTGATTTGTTTCTTGGAAGGTTGTGGGGCAGTGCACAAAAGTGGCTGCCTTTATCTTATCGCATCTGTTCGTTGATAAGTAGTGGTTTCTTACCCTGCACTTTACAAGTTCTGCTTCTCAAAGCAAGGCTTTAACTAGGAATTTAAGATATTAATAACTCTTATGATATTTTATGTTACTTCCAGTAAATACTAGAACTTATTCTTCCCTAACCTCTGGTGGACCATTTGGTAAGTGATTGTACAATGTCCCCATCCAGCCACAAAACCGCTTCACGCTCAGGTGCAGAGCAGACTTTAATTCTAAGCGCGGGATCACAACCACAAAGGAAATACTAAATACATTTTGCATCTTCGCAAGTTTCAACAAGTCTATGGGACCACAGCTGATCGTTAATCAAATGGCCCTGTGTGAATTCTTTGTCGATATGAGCAAAAATGTGGTTCCGCCCGGGATCGAACCGGGGACCTTCTCGGTGTTAACGAGATGCCATAACCAACTAGACCACGGAACCAGGCCTTGTAATTGGATGAGAGACCGTCCGGCAACGGGATCCTTGATTTCGAGCTGAACGAGGAAGACTCGCGAGACTGGAGAAGTCTTGAAACACCAGGAAGAGTTAACTAGACTAATAGATACGCTGCATAAAGCAATGGGTAATATATGCCATTCGAAACCAGAAAGACATGTTAGCATAAGCAGCGTAATTAATTAATTCATGTCTAGCATATACCACCATGATTTCACAGTTTCCTGAGAGGGCAAACCGATTGACCAATAGCATGTTCCTAATAGCTGGAAAAGCCCCACTATTGTGACCTTCGTTACAGCGCCCAAAAATGACTGTCCCGCGAGAATGACAAGGAATCTTCCGACCGCGCCCAGCTTGGCCAAGCCACAAAAGTAGATCGAAGAATATATCGTCAAAAAGATGAATCAGAGGGCAATGGGATTGCTCCCGCCAGGGCTTGAACCTGAGACCTTCGCATACCGACACTCGGGTTGAAGTATTAGTACGACGCTCTAACCAACTGAGCTACGGAAGCCGTCTGATTCGATGACCTCGCTGGCGAGACCGTGGCCTCATGTTGCGAACAGACACGAGATGGGGAGCCTAGGTCAGTAGCAGGGCATTGAGCACGGATCGTGCCTGATATTCATTAGGTACAGAGAGATCAAGTTTACCGGCTGTTTGACAGCTCTATATTACGAGACGCCATGAACAGAATAGGAGGGCAGACAAGGGCAACTATGAGGACCTATGTATCCGCAGCATGGAAAACTATTAAAGCATTAGAACCTGTATCTGATCTGCCTCCAACGATTCAATAGTTCCTAGACAGAGTCAACTTAATGACGCCTTAGCACGAGACGGAGTAGCATGTATGCCAGAGTCACTTTCCAATTCTCTTTTCACGGACTTGCGATGATCAAGACAGTCATTGCACCCTTATCAGTCTTTTGTAGCAAAAACACTGGCATTATGATTTGACGCTGCCTCACAGCCAGCCTCAATCCTCTACAGATCGAGCTCTGGATTCTCTCCCTGTTTCTTATCCAGTCCAATAACGGCGTAATTCTGACTGGAATATTGAACCCAAATATCATCATGCTTTTCATCTGTGAACACAGCCTGGAAAGAAAACACTTTCTTGGCCGCGATTTTATCCGCGAATGGTTTAAGCATCGATTTGGAGTTGTGAAGTCGGACCTTGTACTCGTGGTCGGACAGATATATTTCATCCACAAGGCGACTGATATCAGAGGTGAGCTTATTTAGAGGATCAGGCTCACAATGCCAAGCGATGTCGAACTTGGGTGAGAGGTTATCGGGAATGTCGCCCTCCCATGTGATGGTAATCTCTTTGCTGAAATCGAGGGGCTCTGAGGGGTCGGGGCCAGTGAACTTGAAGGCTCGAGCTGCGGGGACAGTGGCTAGAAGGCTGGGGAGGAAAGTTTTGGTCTGCATTGTGAAATGGTGCCAAGTGAACGGACTTCCGAGATGCTGTCAAGGTGAAAAGGCTGATATTGGTGCTTTATCTTTAGTAGATTATGGTTAAACTGATGCCTGAAGCCTCGTCACGGATTACGCAAGTGATGGTCGGGTATTCATCTGTTATTACCAAATGGCATGGTGTCATACAAAGCGTAGATTGGTCACAATGAGTAATCCAGCTTTGATTGAAAGAGCCTCAATTCTTCAATTGAAGGTGGCGGTCTGGTTGACCTTATCAAGCTACCTAAATCGCGCAGTGCGTTCAATCTGACCAGTTAGAGAGGGCTGTACTGCTCACAGCGCAACGTATGGCATATGTCTCGGCTATTGCCATTTGCAGGTGGTGGCTGTAGGATTCGGATGCTGGTACCTAAATGTCAAAGCTCAATTCGGTATACTTTGCTGTTCATAGTGCTTCTCACTAAGTGACCGTCGAATAAGACATATTCTGTGGTGAGTAATCGACTTGTATATGCTGACATCCCTGAGAATGAAGGGTTTGGACCAATTGCCCTGTGTTGTGTCATCATGTTGATTTCCCTGGGTCCATTCATGATTGTACCGGGTTGCTGGCTGATTCCCAATGCCATGCCACTAGGACTCAAGGCTGTGCATGACTGTGCACAAATGGATAATGTCATTGGTTACACGGAGTATTAACAGCATGCATATCCCAATTCGAGACAGAGTTTACCATTTGACTTGCTTTTCAGTGGTGTTTTCAACCATACTAGTCAAGAACTTGGTGTTCTGCATGCCACGGCCACCACCTTTAAGCTTAATCTTATTTGTCGTTGCGTAGAGCAGACCAATCAGCGCTGAATGTATTATGTGTCAGACTTGGATTAACCCGACCGAGTACATAACGGTAGGGCGCACTGTTCCATTAGGCCTACAATAAATAAGACGTTGACTGCCCATGGAAAGAGAGTAATTTTTATGATGCTGTAATCACACAAATTGCGACGCGCTCTTTCACAGTTATCATCTCAAAATCTACATATTAAAATTCGTTCAGACACGCCAACATGAACAAGGCCAAACACGCTGCTGGCCCGGAAGAGACGCCCGACATTGTGCCCAAATACCCTCTCACCGGTGAAGAAGCCGAGGAGGACTATCAGAAACAACCTCGCCTCCTCGAGCAGCAGAATAAATTAAGACTGGAGAAAGCTCGAGAGGAGAAACCCTCCAACTCATCAACACAAAACACCGATCGTCGCACCTAGGCATGGGGCTCGTTTGATGACGGGGCGTCACTTTGCTGGGAGGAAGAAGAACCAGGAATAGCCCCTAATTTGTACGGATTGAAGAGCATCATGTATCGATTGTGGTTCATTCGCCATTATTATCACTTACAAGCACTCTACTGGCGTTGGAATATTGCAACATGAGCGATAGTCTTGAGACAAGGAGATGACAAGTAAAAATGCAAATTGGCGTATTTGACCTGTGTCGTGATATGGCTGTGATGTTTATGGTCTCATTACTGGCCATACTGTATAGGATTCTGCCTTGTCAATATTGGTGTGTTGGCCGTGGTAATCATTGGCCAAGTGTCATGCAGCCGGCTGCACTTCTCGGCTTCACAGCCACAGGGTCGGGCTGAAAATATTGCATCGGCCATTTTGGAACGCTGAGACTAATTTTCAAGCCCTTGTCTCCTCAATCGTTTCTCCTAATGATCAATTTCAAGACGCCTGAGTTTTCAAACTACCAAACTTTATGCGAGCACTTTTATACATCCCTTGCATCTCAACTTTCTCCAGTCTACCTACTGCCTGTAGCCTCTCCAAGCTCACCATCAGCTTCTGTTTACCCCGCTCGATATTACACGACTCAGCCGCACTGGAGATCTCTCAGTAACTGAGATCTCGGGCTTTGGCGCTCGAAGCGTAATAAAATGCGGCTCATTAACGTTGAGAACCTAAAGCTGGAAGCCTTCATCGGCGGCCAAATCCCACCGTATGCTATCCTGTCGCACCGATGGGGGAACGACGAGGAGGAGGTATCCTTCAAAGATATGACGAGAGGCACTACAAACAAGGTTGGTATGACTAAAGTGAAAGGCTGCTGTCGACAAGCCAAGAAGGACAACCTCAAATATGCTTGGATCGACACTTGCTGTATTGACAAGGAGAGTTCCAAGGAGCTAGACGAGGCCATCAATTCCATGTTCCAGTGGTATCGAAGAGCTGCCATATGCTACACCTACATGTCCGACGTTCCTCATGAACTAGATATCTGGGAATCCACATCCAGCTTCTCCACAAGCTCATGGTTCACAAGAGGATGGACATTACAGGAGCTTCTTGCTCCTGGAGAAATACACTTCTTTGACGAGACGTGGAGTCTTATTGGCACGAAGGAAGAATTAGCCAGTGAAATCGAGGATATCACAGGGATACCCCGCAGATTCCTGCTCGGCTGGGTCGACTTTCACCAGGCGAGTGTTGCGCAGCGTATGTCCTGGGCGTCAAAGAGGAAGACGAAGAGGGAGGAAGATATCGCATACTGTCTCCTAGGGATCTTCAACGTTACGATGCCCATGATCTACGGGGAAGGACATGAAGCGTTTAAGAGGCTGCAGCTTAAGATCATGGAACAGACAGCCGACGATTCAATTCTAGCATGGGGAGTCAAGGTTCAAGGCAGGGAGTTTGAATCTCAGACTGGACCTAGGGAGGATAATACGTCTGCTGGAATCTTTGCAATGTCACCAATGGACTTTGCCAAATGTGGCCGTATCGTTCCAAAGGCCCTCGACCCCAGTTGTATCACGAATTTCGCTGTTTCCGGAGGATACATCCGCACTTCGCTCAAGCTACAGTGTACCGAAAATGGGGTAGCGTATGGTCTTCTCAACTGTGGCCTTGAAAACTCGACAGAAGGCAACATAGCTATTCCACTGCGCTGCACAACGCCTTCGATTTCAACTGTCAGGGAGTACATCCGGCCCCTTGGATATGGCCCTATACTTCTCTCCGGGATACGAAGTGACTCCTACGATGGCCAAGAAGTCCGCATCCGCGTAGATCGCCAGGCACGACTTAAGGAAATGACAGGGAAGTCGATCTGGCTTCATATAGATGGTCAACAAAAGCTTAAACTGCATCTTAAGGAAGTTTGGCCGCCACTCAATTGGGACCGGGGCCGTGCTTTGGTCACGAACCTGTACGATTCAAATCAGACTGTCAGACCAAGACACCTCGCTCGCTTTACTACCAAAGCTAAGAATGACAGCGATATCATCGTTGTATTGGACTTCAACCTCCATGCACAATATTCTTGTGCGAACTGCTCTGTAATAGCAGCACCTGAAAAGTTTGATCTGGCTAAGATTGCCGGAGGTTTGGAGTACATGCAATTGGAGCACCTGCGCAATAACGTCATACAAAATGGAAATGATATGATCGAGGTCTCTTTGCAAAGGGAAGATATCTCCCAAGGATCAATCTTTCTACTGAGATTGGCTAGGACTGGCTCAAGGTCACTACCTATTGGAGCCACGTCCCAGTGTATTTACAAGGCGATCGAGATGGACATGTTGATTTCATCCCTTTGGGAAGGGGATTACATAGAAGAAACTATCGACGCTGTGATTGAAGACGAGGCTGCGACTGTCAATGAACTAGACTCATTGAAACGCGAGCTGGATAAGGTAGTGGAAAAGGAGAGACAGCTGGCAGTGGAGAGAGAAGGGATCGAAGGCAAGATGAAATTGATGGAGATGAAGATGTGCGAATATGATACGATACTATCAGGAACGAAAGACAGGCTGGTTGAACTCGGAGATCGATCAGAAAAGAGCATTATAAATATCGAGAAAATCGATGGGGCCAAGGGTCCAATAAGTTGGGCCGAAACTATGATACAGAGCCAATTGGACAAGCAAAAAGCATCCCCAGGGACAGATACCCCGACTTCTGCTGGCCCGAGCAACCTTCCAACGACAAGTCTCGTTAATAGCCGACAAAGTATGGGTGGTTTCATTCCACTGCTTTGGGCTGCCGCAAACGGGAAAAACGCAATCTTGCAACTTCTGATCAATAAGGGGGCAGACCTAGAGGTGAGAAATCCGGACAACTCATTCACGGCTCTTATGTACGCGGTGTTATACGGTCGAATCTCTGCCGCAAAGCACTTGCTCGATAGCGGCGTGATGTTAGAAGTTCGGGACAAGAATACATACACCCCCCTGGCGCTGGCAGCTTCAGTAGGGCACGAATCGATAACCTCGCTGCTTCTCGAAAAGGGGGCTGATATTGAAGCCAAAACTTGCGATGGGAGTACGCCTCTCTCCATTGCAGCTAAAAAAGGAAAGGATGATGTTGTCGAAGCACTGCTGGAGAAAGGAGCTGATGTAGAGGCTGAGAACCAAGCTGGAGACTCGCCGTTGTTACGAGCCTGTAACTATGGCCATATGGGTGTTATCCAGAAGCTGATCGATGCAGGAGCCGATATTCACACACAAACCTATGATGGGAGTACGCCACTATCCGCTGCTGCTAGAAAAGGGAGACAGGGTCTTGTCAAACTACTGTTGGAGAAGGGGGCCGATATCGACACCAGGGACCATTCTGGAGACACGCCCTTATCACGAGCATGTCTCTATGACCACATGGGTGTCGTGAGGATGCTGCTTGACAAGGGAGCGACTGTTGACGTGAGAAACAAGCAAGGCAAGACACCTCTGCAACTAGCGGAGAAGAACGCAAGAACTGAGATTGTCAGTTTGCTCCGGAAGCATCTGGCGACGAAAGGGTGATGAGATACGAGAACCAGGTTAGGTGTTAATATAGTGATTCTGACATTATATTCTGTGTGACAGACCTTCTGCAAGCTTTGAGATTGTCAGCGTCGGTCACAGTTCACGTTAAGCAGTACCAAGATCTCACAGACCTTCCTTTTGCTACTGATATTTGAAGGGTGTTTCACCCATCATGCGTAGCCTACACTCTAACTTGCTCAGGGTAGCCGCCAACAAATGTCGGGCATATCGTGAGTCACTACGTAGATCTGTTGTCGTATGGAAACTGCCAGACTGTTCTCCATGACCATCCATTTTTGCATGATGTTCCAATGGACGACCGAACAGCAATTTTGGTGACTCAAGTTTGACTTTGGTGTGGTGGTTGCGAATGTGTTCACTGTGCAAAGTCTCTTTCGATACTCTATTTGGGACCAACTGGAAGAGAATGCTCAAGTCTCTGTTGATCATTTGAACAAACCCAACAGGTCTTTGCTTCCCTTCTTTTTTTTTAAAAAAGGACAAGTAGCAAGCGATCTTCACAAAATCGATCAAAAGCGATGTTTGAGGCGATAGTGGTCTGCTTAAGCTTTCATTATTTCGAAGCTAAATGTGGTTTCAACCAGTAAATGTTAATTGAAAACTGCCGCAGAATTTATACTTCCTCGCTTTCGAACGTCGTTCAGCTCAAATACAAAAGCTTCTTCACTCTCTGTATGCCTCTCTGCGAAATATTGGGTTAGGATCCTCTGATGATTCGAAAGTCTCTTTGAAGCACTGTTGCTCAAGAAAAGTTTGTTTCGTCTATAAATCAACCTCCCCAGGCTTCTATCCCAGAAATCTCAACCTTGCAAATACATCACGGATTCTTTCAACCCTCTCTGACATAACATCTTGTGTACTGTTTTACTGTACAACAGATCATTGTACACCACCCCCTTCTGCACTACTTGAAGCCTTGTTCGTACACTTCAGCTTTGTACATCATCACATTGTGCATTCACCCTCACGACCTACTCACAATGGTTGCCACACGTTCCCAGAAGCGCAAGGCCGAGGATGTCGAGCCTCAAGACCCGGCTCCTGTCTCTACCGTCCGCCCTATCAATATTGTTCTCGTCAAGGGCGTCAGGGGCGGCAAACGCCCCAAGATAGCCCGCGGCGACGACGACCAACTCACTGTGCCAGCACCACCAGCCACAGTGCTTCGCCACAGCAAGCTCAAAAAGCTTGTTATTCGCAACAAGAGCTCAGAGAATCAGTCCATGTACCCCATGGTAATTCCTGTCATCTTTCGTGGTGGCAAGGCTGAAGAGCCTGAAGAAAAACCGTTCGGATTCACTTTCCGGTGTGTCCTTCACCCCAAGAGCCCCGACACCAAGGAGAGTGTTCTGCCCGCTCAGAAGCCGACCCATGGTGCAGTCCAGAAGAAGAAGATTGCCCCAAAGCTGGTGAAGGCATAATCGCTACCAGCTGGACAAGAGAGATGAACGAGCCAACGAAGCAGATCGATCTTCACTCTCTTGTCCGGAGAGGCTTGTATGGACTTGACATCCATGGCGGCCTCCACCTTCACCAGGAACCAGGTAAGAAACCTCAAAACCCTAATACTACTTGACAAAGACCTGACAGTGTGTTCTGTTTAGGTTTCAGAGGATAAGACGGGCAACGGTAAAGCATCTTTTAGAGACGGAATGCTCAAAGTGTATTATCTGGTCTTAAGCCATGGTTTCAGTATATTGGGTCGCGTTGGGAAGTTGCATTTTAGTTTAATGTTATAAATGTAGAAAGACTCGTTTTTATCATGGTCTCATGCTTATTCTACCGATTCGATTGGGTGATTTTATTTGCTTGAATTGTTATTTTACTTCGCTCAATAAATATCAATAAGATACCATTGGTCTCAGCATTCTATCATTGATCCCAGATGTTTAATTTGCGCTGGTCATACATCTACCACGGTTCAACGCGCGATACTCTGTGACTAACCTGCCCACATATCTTATGGATAATACAATAAAAGCCTTCACAAGTAGCGGGTGCTATATGGGAGTCTTTGCTCCTAGCTTAAATTGCCTTGAAGCATTAGATATCTCCCCTGAGAGTAGACCTTCGTGTCTCTACTTCGACAGGTTAAACGTCAGCCCAGCCTGATTTTAAGACCCATCCAATCTTCAGCCGCACGAAAATGCATAATTCGGAACGGATATTGATCCGACTGTCCTATATCAAATAGGATGGCCAAACGCGCTCAGCCGCAACCCCGCATCCTGAGCCCTGCTTACCTGCCTGTTCACCAATCTTGCCATGCATTTAGTTTTTGATGCTCTAGCCCATGATAATAGCATATGAAACCTTATTGGGGAAGCAGTCAACAGAGGTATGGAGTGCGAAAAGAAGAGGCTTGATAGTCCGTCTTTCTATACTATCGGTTGGATCGCGGCCCTTGCCATCGAGCAGGCAGCAGCAAGGGCACTACTGGATGAGGAACACTCTGAACCAAACAACTTTCATCCATCTCCTTCGGATACGAATAATTATATCTGGGGTCGCGTAGGAAAACACAACGTTGTCATCGCTTCTCTACCAGCAGGAGTCTATGGAACAACCTCCGCTGCCACCACCGCATCGGATCTTGTACACTCTCTGCCGCAAATCCGTTTTGGTCTCTTGGTCGGTATTGGTGGAGCTATAGCCAGGCCAAACGATGATCAGGATATTAGACTTGGCGATGTTGTCGTTGGTCAGCCGCACGGTGTAACTGGCGGCGTTGTGCAGTATGACTTTGGCAAGGCGAGAGCGAATGGGATTTGGGAACGGACAGGTTCGCTTGACAAACCACCTGCAGTCCTATTGAAAGCTCTGGCGAATTTGCAGGCTGAGCATGAGATTCGACCTTCCAAAATATCACGACTCGTCGAGAGTATGCTGACAGCTAACCCTGGCATGAAACGACCCGGCAGTAACTTCACATACCAGGGCTCAGAGAACGACCGTCTTTTCCCATCAGACTATGAACACGTTGGTGGGAAGACATGTGCCAAGTGCGATGTCTCCCGCCAAATCTCTCGTGAGGAACGGGAAACCACAGAACCGATGATCCATTATGGAGTTATTGCTTCGGGCAACACTCTTATTAAGGACGCCAAGTTCAGAGATAGCCTCGCAGAGAGCATAGGCTATCAATGCCTATGTGTCGAGATGGAAGCTGTAGGCTTGGTTGACAAGTTCCCATGTCTTGTTATTCGCGGTATCTGCGATTATGCCGACAGCCACAAGAACGATCAGTGGCAAAGATACGCAGCATCTACTGCTGCCGCATTTGCTGTAGAGCTTCTTAGTTACGTTCCTGAGCGGCAACTCAAAGAGTCTCCACGAGTTCTTGAGATACTGCAGTCACGTTAGTACAAACTCACCATACTTATTGGATCTGCTACTAACCTTAAGTCAGTGGAAGGTAAAGTGGATTCCTTGAGGTAAGTCACTCCCTCGTAAGTATGGCTGGTTTGTTAATCTCAACAGCCATCAAATACAGCAGACCGATCTCACCTCAACTCTTGACCAACTCCCCTTTGTAGCTGAAGCTATATTTAACTCTTACGCCGAGGAGCATAGGCCGAGATGTCTACCAGAGACACGTGTTCAGCTTCTCACTGAGATAGACGAATGGGTCACGAGTGCTGAGTCAAAGACCATATTCTGGCTGAATGGTATGGCAGGAACAGGGAAGTCAACAATATCACGTACTGTGGCACAACGGCAGTTGGAGCGAGACTGTCTTGGTGCAAACTTCTTCTTCAAAAGAGGAGAGGCAAGCCGGGGGAATATGTCAAAACTGATTCCTACCCTGGTACGGCAATTAGCAATGTATATCCCTGGTATGATCGGTTTGATCCAAAAGGCCATCGATGCCGATCCGTCACTCCCAACGAGAACTGTTTCGGAACAGTTTGGGAAGCTTCTCAGAGAGCCTCTGGAGAAGCTTGCCGCTTCCTCACCAGATCCAACGTCCTTTGTTTTCGTCATAGACGCTCTTGATGAGTGTGAAGGGGAATTTCATATCAAGCGTTTACTTTCACTTATCGCTGAACTGGGATGCCTAGATTCGCTAAAACTCAGAGTCTTCATTACGAGCAGACCAGAACTTCCGATACAGCTTGGATTCTCAGACATCAACGGCATGTACCAGAGTCTTGAGCTCCACAGCATTTCACAAGACATCATGGAGCATGATATATCTATCTTTCTTCACCATGAGTTGGGCATCATTCGAAAGAACTTCAATTTTGTGGTTCGCAATGAGCAACGGCTATCTGAGCTGTGGCCGGGCACAGTCAAGATTGAACAGCTTGTTTCTAAGACACAACCCCTCTTCATCGCTGCGGCAACTGTTTGTCGGTTCCTAAATGATGCTACTCTTGGTAGCCCGGATCAGCTTCTAGTAAGGATTCTTGAGTCCAATAGCCGCACGCATATGTCTCGCCTCAACGACATCTACTCCTCCATTCTCGCCTCACAGGTGGTCAATAGACCGAGGAGAGAGCGAGAAGAGATTGTCAAAAGCTTCCAATCAATCGTTGGTGCCATCGTCACATTAGCAACCCCGCTGACAATCAATTCTCTATCATTATTGCTTCGTATCTCTACCACGACAATTGACATGAGAATCAAGGTTCTTCAGTCTGTTCTGGACGTACCCAAAACACCAGAAGTTCCCGTTAGGATCCTGCATCTATCATTCAGAGATTATCTCGTGGATCCTGATTTACAAGGAGCCACGGACTTCTGGGTGGACGAAAAGGCCACACACAGAAGGCTGGCAAGTCGTTGCCTCTTCGTCATGGACTCGATACTTTATGAAAACATTTGCAGACTGCCCTTTCCGGGAACATCTCCATCTGAGGTTGAAGGCCTAGACCCGCACAAATTCATACCTCCTGAGCTTCACTATGCTTGTCATTACTGGGTACACCATTACATATCCTCCAACAGTGGAGAGTGCAAGGCCGATAAAATTTATTCTTTCTTAGAAAAGCACCTGCTCCATTGGTTGGAAGCCATGAGTCTCCTTGGCCATATCACTCACTGCTTGAATATGTTGCATGAATTAGATGCATGGCTAGAGGTATGATGCCTTCTTCAAATTTGAGTGCACTCTACTTACGACCCTAGAAATATTCTTGTGAGAAGCTTTCGGACCTTGTCAAGGACTCTTTGAGATTCATCCGAACTCATCTTTCCATTATTGACGAAGCCCCGCTGCAAGTCTACTCGTCGGCAATAGTATTTTCGCCAAAAAAGAGTATCGTGAGACGTCTTTTCGCAAGTCGAGTCCCTAAGTGGCTCCTAGCCTGGCCAGGAGTCGAGAATGAATGGGGACCGTGCTCCCTGGTAGTAGGCCACAGTGCTGTAGTAAAGTCAGCTATCTTTTCGCCTGATTCAAAAACCATTGCATCGGTATATGCTGATAACACTATCCGAATTTTATCAACAAAGACCGGTAAATGCGAGCATGTTTTAGCAGGACACTCTGGTGAAATCCAGTCAGTGGTCTTTTCACAAGATTCCGAGATCCTTGCCTCGAGCTCAACTGGCGGTACGGTACGGATATGGAATTTGCAGACGGGAGACTGTGACGAAGTTTTGAAGTATCCCTCACCTACGGGAAAGGCTTTTGCCTTCTCTCGCGATTCGAAGGTGTTGCTCACAGCAAGTGGAAACCAATTCATAAGAATCTGGAAGACACAGACTTGGGACCAACTCATTCTGAAGGGACACACAGGAGCGGTCAACTCAGCTGTCATTTCACATGACTCGAAGATGTTAGCCACGTCCTCGGACGATGCAACAGTGAGACTATGGAACACACAAACTGGTAAATGCGAGAAGATATTCAACGGCCATACAGGAAAGATCAATGTAGCAGCCATCTCACCTGACAATCAAATGGTTGTCTCTGCTTCTGTCGACCAAACTCTGCGGATCTGGGATGTAGAGGCGAATAAATGCAAAAGGGTGCTCAGGGGCCACGACTGCCATGTCGTATCAGCGGTATTCTCTCCCGACTCACGAATGATAGCTTCTGGAGACGCGGGGGGCCGCATAGGCATCTGGGATGCTCGTAGTGGAGCATTTTTGCACGAACTGAAAACCTCGTGCGACGGTAGATTCAAGTCCCTGATGTTTTCAGAAGACGCCACAAAACTTATTGCCGTCCTCAGCACAAGAACCGCTCTGATACATGATATTCAGAGTGGAAATTGTGAACAAGCCTTTGACTTTTCGTCCTCAAGTTTGAATTGGTCAGTTGAGCTTTCTCATGACTTGACAATGATTCTTACAGCCTCTTCGGATGACAATACTGTCCGAATATGGGATCCTCACACCCAAAGAAAAGGCCTTGAAAGCGCCAAAAGCTTAAATGAAAAGGTTCTGGAAGTGGATCTATCACCAAATGGGAGAGCAGTGGTATTACATACGGTGTTTGGCCATGAAGTTTGGTCCCGTCGCCGAAATATATTCGTATGCCGGCTGGTAAGCGGCAAACCGCTTGCAAGGGGCAGAGACTTCATCCAGTTCTCGCCTGATTGCGCGACGGTGATTATTGCTAATGGAAGCTCTATCACGATGTGCAATTTGAAGTCGGGGAACTACACTTGTTGCTTCGACATCAGTAGCGCGGTTCGGTTATGCCTTTATTCGGAGGATTGCAAGATCCTGGTAACATACCATAGAGATGACACCCTCTGCTGTTGGCATTTGGAACACCATAACTATAAAAGTCTTCCAGATTTCCGCTATGTTGACACTGGCCGAGGTTCCTTTGATCGGCTGAGACGTGGAGACGTTACTTTTCACGGCAGTGTTATTCATGTGGTCCGGCATCCTGATCAAACGGCGCGTATGTCGCCCACTTGGCCGACTATAAGACAAGATCATACATGGATCACGATTGGGAACGAGAAGTTCTTCAAGTTATCCCCAGAATGTCTGAAAGCCGAAGTAAGCATATGTGGAAAGATAGCTGTTGTGGACTGCATTTCTGGAAAACGTATTATTTTAAGCTTTGATGTTAGTGAGGCTGGGCTGCCTCCATCCTGCATGGAAAGGGAGAATAACATGGACGATTGTGACTACAAAGTGGACGATTATAAATACAACCTGGACGATTACGGCTACAACCTGGACGATCTTGACTACTAGATTATTATATTCAAGAAAACATGTGACTTCTGGCTTTCCAAGTCAATTTTTGAATATTATCATAACAGTGTTTCATCCCACTCTGGTTCTTCCCAACAGACAATTGCACTGAAGGTCTTCATTGATATCCTCAAGATCATTGGATATTCGTAAATATGCTCAGGCTGTTGGCTATCCTGAGTGACTCCGGACCACTGGACACAGAACAAAGTTGTCAAGGGATGACGGCTCAGACCTTTGGACAGTATTCCTTCGAACGGTAACAAAGGCTAGCGATTTGAATTTCAGAGGAGCATCATACCATTGACCCAAACCCAGGTTGATGTTGCTTAGTACCATAATTTCTCGTTTGGCTCGACTCCCTTCTCTTTGCAGTGATCATAGTAAAGCTCCGCAAAACTGAAGATATCCATTGTCTCCCTCAAGCTATCATCATCATTAAAGAACTCGAGACTTCCTGTAATAGTAAACACAACCTCGGCGCCAGCACCCATGAACAGCGTGTGAATGGTTCCCGGGTTTTCAACAACATAGTCTCCGGGTCCAGCGACCCAGTCATACCTACAAATGTCAGCCAACCTACCACAGGTTGAGATCGTATACTCACTCCTTATATCTCCAATTCCCAGAAAGTGTGACAGCTGTGACTGTACCTCGGTGTCTATGCTTTCCGAGCCAGCAATCGACAGGTGTTCTCAGCCCAATGACAAAACTACCAGACCTCGTTTCAAATCGGAGAGGCTTGAGCTCCAGTGTTCCTGTCCAGGGATGCCACAGAGTGTCTTTATTGGAGTTGACGTAGACATCTGGAGAGCTGTGCTTGTCGGTGAAGACGAGTGCCTTTCGGTCTTTGTCTGTGAGTACTGACTCGCCCTTGGGATGCTCCAAGAGATCGGAACTCTTTTGAGTATTCTCTGGTGTATCTTGGGTCTGGGCTGGCGCCATAGTGAGGGGGGTGTAAAGGCAGATGTCAAAAGTGGTGGACAAGAGTTTTGCAGTGAACAATTTGCTCTGCTAGTCAGTCGAGTGATGGCCAGGAGCCTGATTTATATCCTCAACAACACGCTGACTAAATGGACGCACCTGATACGTGTCGTGTAATTTTGAGTTGGGCACTTTTATGCAAGGTGTAGATCAATGCTACCCCAGATTTCCGAATGACTCGGGGACTGCTATCCGGCACTGAGCGGTGTAAGCAAAAATAGAAATTGAGTCGTCAAGTTACCGTTCTTGTTCTTTGGATTTTAGCTTAGCTGAGAAATCTGTAGGGGCCTCGACAGAGCCATCCTCTGTGCCGCCCTTCTGTCGCTGCTCCCCCGCGGCAGGGGACCTTTTCTTGGGGAAGATCGACAAGGTGTTGGCCGTGGACGTTGGGCTTCGCTGCAGCGCTTTGACTCGAGTTACTCATGAGGGGACAGTCATGACTCGCACAAAAGACGCATTGCAGCGGGAGTCAAGGAAATGAAATGATACACCAGATGCTGTGCCTCAAGAACCGAGCGTTGACATAGTTGAAGAATTAGGTGGGGTAGTAGGTTGGAAATGCTTGCAAACGAATTCTGAGCAACAAATTATTTTCATATCTTTGTCGGAATATGGAGGGTATGTAACATCAAACTAATACTTTCAAAAGTGTTTCCTTTTGTGTTTATCAATGGGGACACATTCACGTAGCAAGAGGCAAGAAAACATCAAACATATTGACGGTACGGGGTAGGCAGCTTTGAGATCTGCTACGCCGCTAACAGAACACCCGCACTACACAAGGCAAAAGGGATAATCAACTAAGACCCAGAACTCGTAGAGCGTTATCAGATACCCGATAAGGGGCCAGCCGAGGTTCCACTACCCGTAAATATCCATAATCTTGCATCAGAACCATGGATTCAACAACCGCGGCTCGACGTCGCCGCCGTAGACGCGTTGCCGATGAGAACCGGAAACGTGCACCACGAGCGTGAGTCCATAGAAAGTAATGAAATCGACTTAGAACTGATGATATCGCCGTTATTAGGTGCGATCGATGCAAGGCTCGGAAAAGCAAGTGCATTGAGTCGAGTCCAGGCATTTGCCAAAGATGTGAAGCTGGTCAGCTTAGTTGTCGCTTTGACAAGTATGTGACGATTGCATAATTGATAAGCTAGCCAATCTGACAAAATGAAGAGATAGGTTGTCTCCGCGACAAAGTCAAAGCCCGATGCCCACTGGAGATGCGACAATTACTGCCGTAGCTGCCTCGTCTCAAACAGGAGCAACGCCCCAGGAGAACATTTCCATAGAAAGCCGTATGAACGATCACACGTCTATGTAGACGCTGAACTGACTGATGCAGACCAGACTGAAAGCATACTATGGCCCCGATTCCTGACAAGACTACGCGAAGCCTTTTCTTTGGACCCGATATCAGGCCCAGAAGAGCAGGATATGGTCAATCTGCAGGCTGTAAGTATTCCTCCCGCACCGCAAAGTCATATGAGACTGAACATATCAAGAACATCACGCGACCAAGTAACCCATCGCTGGTAGAACAAGCCCGTTTGAAGAAGATTGTTGACTCATTTCCTCCCCGCTCCATCGCCGAGTTTCTTGTCCATGTCTGCATCAGACGAGGCACTGACGCCTTCTTCTACTTCGACCAAGCCCAGCTCATTCATGAGATTGAGCAATTTTACACCAACCAAACATGCCCGTTGAGGTCCGACCCCAGCTTCATTTGTCTCGCATTGACGATCTTCGCACTTGGTAGCCACTGGACCCCTTTGGAGCGACCCGGCCATTCACGAATTGATGAACACGATCCCGGACGGCTCTTCTTTGAGCAAGCTAAGGTCCTTGTTCCGGATATAATCGAGCTTCCAGGCCTCAGATCTATCCAAGTATGCTTGATACTCGGTGTCTATCTCATGCCACAGAATGCAGTTGGGTCGTCTTATGTCTACACGGGAATGGCTTTGAGGAAGGCTCTGGCATTTGACCTACACCAGGATTCTGACGACCAAGCAATGGATGCGCGAGAAAGAGAAGTTCGTCGTCGCTTGTGGTGGTCGATATACTCGCTTGAAAGGTAAGTTCGTGCCACTCCTCCTCCAGGCTCTATCCGTACTGATGCCCAGTAGGTGCTCGACAATAAAGCTCAACAGGCCACGATCTGTGGCACCTGAGATCATTACGGCCCCATTACCGACTATTCTGCCAGATTTTGACAACGCCCAAAAGTTCAATAATGTCCTTCTTCAAATTGCCTTCGCGCGTCTCATATCCATTTTGGACAAAGTGGCTGACTGGGAGTACGTCGCAGCTTACTGTTTTCCTTCACATGCTGACAATTGCAGGTCAACAGTAACGAATGCTCCACGCCAGGCAGATACAGTGAATTTGGAGAACCAGCTGAAAGAGTGGAAAGACTCGTTGCCTGAAGCCTTTGATCTCGAGACAATTCCACCCCAAGACTCACGCTATCGCGCTGTCTTTCACATCTGGCTCAACTATTACTATGCCTGGATAGTGATGGGTAAAATGTCTCTCATTACTGTTGTAAGAATGACTCTTCGACGCCATCTCGGAGATGACTCAGAGCCATGCAACATTGAAGAAAAGGCTGAAAAGCTATCAAAGTCCTGCGCAAAGGCTTCCAAAAAGCTGCTTCAACTATTTGAGGACTTGAACCAAACAGGGTATACCACACGATTCTCATTCACAGATTTCCAAGGCTGCAGTATCGCTACCATCGTCACTCTCATAGCAGGTATCCTTGATAGGGATCCCGGATACGAAAGACGCGTCAGATTTGGTCTAGACTTCTTGCGCAGAATGGCGACAGGGAACCCAAATGCTCAAGTTGGTGTTCGGTTTGTCGAAGCACTTCGGTCCATCTCGAACGAGGCGTGGGGTAAGCTTAGTCGGTCTAGGCAGCCTCCTACCAACGCGACTGACGAAGGGCTACAATCATCAGCGTACAATGAATGGGCCGAGTGGTTATCAAACCAAGAACAGTCTCAGAGTACTATCAACAGCGAAGTGATTGGTGAAAGCGCCTTAGGTTCTGACCAGAATACACAGGTACCTTCAGGTGCCGACGCAGAGTTCTGGTCTGCGGGACCTGAGGTCATGGAATGGAACTCACGCACTGATGCGGTTCTGGAGCCACTAATGCCACGTCTACCGGCTCCGCAGCCTCAGGCCGGAGAGCAGCAGCTCGATCCGTTTGAGACGTATCGCCTGTCGGCGACGTATAATGACGATCAACCATTCTTGATGGGGCTCACGGGCTTTGATGTCCTAGACTTTGCAGGTTATCCTCCCGACCTGGCGCCATGAGGGTTCGGTTTATGCATCATATGTTGAAGGAGTTCATATACCACACGGAGAGCTTATTGGAGTCTCTGCGAGATCATGATGGGATTTAAGAAGTGCGGCTTTGGACAAATTATTACATATACAATGTTACAAGTACGGCCCTTGAGACAGAAAGAATAACTTGTATTTATACTTTTCCTTGCTTGATACTCGATATGCCTATTGTCCATGCCCATGTTCCCAGCATTCATCAAATCTTACAGTACGGAATTGAACCGGATCGGGATCCCGCCATCAACCTCCAGAGACTCTAACTGACTGCGATACACTAAGCCGTCCTTCATAACCGCCAAGATGTACTTCTCTGGATGGTCAAAAATCTCAATATTCTCCAATGGGTTCTTATCCATGATCAGAACATCCGCCTGGAAACCCTCCTTCAGCTGACCCAGAGTGGTCTCGCACCCCATCATCTTGGCAGGGTTTACCGTCGCGCTTCGTAATATCTCAAGAGGCTTGAGTGCTTGAGAACGCAGAGAGAACTCTTGTGTCTGAGCAGAGCCAAGTGGGCCAAGGAGATCGCTACCGTAACACATTGTTACGCGTGCTTCCGAAGCAATACGTAGAGCTTCAAGACCAGACTGGAGAACTTGAGCATTCTTCACCTGAGACTCTGGTGGTAAGAAGTTCTTCCACTTGTCGGTGGCCATTTGCGCATAAGTGATGAGTGTTGGGGTAAGATAGACGCCCTTCTCAGCCATGAGGCGAGCTGTAGGGGCATCAACGAAGTTACCATGTTCAATACCCTTGACTCCGTTGTCAATGCAATGTCTTATAGCCTTGGTGGTATATGCATGGGCTGTGACGAAGGTGCCAGCATTATTCGCACACTCCACCATCGCTTGAATCTCTGACGTGGTGAACTGCAGCTGTTCCAGCTTGTCGGTCGGTGATGCAACGCCACCAGAGCCCATAATCTTGATAAAGTCTGCTCCACAGCGAACCTCATCGCGAACAGCGGCCATGCACTCTGGCACGCCGTTGCAAATACGGCCCAAAGACCCTATAGCGTGTCCACCACAGCATTCATGCTTCTCATAAGAGCTTCTCAAGTCACCGTGGCCTCCTGTTTGCGAAAGCGCGTGACCTGAGATGAAAAGACGAGGACCAGGGAAAACGCCCTCTTCAATTGCTTCTTTTAGTGGGAGCTGGGCCCCGCCGCAATCACGAACTGATGTAAAGCCGCGGTAGAGCATTTGTGAGGCGACATATGGCTGTCGCAACAGCGAAATATCATTGGGGTTTCCAAAGACACGAGATAGGTCTGTGAAGCCTGGTGTCGCGCAGAGATGAACGTGCGCATCGAAGAGACCTGGGCACAGGTATCGGCCTTTGCAGTCCACGACGTTGTAGCCATCGGGATATTGGCTTGGTGTTGAGGGGTAGACGGTATCGATTTTGCCGTTCTTTGTGGACAGCGATGCGTCTTGTAAGATGTTGCCTGTTGAAACATCGATAATGTTGGCGTGAATGAAGAGATGCTTCTGGGGAGGATGACGAAGCCATGGTTTGATGTCTGCGCCGGGTACAGTATCGAGTTGAGTCATGTTGAAGTTTGAGAGATCAATGAACAGTGCAATGTCCGTTCAGAACCAAGATAAGGAAGATAAAATTGAGATATCGGCCCAGAAATCATCCAAGACGGTGGCTTTTTATCACAATCTCCTCTCAAATTGCCCCTCGCGCTGTGTAACACTCTTCGCCGACCATTGCCGATAGCGGGCGAGATTATCACAGTCGGCAACATGGCCATCGGCAAAGTGTCACTATTCCCGACGTTGAGCCATCGGATCGATGGTCTATCTCATCGGCTCCATGTCCTTCCCCGCATGATGATAAGGTTTTCTCCATAGTGGCTCCTGTCACCAGATATCCGATGCCCGGAGCATTCATTTAATGGACTTTTGATAACGGCGAACCAAGTTGTTGGGATCATGATATAATTGAGGCATTCCCCACGAAGGATCAGCGTTGTCTACCATGCACTTCCGTATCTAGATCATTTCTTTGTTCCATCATAAATCACGATCATGGATCACGCTCTTGAGAAGAAAATGTCTGCGCCCAAGCCTGATGAGCCTGAGGCAAGGGGCGAGATCCTTGACATGGACGATTCATACACTCCTGAAGAAGAAAAGGCAGTTCTTCGCAAAATTGACATGGTTATCCTTCCATTTGTAAGTCCCTTTATTGTGATCTAGCTTCTGTCACGACTCACAGTGGCTACAGATGTGTTTCGTCTTCTTCCTTCAGTACCTCGACAAACAAAGTCTCAGCTACGCCGCTGTGTTTGGTCTCATAGATGATCTTAATTTGACCAGCTCTCAATACTCCTGGTGCAGCTCGATCTTCTATGTCGGCCAATTGGTTGCGGAGTATCCTTGCATCTACCTCATGAGCAGACTGCACCTCACCAAGTTCGTTGGAGTCACAGTGTATGTTCCTCTATCTACTTGTTTAATCCTTGCTGACCTTCAATAGAATCGTATGGGGCGCCATCTGCATGTGTCTCGCAGCTCCTCACAACTTCGCCGGTTTCGCCGCCGTTCGCTTCCTCCTCGGTTTCAGCGAAGGTGCCGTATCACCAGCCTTCGTCACCATCACATCCATCTGGTACCGCAAATCGGAACATACACTTCGCACTGCCCTCTGGGTCACCATGAATGGTGTTGCACAAGTTGTCGGATGTCTTCTTATGTACGGCATAGGAAAAAATACGTCACTCGGTCTTGCACCATGGCGTACTCTGTTCCTTGTCTGCGGTGCCATGACAGTCGTAGCGGGCATCGCATTTTTTACCCTCATGCCTAATGGCCCAAGAGATGCTTGGTTCCTGAGCCTCAGAGAACGCGAGGTCCTGTCAATGCGAATGGCTCGTGATCGTGAGGGAGGTGACAAGACAAGCTTCAGCACCAGCCAACTTCGAGAGACGCTCATGGACCCCAAGGCTTGGGCAGTCTTCTGGTTTGGTGTTCTGGTCACGATGCAGTCACCCGTGCTCACCTTTGCCTCTCTTGTCATCAAGTCGGTCGGTTACACGCAGCTCGAAACTATGCTCTACACGGCACCATCGGGAGCAGTTCAGATCGGACTCTTGTGGATTGGCGTCGGTCTCTGCACTTTGTTCCCCAGGCAGCGATCGCTGGTCGTCCTGGTTCTGATCATTCCACCTCTAATCGGCAATGTGTTCCTGATGAAGCTTGATGTCAGCGCTGGTTGGGGCCTGATTGCTGCATCATGGGTAGTAAGTTTAGTGATTTCTTGTATCTGACATCTGCTAACTATTTGGGTAGTCGTCTTGCATTACAGCTTCAATGTCGATTCTTCTCTCACTCTCCGCATCGAACGTCAAGGGCAACACCAAGAGAGCTTTGGTAAACTGCATGTTCTTCATCGGATACTGCGCAGGCTGTATTGGATCACCCCAGCTCTGGACTCATGGGCCTCGATATCGAGAGGGTGTGATCACCAGCATTGTCACTTGGTGCCTCCTGTTCCTGACGATGATTGTTTATCGAACCCTCTGCATTCAAGATAACAAGAAGAGGAACCTGGCAGGAGAGTGTCACAGCACCGGGGAGGTCATTTTGGATAAGAATGGCCTGCCCAAGTCTGACTTGACAGACAAGGAAGATAGGGCGTTCCGATATAGCTATTAGGCGTCTATCAGGTAAAATTATGTATTATACGAGATGGGGACCGGGGATTGGCCAGTATGCATGTTTGGAAATTTCAGCCGAGATGTCATTGAGGATAGTCTATAGAAGGTAGAACCATTCGCAAGATTAAGCACTCTTTGTGCCATTGAAAGCCTTCTTATGGATCCAAGTACCCACAATACCAGCAATTTACATTAAATGACTGTTGCCCCTAATACCCCAGTCAGCCAACTTGATCCACTCAAGCTTGCCACCAGCCTGCTGGGGGAAGCCCACAACACAGTGATTGTATGTGATGTGAACAGAAGCTAGACCGGTCAAGAGCTTATTCTTGAGAATTCTCCAACTTCTTAGTCACCCAAGTAAAAGTAGTGTTGGCCAGTGAACTCAGCACAGTCAACACTGATGCTGTTGCTCTGCGACTCGACGTCCCAAGTCTGACAATCCGAGGAGCAATCATCCGTAGGACAAGCTCCCATCTTGGCCGGCGTCCTGCTGTCGGTGCCAGTCACGAGGGCTTGGAATGCCATGAAGCATTTTCCATCGGGGCATATGTCCGAAAGGTCTGCGCATATGTTGTTGCCCTTGACCCAACTGAGAGGTTGCGACTTTTCGCCAGCGGTGAATTGAGGGCAGCCGTCGTCTTTGACTTTAATTTGGCCACTATATTGAGCTGAAGTGAGGCCAAGGAAGAGCAGGGCTGATGCGAAAACGGGCTTCATGATGAGAGGTAGTCAAGGCGATGCTTGAGTTTAACGATGAGACTGGTTGGATTTCTTGGTTCTCGACGGGACTCGGGGAGTCTTATGAAATGAAACAAGACGTCTAGCTAAGGTAAATCTAAGCAATTAATATTTTCTGCTTCATATGATCATCTCCGATGACGTGTTGCATGATTTCGGCTCACGTTGTTGATCTACATTATGCCCTGCCCATATCATGGAAGCCTCTCGTCCGCGTCAGATTTTAGCTCATCCTGCGGTTTCAAAACACAGCGAAAACACAGAAGTGCCCAAAGGAGCGGAGCTGAAGGAAGAACGGTGGATGTTATTACCCATAAAAGGATGTAGAAGGAATGTTTGATCGGCGCACTCAGACTCTCGGCATGAATATATCTTGTGAAGCTTGAGTTCCTGTATTCATTATCGCACTTGGGAATCCGCATCGGGGCTGAGCTGTTTGGCCAGCATCAGTTGTCACTTACTACAAGCGCAATAGGACTAGAGAGTTTTTTGTCGATATCGGCGTCCTCGAAAGCGTGGGTTTAAGTAATAAATAAGTAACATAAAGCAGCCAATGAGGCTGTAAACCTTTCAGTTACAGGCATCCTCCCACGAACGTCATGTTTAGATCATGACCTGGTTTGATAAGCTGTTGTTGGCAATTGATCTTGGCTCTTGACACATTGAACTATGTAGCTCTAATTAGCGCACCGTCAGACATCGAACTCCGCTACAGCAGGCTTCAACCTGTTCATCTTCCGTAGTATAGTGGTCAGTATGCAAGCTTGTCACGCTTGAGACCCGGGTTCAATTCCCGGCGGGAGAGTCGCCTCATGATATAATCATGATTAGTTTTTTTATATTTGTTGTACTTTTTTTTTCTTTCCTTTTCTTCTTCCCGAAGTCATTCCTCAGTGCTTCTCCATAATTATATAATAAGGAAAACCCATTACAGTTACATTTAACAAGTTCCCGTAATATTACTTACCTAGCCTTGGAGTGTAAATGAGCCTGCATTATCCGCGGAGTTGGTGGTTGACAAGCATTGACTTCCAGAGTGAGTATAAATGACGCAGTCTGGATCGTTGAAGCACGCCTGAGAACATTCTTCTAAAGTGTTAGAGCCGTCGGTCAGACCGATGCCTCCAATGACGGTATTGCACTGAATCTGGAAGGTGCGGCTGCACTGCGCAGGGCTGGCAGGGCATACAATATCCTCTGAAGCTGCTTCAGTGGTGGTTTCAGTCGTTGACTCGAGAACAGATGTAAAGGTCGTGGTGGTGGGATCCTCAGTTGTTGACTCTTCAGTTGTAGTATCTGTTGTTGTCGCCTGTATAGTAGTTTCTGTTGTTGATTCCTCAGTCGTAGTTTCTGATGTTATCTCTTCTGACGTGATCTCTGTTGTTGTCTCCTCTGAAATGGTTTCTGATGTCTGCTGAGTCGTAGTCTCGGTTGTTAAAACCTCAGCGGTAGTAGTATCATCTGTTGTTTCCTGGGTGGTAGGGATAGTGGTTGACTCCTCTGTAGTGATGTCTATTGTAGTCTCAACGATTGATGTTTCTGCCGTAGTTTCATCAACAGCGCTTGTTGTGGCTTCGGCCGTGGTGCTAGCTTCCTCTGTTGCTGTACCTATCTCGGAGGTTAGGAAATCATCGGTGGTTGAGGTAAGCTCTTGGGCGCTGGAGGACTCTGATCCAACAATTTCCGTGCTAGAAACTACTTGTACGAAGGTGCTTGAATCAGAAGTGAAGATAAAACTGCTAAAAGGAACGATGGAAGACTTTGAGGTCTCTGGTGGTGGTTGAAAAGAAGATGACATGTTTGACCATCTGAATGTGCTTGATGGGATGGGCTGTGTAATAGGATTCTGTGTTGTTACAACCCCGTTTGACTCTGTTGGAACAATCGTGGGCTTGCTTTCCGTAGGGCGGGCGGAGACTCCCGGAGGAAGTTCATCAGAAGATGAAGGAATCGAGATGATTGGTTCAAGTGATGATGCAGATGTGACCTGCTGAGCTTCGCTTGTAGCAGAGGCGGTTGTAGTTACGTCACCATTTACACACTCTTTAACTACAATAGGGATTAGCTTTACGCAATCAGTAATCCAAGTGTTGACTTACCTCCAATAGCGGAGAGTTGGACCGCGATGCAGCCAGCAGGTTGCGAAGAAAAGGTGATATAGACTTGACCATCAGATGGGGTTTGACAAAAGCCGGCCTCGCCATTCGGAATGATTCGTGAGCTTGAGAAGCGAAGAATGTCCCCGTCACGGAAGAATGTTCTGGTGATAGCATCACTAAGGACAGGGCCATAGGATAACTGCAGCCTATAAGGTTAAGCTTTAGGCTATAAATACAGATAATAAATAATAATATAATATTTTTTCCCTTAATATAAGCTTTTACCTATAAGCTTTTATAATAACTAATAAATCTTATTATAAGCTTTAGGGTATTATAAAGAGAAAAGACTAAAAAGTATATAAAGGGATATAAGCTAGTATTAGATTATAAGGCAGTATAGCTTTAAAGAGCTAAAAAAAGAAAATCTTTATCTTTTTAAATAAAATAACTTTAAATATAAAAATATTCTTAGTAAGCTTTATATTAAACTAGCCTTTTTTAGTTATAAGGCATTTAAGGTAGCTATTAA